GTTCATAACCCAGCAACCCCCCACCCCCGCCGGACCGTCCCCCCTTTCCCTAAGCCTAAGCCCATCTATCGTGTCCACCTCCGCCGGCCCGCCTTCGCCTTCTGGCGAAACGCCCGCGGCGGCGACTTCGGCTGGACCACCTGCTTTCCCTACTTCCTTCGGCCAACACGGCCAACAAGGCCAAGGCCAAGGCCAGGCCGGCGGACGAGGGCAAGCTGGGCAGGGGCAGGGGCAGGTGGAACAGGAGGTGGGCGTACCGACGATGATGCCTCCTCCCGCAGCTGCGTCTGGGTCTGGGTCTGGGACGACGACGACGACGACGACGGCGCAAAGGACGAGGAGCGCAACCTATACGGCCAAGAGCGCTGTGGCTGATGTTGTGCGGAGGTTCCATCCGGAGAGAGAGCGCGGGGAGTAAGGCGCCTGCTTTTGTTCTGTTCTTTAGGATATAGGACTTAGGATTGAGGGCAGGGCAGGGGGGGTGATTTTTGAAACGAACTTTTTGACGAATACAAGTACAGTGGGGATTTTCCAGAAAGCAGAGCAGCAGTTGTTGTGTACAAAGCGCATTTCCTCTCATGGAATGGTTGACCAATGTCTTTATGTATCATAAACGTGTTGAAACAATAATGTTACACATGAACGCAGAGAACAGTATAGCTCGGTTGGTTGGGAAGCAGACCGGTATTAGTGACGACAGTTGCAGCCTGGGAAGAGTAAGTGTTGAAGCGTCTACATCTCAGATGAATGACTCTTTGAAGACGATTCTATAGGGTATCAAACGGTATTGTTGAGATACCGGGGGGGTATAACCAGAAACCAGAAAGTGAATTCCCAAACACCAAACAATTATAATCACAACCCCTTCCCTCCCTCTTTCCTTCCCGCTCCTCACCCTCCCAAATCATCCGATCCCCCTCCATACAATATCCTCCTTCCTCACCACAAGCCATACGGAAGCGGGGAAACAAGGGGCTTTACTCCTCCCCACTCGTAACAGCCCCCCGACTCCTACTCCTCGTCACCCTAGCCGGCGTAGCCCCAATCTCCGACTTTAACCCCGACTTTCTCCTCGACACCCTCTTACCCGGGGTCGCCGTCGCCGTCGCAGTGGTGGAAGCACGGTCGTTATCGCTATCGGCATCAGAGTTGGGGGCGGAGGATTTGGCGGCAATACGGCCGGATCGGCGGGAGGGTGTTGGGGGCAGTGTTGAAGAGGTTGGGGAAGGGGAGGAGGCGTCGCGCTTGTTTTTGGCAGCGTAGATGTTGTCCGTAAAAGGGCTAAATCCCAAAATCAGATGACGTTCCATAAGAGTATAAGGAGAGAAAAGCGTACCCTTCAAACTTGAGCGCAACAGCATAAACCACCCACACCCAGAAACCGAGCGCGATCCCAACAGGGCTTCGGAACCACAAAGCCGTACCCAGGTGCGACAGGAATGACCCGACGTACATGGGGTCGGAGAGGACGTTGAATGGGAAGGAGGTGACGCGGTGGGTCATGAGGATGCCAAAGTAGTCGCCGAGGTAGGTACCTGCACCAGAGTCAGAAGGGTTACGAGATGGGTGGGGAGGGGGAGGGGGAGGGGGTGCGTACCGGTGACTCCGAGAGCCCACATGGAGCTGAGGACAAAGGTTTGGCCGGAAAGGAAGAAGGCGAGGGCGAAGGCTTGGAGGACGGGGTGGCCGAGGAAGGCGAGGGCGGGCTGGTCTTTGACGGCGTTCAGGAAGCTGTGGGGATATCAGCGGGATCGTTCAACAATGCCCGTATGAACGCACAGGTGGTCCCTAAAGGCAGAGATGGAAAAGATGGTCAAGGCGAGGAGATATGTGCCGACCAAGGGCGATCCGACGAGCCGGGTGATGGTCTTGTTGCGGTACTCTGCGTCGCATCAGTTTGTCCTCCCGGGGCATCGTCCTCATGGATAGTTGGAAGAACACACCGTTCCTCGCGACAGTGTTCCAGAAGATGGGGTTGAATGCGGTCATGGCGACGAATGCCCAGAGGGTCTTCTTGTCGGCCTCGACGAGCCTGAGGGCCTCGTCGAGGGTAGCGGGGAGGGCGGCGGTGGTGTACCTGAAGAGGGGGTGGAGGAGGTCGGCGCCGGGTGCCCATTCGGGGAGGTGGATGGCTTGGAGCTTGTCCATGGCTGTATAGGAGATGTATAGAGATGGAGATGAAAGAGGAGATAGAGGAGTTGTTTGTGTCCGAGCGGCCGCCTTTTGATCCCGCGCCGGACGGGATCAGAATTTCCACGGCCTCTTCTATCATCTGAATTCTTGTCCATACTATCCACAAAACCACCCATGCTTGCAAGAAGAGCCCTGGCGAGTGCCCAGTCGGCATGTCCCCGCTGTGTATCCCGCACGCGCGCCCTCACCACATCGCCTCTCCTCTCCAGGCAAGTCGGCAAAAGCAACAAACCCTGGGACGCCTCCTCATCCCAGCGAAAAGGCCCCAACAGCTTTCGCAATGACGCCAGACCAGGCGACAGGCGGCCCCCTTTCAGGCCCTTCCGCCAATTCAGAGAACCTGAACAAATGACGGCCGAGCACTTTCGTCCCAAACCACCTCCAAAAGCGACCCAGGTGGCTAGGCTCCTCATCGAACGGCTGCCCGAGTGGGCGCACTCTGATCGAGCTCTCAAAGCGCTCGCAGTGTATGGCATAGCGCCCGACATTTCCAAGACAATCGCTACCACCTGGTTCAAATTGGCTAAAAAGGGTTTGGGGACGGCTACGACAGAAGACGAAGCGCTCACCGCGCTTGCCGCCGGTGGCTGGGACGCCCCAGACCTCATCGCTGCCCTCCACGAAGATACATTCGCCCAAGCCCTCGAATCTTCCGCCCTACGGCATTACCTCACCTACGCCCTGACCACCCCGCACCTCACCCCCGTCCAGAAATCCCACATCTCCCTCATACTCGATACCACCGACATCTCCCGTATCGCCTATACCGAGTATACCACCGCCCGCGCCGTCAAGCGCCATTTCCACCTCCACATCGGCCCCACCAACTCTGGCAAAACGTATAACGCTTTGAAAGCGCTGAGCCATGCGAGGTCGGGGGCTTATGCGGGGCCGTTGAGGTTGTTGGCGCATGAAGTGTGGGAGAGGATGAATCTGGGGAGTGTGGGTGGTCTAGACGGGAAGGGGCGGAGTTGTAATCTCATCACGGGCGAAGAGCGGCGGATCGTCGACCCCGATTCGGGGTTGTTGAGCTGTACGGTCGAGATGCTGCCTCTCGGCGGCCTCGACGGCGAACCGTTCGACGTGGTGGTCATTGATGAGATCCAGATGCTCGGCGATGCGAACCGCGGCGGGTCTTGGGCCAAAGCCGTCCTCGGTACGGCGGCAAAGGAGATTCATCTCTGTGGGGATGAAACGACCGTGGAGCTGCTTCGCGGTATGATCACCTCCCTCGGCGATACCCTCACCATCCACGAATACAACCGCCTCACCCCCCTCCTCGTTGGCGACGCGTCCATCGAAAATGATTATAGCAAGATCGAAGATGGGGACTGTGTCGTCACGTTCTCGAGGTCGAGTATATTCAATTTGAAGAAGGAGATTGAGAGTCAGGGGAAAAAGTGTGCGGTGGTGTATGGGGCGTTGCCGCCAGAGACGAGGGCGGAGCAGGCAAAGGATTTCAATGATGAGAATGGGTTGTGCAAGGTTTTGGTGGCTAGTGATGCCGTCGGGATGGGGCTCAACTTGTCAGTCCTCCCCCCATACTCAATAATTCTTTTTCCTAACACCTCTACAGGAAGATCAAGAGAATCATATTCGAAGCCCTCTCCAAATTCAACGGCAAAGAACAAGTCCCCCTCTCCCTCATGCAAGTCAAGCAAATCGCCGGCCGCGCCGGCCGCTTCAAGACGGGCGCCGACAAGAACATTGCCACCCCCGACGAAGCGCCCGCTGCCGGCGGCTACGCCACCACCCTCCGACCCGCCGACCTCCCCGTCCTGCGCACAGTGCTCGACTGGAAACTCCCTTCCATCGCGCGCGCCAAGATGGATATCCCCACCAGCAGCCTTATCGAGCTCGCTGCCCTCCTCCCCGCTAGTCTGACATACGGCGACCTGGTGAAACACTTTTCCGCCCTCGCCAAGCTGCCGCCTTCTACCGTCGTGACCGACCCGTTCAACAAGCTCGCTATCGCCGACGTCATCGAGCCGTACCGTCAGTTCTTGTCCATCGGCGAGATCGACCTCTTTTCGTTCGCGCCCCTGAGCTCGAGGGATGAAAAGGCGAAAGAGGTGTTTCGGAATTTGGTGGATGATTATGTCACGCTGGGGTGCGTGACGGTAGAGTCTATATACTCTACCACCGACCTCCTCCCAACGCTCGACGACGTCCTCGAAACGCTCCAAACCCTGCCACCCCTATCCGAAACAGCAATCCCAGGGCTCCTCAAAAACAGCAAAAAAGTCCCACCCCTCATCATCAACGCCCTCCCCAAACTCGAAACGCTCCACAAATCGCTCGTCCTCTACATCTGGCTCAGCCTCCGCCTCGAAGTGTCTTTCCCCGATAGGCTCGTGGCGCAAGAGCGGAAGACAAAGTGCGAGGCGGCGTTGGAAGAGTGTTTGCAGAGGTTGCCGGGGTTGAAGATGAAGAAAGGGGCGGTGGATGTGGCGGGGAAGGCGTGGGAGAAGAAGGCCGAGGCGGAGCGGGTAGAGGAGGGGGTGGAGTGGGTGAGCGGGGCGGAATACCAAAAGACAAAGAAGGCGAGGACCTGGAAGGATGTGGCGCTTTTAGAGGAAGGGGAGGGGGTCAAGAAAAGGTTGGATTCTGGCAAGTAGCGAGGCTGTGACATCTAGACGAGAGGCATAGAGGCAAGAGGGTATAGGTTTGTACTTGTATTTGTAAACAGCATTAGCATGGGCATCGCACTTTTCCTTGGTATAATTCTAGAAATGCACACTTCAGAATCGTAGATGAGGGTATAGGTCTGTTATAGGGGTGGCCCGATAAGTGCAAGTACATGTCGTCTGCCACTCTCCTATGGTCACGTATCATATTCTTTCATTACCACCCATCACCCATCCCTGTCGTACGCCCACGCCAACATGCAAGCCATCGGCGACGCCTCTCCACACACTCCCGAGTCAGTCGCTTCCTGGATCAGGTCATTCCCCTTGGACCCTCTCGAATACGAGATCGAAACGACCGGCAAGAGCACACGAAGGACCACCTCCGGAACCTACCGCATATGGGCAGACCTCGACGAGAAAGGTATCAGAGTTGTCTATGACCCAACCCTGAACGGAAGAATCTCTGCATCTCTCAGATCTCAGGAGCTGTCGCTGAGGAATGGAGTCACTCGCTTCATGAAACTGCATCTGGAAGTGGCACGGCATAGAGCTCGAAGACGCACTGTTCGTGCCGAGATTCATCTACGTGGTGTCATGTGGACCTTATTCGAGCTCTCTACCGACGCCATCAATGCCGGGCTTCCCAGCCACCTCCATGACAAGTGGGAGCAGTGCTCAGACGAGGGGAACAGCTGCTCTGATTGGGTCTTCATGCACAACGGTATAGCCCTTGCTCTCATCAAGGTCAAGCTGTGCACCGATCTAACGACATCTGGCGAAGACCCGGTGCCTCCGACCAATGACCGTGACCACCTATCAGCAGAAAAGGTTGGAATGGAACTTTGTCCGAAGCCGCAAGGTGATACAGCTGGGAGGGGAGGGGCCCAAAGCGACCTAAGTCACAGCGACCAGTCCCAGGCCGATAAGAGGGAGGTTTCAGACAGTCATAAAGCGCCTGACAACAAGGACGAGCTGGATGAGGAAATCTCCGTGCATCCGCCGCTGAAGTTGGAGCGACTGTTGATGGCGTGCAGGCAGGAAGGGGGCTTGAAGCTCATCCTGGCCAGTAGGACAGGAGAAGATGGTAAAGTCCGGCCCGCCTTGCGCATTGTGGAACAAGACGGGACTATCGTGCCGGAAATGATGTACTGGGCAATGGGATTGTCCGAGGTAAGCTCAGAGCACTACTACGGCTTGCTATGATGGCTGTTCTGACGAGTTCGCTCAGCTCTGGGAATACCTTGACCGCTACAACCTCGACCTCGTCATACTCACCTCCTACGAAGTTTGGATCCCTTTTGAGCGCGATCCCGAAATTAAGAACCTGCTTCGTGTGGGTGACCCAATCTATAGGACGGCGCCCGAAACTGCGCCCGAGCCCGGCAAGATGTCGCCTATGGAGCTTGCGGTGGCTTCCGTGATTGAGAGGGAACGCGCACCCCCACTCGGCTATACATTCCCACCTCTACCTGTCTGCTGGCCTTTGTCCAAAGCTTTGGGGAATGATTCAACAAAGAATGACCAGAACGAGAGCGGGGCAGGGGCTTCGAGATTGAGGGGCACGAGTAGTGTTCCTACAAAGCGTGGATACGACCAAGTTGATGGCACTGGCGGCGCTGCAAGTGACAATGCTATTGCTGGAGACGCAAACATCCCGAAGGATGTCAGTGCCATTTCACGTTTGATTTTCCTCATGGCTGATTTATACTCTTCTAGCAACCTGTTCCCGTCACTCTGCAGGTTTCTGTGCCCAGCCACCGCTCCCCCGACGCTCTTCACGTCTTTAAGCAAGGCAACTTGAATGATGGCTACATCACCAGTCGCCTTTCCCCCTCCGTCATTGCATCCTACGACAACAGCATCCACTCGGGACTGCCTACTTCCGAGCTTAAAGCCGACCTCGCCCTCGGCAGCTATATCAGCTCTGGGCGTCTGTGGGACGTCTACCACGCCGTCCTCACCGTCGAAGGCCGTGGGAGCAAGGAGCTCGTCGCCAAGGTCATGTGCCCGGATACCTATGATGATGATGATGAGTACTACAAGGGGTTCTTCGAAGACTCCGAAGAGGCAGTGGCTGCCTATCGTCTCGAGGCGGCGCTGTACATTGGCCCTCTCGCAAGCGTACAAGGAGGGGCTGTCCCCGCAGTGTATGGCTCGTTCAGTGGTGCAATGTGTCTCGGGATTGTCTCTGGGGGCTACCCATTGCACATCGAATTGATGGAGGCTACCCATTGCACATCGAATTGATGGAGGATGTTGGGAGTCCAGCCGCCGGAGAGGGTAAGCTGCAGGATCTGCCTGTGCAGGATAGGTGAGTGTCTTTCGGCAGCTACAATGGTTTTGTGCTGATCACATCCTCAGGCAGGCTATCCTAGACCTCTACCGTCAAATTCATGCGGTGCGCGTTCTTCACCGTGATATAGAGCCACGCCACATTCTCCGACGCGCCGACGGCCGCTTTGCCCTCATCGACTTTGACTCCTCTCGCTCGGTGGAGGAAGGTCTCAAGGGCGACCGAAGGCTCGCGTCTGAAAAGCGCGGGGTAGCGGCTATGCTTGGGTTGAAAAAGCGTGCTGCGGGAAAGGCATAATCTCTTGCCGGAAGATTGACCGCGGTGGTGGAACGGCGGAGCCGATGACGATGCATGACTTTCCATGTTGGGACAGAATTACGGCTTACTTTCCAGTTCCACAACGCATCACTCAACATGCCGGTGACCATAAGGGCCCTAGATGACATACAGGAGGGCGACTGGTGGAAAGGAACTACTATAAATGAAGATCGGACCAGATATGATGATGTACTGCAGTACATACTTGTCATCACGGACACAAGATGCACGAAGTAGGATGACTGTATATGCCACGATCATGCAAAGATTTCGGAGAAAAGAAGAACAGGGTATGCTATCCTTTACAGTGCTCCAATCGTTTATTGGATTCTAGATAGAACATCATCGTTCGTTCGTTACATTGAAAGGCCGTCGGGGCCGAGGGCTGTTTTGACCTTCTTTTTTGGAGGAAACTTGGAAGACGACGGTTAAGCTCCATAGGTTGTCAACTTGGCTAAGGACGACTGATGCTGGTGTCCCTCGGGTGTAGTACATAAGAAAGGTGAGAATATCTCGCCAACGCAGTACATTGCAAAACAAGGCTCATCTAACGAACCAACGGCATTCGGCAGCTTTCTCTTTCAACTTTTTTTGCAAGGCGGAAGTACCAGAGTAGGTGGGATCGAGAGCTCTATACTCCCTGATAAGCGGTATATCTTCCCATCATGGATAATAAATGAAACGTACCTCATCCGTCATGTAACCATGGCAGAACCCTCGTCCCCTTCTCCTGCCCGTTGAGATGATGAGAGCCGACGACGCAGGAGGTCATCAGCTTCTTGTATGGCTCTCGCCGCTACAGTAAAGGCGGGGCGAACCTGAAAGGGAGTTGTGAGAGGGGCGATTGTCGTTATGGATGGAGGTTGTTGGTGGTGGGTGGTGTTGGAGACAGGCGAGGGTGGAGGAGAGGGCAGAGCGGGGGCTGCAGAAATCGTGATAACATCATGATCAGCTCCCCAGTCCCATCCTCCACCAAGTCTGCTGGTATCCCGGGGAGACACCTCTATACTCGGCTCTCGACCAGCCCGGTCTTTGCCTCTAATCACATCTGCCCCCCTATAGTTGGGGATATCGAAGGTAAGCGCCAAAACGTTGAAAGACGGCCCAGGATGGTTTTCCAGCATATCGCTTCCATTGCTGGGGCAGGGAGGGGGATTATGCTGGATTAGAGGTGCGACAGAGGGAAGGTAAGGGAACAAAGCAGATATAGGTGGGAGTGATTGATCATCGACAGCAGCGGCCTGGTAGGAGACGATAGGCGCAGCCGGGAGGAGCAAATCTTTCGTGGACCGGGCTTGTCGGTCATGGCGGACGAGACGAAGCGAGGAGGAGAGAACGGGTCATTCGGAAAGATAGAAAGTCCGAGTAAACTGCCTTCGAGAGACGCCATCGATGGCAGCTGATCTATACAAGTCGATGTCAGCCCAGATCGTCCCGCATGTGAGGCAAGAGAGGATGTCAATCGAGAAGCTTACGAAGTTGATCACCGGAGAGTTCATTCTGTACAATCATCTTGGGATGTCCTTGCTGGGAACTTCTGCCTGTAAGGCGTGCGGTCGTGGAAAGAAGTCTTTTGCGAGAAGTGGCGAAGTCGTCGGTGAGGTAAATCTTGGTAGAAGATTGCTCCCTCCTGGACCGGCTGACTTGATGATCAAGTTTCTTGCTATCGACTTTTGGATCAGCCAATATCCCAAAGCGAAGAATCAAAAAGCGACAGGAAATAGAGAGAAGGCATGAGGGCTTACCTCGAACTTCGATTGATGGTCATGATGGGCGTAGTTAGTTGGATCGTTATTAGCCGTAGTATACTCTTGTCTGTTGTGGCGGTGCAATGGAGAACAGCGGAAGACAGCATACGCTTTCTGTACTGAATATACCCCATCGAAAGACTGCCTCTTGGTTCTACTTCTTTACCGAGTCACTAGTGCGGCTTACATATCACCCTGTATAACACAGGAGAAGACGGCGATGAGTAAAATGGTCTTGTCGCATCTTCTTCTCTCCGCCGTGCCCGATCCCTGACAAATGGCGTCTACTGAAAGCACCACGCGAAGATAAGTCCAGTCGCCATTTGTCAATGAAGCTGGTTTTCGGCAAGTAGCAACCTGTCAGCACAGTGGGGGTGGGGCACGGGTGAATTTGGGTTCAACGACTTCCACTCAGTCGCTTAAGGGAAAGGGCCACGATTGATCTGCCTCCGCATGAAAATGATGATATGTACAGGCAATAGACGGCCTAGGCGGTCAATTGTCAAATGTCACATGGGACATCGGCTACCGGCGCATTATTACAGGGGAGGTTTCTGTGCCAGTAGTCCATCTCCAGTCCCCAGAGCCCGAAAGAGCCCAGACTCCCCGGTAATCATAACCAATAAGCTCCGGAAACGAACCCCAGCAGGCAATCGACCTCACAAGGTCTTTACAAATGTCATTTCTCTTACCGCGGCGACGATGGAAGGATGCAGGTGGTACAGTACGAGTACATGGCAAGCGTTCTTTGACTACTCTAGGCCGTCAGCTCGTCAGCTGTCAAGTGACAGCTGTCGATCTCGGTCTGGACAAGCGGCAACAAAGCGGAATAGGTTGTCAATTTTCGATGATTTCCTTACGAGACGAGTACCTACTCCCGTGGCAGATCTCCGCTATAACCGGAGCAGCCTCAGGTCCAATCTCATTCAACGCCTGTGACAAGGCCAGGAGTATCGTCTCCTGACTAGAAGTATGGCAAGAGTCTTGTTTGAGTCCTGTCCCTCTTTTGCTGCTCTCTGACCCTCTCGCTCCCAAGACTCGCTAGGTGGGCGGAGACTTGTAGTTGCTGGACTCCATCATGTCGTTCAGAGTACTCCTTCTCGTACCTATAAACTGTGCTGGGTCGCATCTGTTGCTCGCTGAGAGGAAACCACAATGAGCGCGGACTCGGGCCAAAAATAATACGATGTAATGCAGTGCATTCTCCCCATTACGGACACAAGATGCACGAAAAAGTTGGGTCGATCTATATGCCATAGTCATGCAAGAATGCCAGAGAAAAGAAGAAAAGGGAAGAGTAGAAACTATGCTATCATTTACAGAGATCCAATCGTTTATTTGATTCTAGATACACATCATCGTTTTGTTCGTTACATTGGAAGGCCGTCGGGACCGAGGGCTATCTTGACCTTCTTTTTGGGAGGCGGTTTGGAAGACGATGGTGAGGCTAGGTGACTTGTCAGCTTTGCCAAGAACAATAGATGATGATTCCTACCTGTTTTGCTAAGAGCTTTATCCAAAGAATCAGCCGCGGCCGCAGCTTGCGCCTTCTTCCCCATCCCTCTCTTATGACTCCTCTTTCCACTTCCATCAACCGGCCCTTGCGCGCCTCCACCCCCAGCAGCCTTCCCCTTCCCCTTTCCTTTCGACTTCCCTTCTTCCTCTCCAAGCCCTTCCTCTTCTTCGCCATTCGCTCTCGCCGCCGCAGCAGCATTGAAGAAGCCATCATCTGCATCCCCGTCGTCCAGATCCAGCCCGTCCCCGAAGCCTTTGCCCCTTCCGCCGCCGTTGGCGATGAGCGAAGGCTGGACATAACCATGGGCTTCAGCTTGCTTCCGCTTGGCGACAGACTCGGCGAGTTCTTCGTCGTCCATGAAGAGCGATGCGATTTCGGAGGCTTTGGCGACGTCAGAGACGGATTTGGTGCCGACGACAACGTCTTGCACGTCCTTCTTGCCGCGCGCCATCTTGAGGATACGTTCTTCGATTGTACCTCGACTGTCATCCGGTCAGCCTCGAAATGTCAGGTAAAAGTGAGAGCACGTACGCAACAAGTCGATAGACTGTAACCTGCTTGGTTTGGCCAACTCGATGGGCTCGGTCCATAGCCTGAGCGTCACTTGAAGGGTTCCAATCGTGATCATCTACAAGCTATGAGCATTGATCATCAAAACAAAGACAAGACTCACAAAAGACCACAGTATCAGCAGCAGTCAAATTGATACCCAGACCACCAGCCCTAGTACTCAGACAGAACACAAAGATATCCGGGTTTGTCTGCCAGCTCGTCACCATATCTCTCCTTTCCGCAATCGGCGAGGAACCGTCCAGACGCAGGTACTTATACTGCCTGAAGATCAGATACTCTTCAACCAGATCCATCATCTTGGTCATCTGGAAGTACAAGAGTACACGATGGCCGCCAGCCTTGAGCTCTCGGAGAAGAGAGTCGAGACGGGCGAGCTTGGCAGAGTCGACGATGAGACGTTTTGTGGGAGGAATACGCAGAGGGGAGACGGGAGTTTGGGAGGGCGATGAGTGTCGTATCAGGCCTGCGATGGGACCACCAGGCAGAAGTCTTGAGAACCGTTGAGCAGCAGCAGGGTTGTGCAATTCTGACGGCGCGAGTCCATACAGCGCAGTGTTTACGAGGGGCTGATTGAGAAGCCGTTCTTGCGTGTTGACAAAAGAGCGGTTGGAGACATCCGGGATGATGGGGGTCGTGATGACTCGATCTCCCACTTTAGCGTCGCCTCGAGAGAGATAGGACGCATCCCAAGCTGTGAGAGCGATTTCGTGTAACGAGGGACTACCAGGCAGATCTATGCTCGGCAGCATCGGTCGCACCTTGAGGCCCTTCTTTGCAGAGGCAGCAAAGTCAACATCGTCAACGAACCTGCTTTCATCAAGCCATCTCTTCTCCTCAGCAGCACCTTCAACAAGCTGGGCCAGAAGAGGCGATTTCGCTCTCCTCGACACATCCCACGGGCTCTCTCCAAGAAGCTTGACCCACCCAAACTCGCTATTGGAAACCTTGACGCGCTCACTGATCCACTCGGGCGTCCAGATGTTCATGAGGTTGTGCAACACCCGAGTGTCACTCCCTGCCAGATTCTCTTCCCCGGGGACATCGAGCTTGCCGCCGTCCGTCCAGAAGATTTTGGGTATCCGGGCTTCAATGGCATTTCTGCCAGAATCGGGAAGGTAGAGCTGGTCGATTTCTCGGGATAGATTTCCGGATTGCGAAAACGTGCCAAAGACGTAAGGTGAAACGACGTCGGCGCGCTCAAAGAGGTCGGGATGGTTGCACACTTTTCGGAACTGCATGACCAAGTTGACCAAGGAGCGCATGTTCTTCGAGCCAGCGGCAGCAGGATCGGAACCGTTGTCGGCGGTAGCGAGCAGATCGGTAATGGAAACTCTTTGCCGTATAGCTCTGTAGATTTCTCGTTGACGTTGACTCAAGTCGACCAGAAGATCAATTTCAATCTGCGCACCGTCAACCAAGACTCTCCCATAGTCAACCAAAGCTCACCTTGTCTCCAAGTTCCTTCTGCACATGCTTCTTAACTCGTCGCAACATGAACGGCTTCAGAATCATATGCAATCTCTTCAGCTGCTCCGGCTTGAGCGTCCCCGTAACACCTCCAGAAGAGCTCTCGATGTCCTTCGAGAACCACTCGGTAAACTCTTCATGCGAGTCGAACAATTGAGGCATGATGAAATGTAGCAAAGCCCAGAGTTCTGCGACACATCAGCTTCCGCCTTAGACAGAAGTGGGAAGGCTTACCGTGCATGGAGTTTTGGATGGGTGTACCGGTAAGCAAGAGCCTGTTTCGGCAGCGCAAACTCAGAAGCGACTTCCACCTGGCCGAAGAGGACGATTTGATGGCTTGCGCTTCGTCCAGAATCATATACTGCCATTTCTGCCCTTGGAGATACTTTTCATCTTGCACGGCCTACAGTCTCATCAGCGTCTCAAGCGCCATATGGCAGGACGTACAAGTTGATAAGAAGTGACCAAGATGTGGAACGGCGAGTCTTCGCTGAACGTCTGATTCTTCTTGCTCCAAAGTTTTCGCAACGTCTCTCGGTCCTTTGGCGAGCCCCAGTACGGGATGGCCTTGAGGCGGGGAACGAAACGGGCGAGCTCTTGTTGCCAGTTGTGCAGGGTCGACGCAGGGGCGATGACCAAGAATGGGCCCCAGATATTGTGGTGTTCGGCAAGGTACGCAAGGAGGGAGATGGATTGGATGGTCTGCAAGTGGTCAGCGCCTTGCTAAGCGATGTATGCAAGACTCACTTTTCCCAGACCCATCTCATCGGCCAAGATACCGTTGATACCCTGCTCATAGAGGTTACCCAGCCACGTCAGACCCTTGAGCTGATACTCTTTGAGCTGAGCCATGAGCATCTTTGGTTGCGTGATGGTAACGCTATTCTCGCCCAGCGAAGGGTTTTGAAAGTTGAGCTCTTCGCCATCCACTATAATCCTGTTAGTATCGTTTCACAGATTCAGCCTGAACACTTACTGGTATCGTCCTCGGGAGGAGGCGCGCCGCCTTTAGCTTGGTCCGTATCAAACGCACTGGCCCTGTCCTTGGCTGCCTGAATAGCAGCCTGAGCACCTCGAGCCGCATGTCGTCGAAGATTCTCCTCATCATCTGCCTCCAGTCAGCACCCCACCCGACTCCAACCCGACCCAAACTCACCATTGTCATAATCAATATCCGGCAATGCCTCCCCATCACTCCCAATAGCAATATCCTCAAACCCATGCTTCCCATCCTCCGCAGGCACCTCCATCCCCTCCGCCGCCTCCGCCTCTTGCGTCTTGATCTTTTTCCCAATGAAATGCGAATACAGCTCTGTCTGCGTGAGCAAGAAGTTGAGTTTTCGCGAAGCACGTTTGGATTCTCGGGCTTCTTCTTCCGCTTTGGCGCGTTCGAGCGCTTCCTTGTCGGCCTTCTTCTTCGAGAGGATCTCGTCTTTTTCGTTCTTGCGCCAGAACGCCGCGAGCTATTTGATTGTCAGCTTTGTATTGATATAGAGAGTTAGGGACGTACCTCTTTAACGACACGTTTAGCTTTGGCAGCTCCTTCCTTACTCGCTTTCCCGCCAACACGCTGAGCAGTCTTTTGATTCTTCTGCCCAAAGGCATTCCTCACACACGCTTGAGCTCGGCGCTGAGCAATCTGCTTCATCGTCTGGTCGTATCCTTGATACACTCTATAAACCTGCCTCCCCATCAGCCCCATCCACACTTAGAAAGAAAAAGAAGACTTACACGGGGCACATCCCGGACGATAGCAGCCCACGTCATTCTCTGCAAATCCTCCACTAACTCATACCGAATCCTCGCCTCTTCCTCCGTCACACCCCTCGGGTCAAACGTATTCGGCGCCGCCACCTGCCCCTGACCATGACCATGGGGGTTCTGCTGAAACACCCCCTGCCCGGCATATTGAAACACATCCTCCACATCCTCATTCTCAAACGGCAGACTGAACGGCGGCAGCGCTTCATCCTGCACCATAAGCGGCGTCTTGCTCTTGCCTGCGAGCGCTTCCGCCTTTTTGACGAGTTCCTTCTCGGGCTTGGAGGGGCGCGTCCAGCGACCTTTGCCGACGCCAGGTTCTTTCGTCTTGGCCGCCTTCTTCTTTGCTGGTACAGATGCAGGAGCAGCTTCCGAGCCGTCCATGGCACTGCTAGCACCCACACTCCCAGCTCTGCTAAGATCTTCCTGCTCATCGTGCATCGACTCGGGAGGCGGGTGCTCGCCATCTTCGCCATACCCGAAATGAGGCGACTCGGTCCTCTCATCAAGTTTTCTTCTCTTGACCTTCTTCCCCTTCTCCAACCCCCCCTCCTCCCCATCATCCACCAAACTCCCCGCCACACTCCCTTCTGTCCGGGACCGGGCTTTGGGCGGATCAGGCTTCTTCTCTATCCCCCTAATCTTCTTCCACCCTTTCGCCGGCCCAGGTTTCTTCCGGATCGTACCATCCTTGTTCGTAGGCAACGCTTCCCCAGCGCCAGACTCGGCTTTCGCAAGCTTCTCCTTCATCCAAATCTCATCCTGCACCGCCTTCACGTCATCCTCCGACAGGCCAGAGACGTCATTTGCCATGCATTTTGCGATGACTTCGGCACGGGTGAGGCCGGAGGGCCAGACGAGGGTGGAAGGGGATGGAGGGTGGGCCGGGTCAATGTGGCCGTTGAGGGGTTTGTCCCCTGATTGGGAGGGTGAGCCTGGAGGACTGGACGCGAGGTCCAAGAGTTCTTCATCCAAACCACCCTTCCCCTGAGCCTTGCCTTTACCGTACTTTCTCTTCTTCGGCGTGCCCTCAGCCCCTCTGCGGACATTCTGCACTTGGCCCTGCCACTGCGGCAGCGCATGCTCATCCAAAGGCTGGGCTTGGTAAGAATCGGCCCAGTCTGCTAGGGCGCGGACTTCGGTTTCGCGTCGGGTTTGGTAGTGGATAAGGGTGTTTTCCCAGATATCTTCGTTCCCCATGAGGAGGTCGTTTGGGCGGAGGGCTTTGGCGTAGGCTGGGCGGGGGTGGTCGTGGGCGTGGGCGTGGGCGTGGGCGTGGGCGTGGGCGTGGGAGTGGGAGTGTGGGGGCGGGGGAGGGTAAGAGGTGTGGGGGTGGGGGTGGGTGGCATAAGGGTGGGAGGGGGAAGCTGCTGAAGGAGCGGTAGAAAGAGGAAGTACATCTCTTTCCCTCTCATACCTCTCCCTCACCTCAGACGATGGTCGAATATACGGCTCGCTAGTCCGCCTAGCATCAAGTTCACTCATCCTTCGCTCCGCCCCGGGCTCGGGGTACGCACGGTCATACACCTCTCGATGTTGAGGCAAATGCGGCACATGCTCCCTCTCAGCATACTCCCTCTCCCTCTTCCGCCTATACATCTCCTCCTCCTCCACCCTCTTTGCCCGCTCAAACGCCAGGGACTCTTCTTGCATTCGTGCGATAGCGAAAGAAGAGTGTCGGCGCTCTGGGTCGGGGTCGTGCAGGTCGGGATGGGGGTGGGTGGCTTGGGATTGGGATTGGGAGCGAGAGCGGGCTCTGGATATTGAGGATGATGAGAGGGCGGGAGGAGGGTAAGGCCTGTCGTCGGCCGGTATCGACGTCGGTCGAACATGCCCGGTACCACCAGCGAGCAAAGGCGATCGCTGCCCCAAGCCAGGGGAGGTGTACCTGTACCCTTGCCCCGGCGGAGAATGCGGCTGAGAGTGGCCCTGGGAGTATGACCTTTCGACATACCTGTCTTCTGAAGTGGGAGCAGGGTGATACGCTGGGTACCCATTGCGCCCCGATGAGCCCGAATTAGATGGTGCTGGCGCTGGCGTTGGCGCAGGCGCAGAGGGCAGAGGGGATACGCCCTGGACGGGGGCTGGGTCGTCGTTCATCAGCGCCGACATGGAGATTCTCGACGAACGTGACGGCGGCGACGGCTACGATTATGACACACTCCCATTAGCTCATGCGCATACTCCACTACCACTGCTACATACCTCGGGCGCAGGGATAGGAAGGGTGTTGAGGGACGTCCTGGGGCTGAGGCTCTTGCTGCCGCCCCGGACAGGGTCGTAGTAGCCCCTGGAAGGACGGGGGTCGGCCATTGGGCGAGGGTGGGGCGGGGCGGGGGCGTTTTCGCGGGAGCGGTGGGCTGCTGGGTGTTGGGGGTGTTGATGGGTGCGGGGTGGATGTGGTGGTGGGGGTGAAGGGGTCCAAGAAATCGGCTGGGAAAGACAATGGATGGGGGATGGGATGGGAAGGGATGGGGCGGTGGGGGGTGCCGGCGTTGTCTCTCTCCCTGTCTCGTGCCGGGGCTCTTTCGCTCGCTGCCTCTTCTTCTTCCGTCCACAAAGATGTCGCCAGTATCCGGCCACAACAGCCCAGATTATGGCCCACTTTTGCTGTATCGGGCTGCGTGCTGAATACATTTCATTCCTTGCTCTTCTCTCAGTCATGCATCAAACGGCATTCTTGCTCAGTGGATGCAGGAGCCCTTCTCTGGTCATGTATAGGTCGGTCCAAAAGCTCGAAGGAAGTTCACATGCATCCCTCAATAATCACACAACACATTCACCCAAAACCCTACTGCGCACTTTGGCCCAGTCCGAAACATCGAACGCGTGTGCCTCCCTCCACCCTCGCCTCCACTCTCTCAGGTACCGGGTTTCTGCGGTGTTGCATCAAGATGGCGAAAATGAACGTTTACTCTTTCAACCTGCTCGTTTGAGATATATGCAGCTAGATACATCTTTCCGGAGAGACAGCCGTCTCTTCTCTGTGCTTTTGCTTCGTTCACCATTTGCTCGACCACCACACAACTCGTCATCCCCAAAGCCATGTGAGATCACTATTGCATGTTAAACTACAAGATCATACCCTCTCGAGAACATACAACCATATCCCCGTCTCCGGCTCATAAACCACCCTCTCTCCACGCCCATCCCTCACCAATCGGCCTTCGGGGAGAGAAGTCATAGCGACAATCTCTTTCCTGATCACTCTCCAGCCGTACTTTTCTTTGACATCGAGTTTGGGAAGAGAGGTGGGAGCAGAGCTTGTGGCAGGTGAAGAGGAGGTGGGAGGAGAAGAGGGGGAAAAGGGAAGGAAATCATACCTCGTCGAAGAATACGATACGCTCACCCACCTCCCACCCTTCCTCACCACCCGTCCAACATTCAACAACGTCCTCTCCGCCGGGTCTACCGGTAGCCCTTCTTCCACTTCTCCTACTTTCCCTGATAGCGCTTCTTGAGACGTTGAAGGGGGTAAAAGAGGTCCGGTAGAGATAGCGTCGATAGTCGACTTGTCTAGTACCACATCCCACTTTCTCTTTCCCTTTCCCCTTCCCCTTCTCCCTCCCTCCCCTCTTCTTCCTCCACCTTCTCCTTTCTCTCCCCCTGTCCTTCCTCCATCCCCTACCACCCCTCGTCCTTTGGAGAGAGGCAGACTCGCATACAAAGACCCCATATCAAGCGCATCAACCAACAAGAACGGGACCCTCCCTTCTTCTTGAGCGGTAGAGGAGGGGAGCGGGACGTAGTCTGCGTCGTAGACTTGGCATTTTGGGATACTTGAGGCTTGGGTTTTGGGGGGAGGGGGCGAGGGGGAGGCGGAAGGGGAAGGGGAAGGGGAAGGGGAAGGGGAAGAAGGAGGGGGGGAAGGAGGAGAGGAATCAGGGGAAGGGGAAGAGGAAGAGAGGTAAGTTTGGAGTTGGGTACCGAGGATGGAAGTGCCGCTTCCTAGATGAAGGATATTCACCACTTCTTCCTCTCCTTCTCCTCCTCCTTCCTCTCCTTCTCCTTCCTCTCCTTCTCCTCCTTCTCCATCCACTCCCCAGCCCCCCTCCCCTCCCTCCCCACCCCCATCCTCAAACCAGTCACAGATCCTCGGCGGCGGAGGAAGCTCACACACAACATCCCTCACAATCGGTACAAGCGTACAAGCCGGTACGAGCCATTCAAAATTCGTTTCTGTTGTGAAGCGGGTTGACCAGTAGGTTGGGGACCAGAAATCTGTTCCGGTCTTTAATGACATTGGGGGATTTCTTGCGTCACGGTTGATGTTGTTGTTTTGATTCTTCGGTTTTGTTTAAAGATGGGAGTATATGGGGGGTAGATGGCTAGGAGGCAGATGAAGATGCAGGCAGATGGCTATCATGTAAAAGGTCAGCACCTCTATTTCTTATATTGACGAGAGGAGGAAGATTATGACGGAAAGGACGCACAAGTGTAGATGCAGATGCGGAGATGCCGGGCCAGATTGTTTTGGATTCCGCTCTTTCTTCTAATCTTCTATTGCTTCCACCTCGGACTGTCTGTCTAGTTCATCAGTATGCTTTCCCAGCCTCAAGACCGAGCCTTACTTTGTGATCGTATACTCGAATGCACAAGGAACCAAAGCGCCTCTTACTTGAAAAAATAAGCGCCGCACACTCCGCGCTCAACGCCACATGTCCTCCCCTATCCTATAATCCCCCATTTGCTCCCGCTATGACCGGCTTCCGCTTAAGCTTTCCTCCTTTTTTTTATCAGATAAAGGCTCCACACACCGCCCGCTCGAGCCCTTTCTTATCCTTCCGGCCGAAATTCTATATCCAACAAATCAAAAGCGCTTCTCGCATCTCGGCCAAGAAAGGGGAGCATTCTGATTAGACGATTAGTAGTCCGCAGTCAGCGGTTCAAGAGTACGATAAGGAAAAACAAGAGGGAAGGCTAAAGAAGGCGCCATGTGCTGAGCCGGTGAGTACCTCGTATCTCTTCGCAGCCTTGGCGTATTGCATTACTTCGTTTTGTTTTCTTGTCTCTCTATCTTATGGTCATTTGCCCAGACAGATGGGGGTGTTTCGCTGGAGCTGGAGAATATCGTCATAGCCGAAAGGATCGAAGAGATCGACAGGCTCATCATGGCTCTTCGGCAGATCCCACTCGACATGCCCACCCTCCTCACCTCCATATCACCCCTCAACTCCACCTCGCCCCTCCCCTCCAACACCACCCAAAACTCCACCCAAAACTCCACCACCCCCGCCCCCACAGGCCACATCCTCTTCACCCCCCGATACCACTACTACGCCTCCCGCTACTCCTGGCTATGGATCCTGAGCGCCATCTCTTTCCTCGTCATGCTCCATCTCCTCCGTCTTCTGCGGCATCACCATCGGCGGCAACGCCAACGCCAGAGTCTGAGAAGGGAAGTGAGGGGGTACAAGGCTGTGGCGGGGGATGAAGATGATCGGCATGCTTCTGATCCTTCGTCTTCCCCTGCTTCTGGGAATGGGATGAGGAAGAGGGCGGGGTGGGCCACACGCCAGCTGAGAGCGATAGGAGCAGGATGGAGGAACGTCATGTACCTCTCCCGTTTCCCTTCATGGCTGTACATGCCAGAAACAGTTGCGGACGCCGTTTGGACATTGCTGTATATGGGGGTGTATCTGTTCTTTGGGTTTCATAAGACTTCTTGTGAGTATTTCTGTATCTTTAGACAGGAGGAGATGAAGAAGGAGGGAGAAGGAGGGAGAAGGAGAGAAGAAGGAGAGCTGATGGGGGTATAGCGTGGTTCCCGATGAGGAACGACAACGTCGCAAACCAATTCGGCGTCATGGTCCGTCCTCCCCTCTCTCCCCTACCCCTTCCCGCACCAGCTAACCCCCTCCCCTTCCTTCTAGTCGTTCTCCCAACTCCCCCTAATCCTCCTCCTCGTATCCAAAAACAACCCCATCTCCTCGCTCACCGGCATCACCTACCAAAAACTAAACTACCTCCACCGCGCTTCGTCTAGGCTTTGTCTGTTGACGAGCTGGGTGCATGCGTTGTTGTGGACGCCGAGGGTTTGGGCGGCGGGGGATACGAGGCCTTATTTGTTGTTTGTGAGTTTTGCTTTTCCCTTCCTGGGCGAATGAGAATGAGTGAGATCGAGAGAGGGAAGGGGAAGGGAGAGGGAGAGGGATGGGAAGCTGACAGAGGGTATAGGGTATAGCAGCGTTAACGGGCTTTACGATGCTCTGGATAACGAGTTTCCGGATTATCCGTCGCGTGGCGTACGAATTCTTCTTGGTGGCTCATATCCTCTTTTCCATGTACGTCCCTGTCCCCCGGGGAAACGTGATGTGACGAGAAGAAAGAAGCTGACAAGAAGAGAACAGAATGTATCTAGTAGGCGCCCTCTTCCACTGGAAATGGCTCCATTATTGGGTCTGGCCCGCCCTCCTTATTTGGGGGGTGGATAGGGCGATCCGGTTTGGGAGGTTTGTGTATATCAATGGGTTCCTTCCCTTTGCTTTTGGCTCGAGGAAGAGCGGGGAAAGAAGGGCGGGGGAAGGGATTGGGGAAGGTGAAGGAGGAGACGGGGAAGAAGAAGAGGAAGAGGAAGGAGGAGAAGGAGGAGGGAGAGGAGGGAGAGGAAGGTGTCAAGTAGAGTTGCTGGATCATGACGTTATGCGGATAACCATCAACCGCCGAAACTGGAGCTGGAAAGCCGGCCAGCACGCGTAAGCCCCTCCCCTCCCCCCTTCCCTCTCGAACCAGAAAACTGACTTACGGGCAGCTTCATATCTGCCCCAAGCATCTCCCTCTCCCCGCACGAATCCCACCCCTTCTCCATAGCCAACGTCCCCACCCCCTCCTCCAACGACGCCATCTTTCTCATCCGCATCCATTCCGGCTTCACCAAAAGACTGCGGCTGGCGCTGGGGGGCGATGTGGAGAGGGGGGTGAGGATGTATGTGGAAGGGCCTTATGGGTATGCGCATTCGTTGGATGGGTATGAGGCGGTGTTGCTGTTGGCTGGTGGGACGGGGGTGACCTTTGGGTCGGGGCACATGTTGCAGATCCTGCAAAACGCCAAGGAGGGGGGTTCTGCGGTCAAACATCTGCATCTGGTGTGGCATATCCGCCATCCAGAAGATATCGAATGGCTCGCTCCCCTCCTCAACCTCGCTGCCTCCCTCTCCGCCCAAAGCGAGATAGAATTGAGGGTGGATGTGTATGTCACCAAGAGTCATGCGTCGGACGAACCTCTCCCGCCGAATGGGATAAGCGAGAGGCTGGCGGCTATGGCGCCGGATTACCTGAGGGAGCGGTTTGATGAGGCGCGGATACCGTTGACTCCTTTTGGGGCTGAACCGGGTACGCCGGGGACGATGGGTGGAGGGGAGAGTCGGGATGAGACGATCTTGCTGCCGAAGCCGCTGCCTCCGATGATGAGCGGGACTAGGGAAATGGGCAGGGTGGGCAGGTTTGGTCTGACGGGGGAGGCTGCGAGTCTGGTCAAGTGGCATAGGGGCCGAGCGGATTTGGGGAGTATCGTAGAGGAGGATGCGAGGGCGTGCGAGGGGGCTATGAACGTTTCTGGTAAGTCCCTTCTTCTCGTGTAAAGCATGAGCTGATAGGGGGTAGCATGCGGGCCTGTACAATTACTGCAATCGGCGAAAAAGGCGGTGAAAGAGGTCTCGACGATGCGCGCTACGCGGGACGGGCTGGCGAGCATAGATTTCTTCGAAGAGACGCTAGGGGCGTAGGATCAAATTAGTATAAGTGTCATCTCTCTAGGGTTATACGGTGTATCCATGATGAATTGTATAGTACCACAGCTGTGACGCGTTGTTGACGCGTTGAGGAGGCAGGCCGTGCGGTGGACCTGGATCATCGCTTCTCTTCCATCTGGCTCGTCTCTGTGTTTGGTGTTTGAGTGTCCCCCTCGTTGAGTGAGGATCTTCACAGGGCCCAGACGGCTCTCCCTTCCTCGGCTGAGCATACATAGCTGAAACCAGGTGCCACACTCGCCGCACCGCCCGAGGTCTGTGTGTGGATGGCCCGAGCGTGCCCCGAAATCACACGCGTCGACGGCCTGAAAGGACCTCTGTGATGTCGCAAACATGCTCGCAATCAACAACTCTCTCTCTTCTCCATCTCTTCTTTCTCCTCTATATCACCCAACATCCCTCTACCCAGTCACTCTTTGTGAGTCCTCTTGCCCGCCTAGCCCACCACTGACGCACAGAGCGTAGTACAATGTCCGCGCCATCTTGGGCGAACCAAGCCCCCAGGGTCCATCCCCAGCCTCACCCATTCCACCCACCCCCCCACGCCATCTACCACCCCCCAACCCAACACCCTCCTGCCCAATGGCACCCCGCCCCAGCCACTCGCAAAATGCACCCCCCACCCCACCCTTCCGGCACCCCCGGCGCCCCTATCCCTCTCCCGCTCCCTCACCCATCGCACGACTTTCCCAGCTTAAACACCGTCGACGCCTTTCCCGGGCAAGGTGAACTCGAGGACGACTTGGTGGGTATCGAAGCGCTCGACCCCGCGCTGTATGATACACCGCCAGTGACGGCTATGGAGGTCGTGCCTCAACAAGCGCGGGGCAGATCCCAGTCTGTCGCGTCAATGAGTGAAGAAGGCAGTACGACCCTCACATTCTTCCCCAACCCCACCCAGCCGCCTATCCAGCTCAAAGGCGCTCGCAAATCCGGGCTCCTCCCTGCCCCGGCGGGGTGCAAGCTCGAAGTGAACCAGCTGCTCATCCTCCGCCCGCCTCAAGCTAGCACGAGCCAGTCGTTTGACGGGCAGACGAGCAAGTGGGAGATGTATACGTGTAGGGTGTGTTCAAAGACGTATGATGGGAAGAATGCGAGGAGTGTGGCGAGGAGGCATTTGCAGGATAAACATGGGGTGCCGTTGAGTCTGCAGGCGAGGAGGAGTCGATGGGATTATGGTATGTCGCCGCGTTCGAGTTTGGACAGGGCTGACGTTGGCGTAGCCGAGCCGAAAGAGAAGAATACGCCAGAGCTTCGAGAGAGTATATTGAAGAGCAAGCGCGACTGGGCTGTCAAGCATCGGTACGTGACCCCATATATTTGGAGTTGGTCGCTGACGTCGCGATAGCCAACAGAGCAAGATTGAAAAAACGCACGCCGAGTTTCTCGAACAGTTCGGTCCCCGCGGCCTTTCCGCCACGCACGGTGTCATCCTCATCGCCCCCCGCTTCCGCGGTCCGTCCGGCGCTCTCGAAGCCGGCGACTCGCCCTTTATCGACGGCATCAACGGCAACATTGTCATCCCCGAAGAGATCCTCACCGCCGTCAGCATCCTCCGCGCCAACGAAAAACGGCTCAAAACCGAATCCGCCACCAATCAACCTACCATGCCCCTCCGCGCATCTACACCTCCCGACAGGCTCATGTCGGCCCTCACCGTCTCGCCCAAGAGTCCTCAGCGGTTCCCGCAGCCTCCGCAATCGACGCACCATGAGATTTATCAGCATCAGCTGGATCATTTGCGGAGGCAGCATGCGACGAGGCCGTTTGGGTTTGCGGATGTGCCTATGGCGGATAGGCATCCTGGTGGGTATGGGCCGCCGACGAGGGGTGTGCAGGATGTGATGGTGGGGCAGGGGCAGATGAGTATGCCGGTGTATCAGAGGGCGGCGGGCGAAAGAGTCTCGGGCCAGTCGGTTGAGGCTGTGGCGTTCGCGTCAGCACATCCCGAGACTCGCGCTCCTCCCCAGCAAGCACCTCAGCCCCAAGTCCTCGAGCCAGCTTCCGAAATCGTATCCGACCAAGGCGAAAGGTCTAGAGGCGCAGACAGTATAGATATCGAAGCCGAAGTGGCTGCCGAGAGTCTTCTCAACCTCAGCACCCCCATCCGCGCTCCCGAAGACGAAGATCCCCCAACAGCAGACCCTGCCCCCCGCCCCGCTCCGCCAGCTTGGAAGCTGCTCGATGCGCCTTCCATCGGGCCTGCTACCAAACCCAGGCCTGCAAGAAGCAAGTCGTCTCTCCAGCCTTTCCGCGACCCCCGACCAGAAGTCACCCGGAGTCTCAGTTTCGAGCAGACGCCGAGTATGGATGATGATCCATTCGGTTTCGGCGAGACGCCTGATAGACCTACGTCTTCCGCTACGGGTTCGTCCAGGACCAGGGCTGTGACGTCTTCTCGCGCGAGTCGTAAGAATATGCCGAGTCCGTCGCCTCTTTCGGCTTCGACGCGTAAGAGGAAAGCCCCGCCTTCATCCCCATTCGCCCCTCCCCCTCCCTCCAAAACCCAAGGCCAAGCAGAGCCAATCTCCCGCCCCGCCCTCCGCCCCTTATCGACATCCTTCTCAAACTCCAACCGCGGCTTCACAACGCTCACAGCCACCCCCATCCGATCCGCCATATCCAGTACAACCCCGCACCCCCTCCGCGCGGCGCCGTTTTCGCATACGAAGAATTGGCTACTGTCGTCGCCTAGTAACAAGGGGGATGACGATGGGGCGGCGAGTTTGGGGTTGGTGCCTACGCATTTGGCGCCGGCGACGCCGGGGATGATGAGGGGGATTATTGGGGTGGAGACGCCTGATCATTGGGGGGTGGGGGTGGGGGTGCGCGGGAAGGAGGGGAGTGTGGGTGGCGCTGGGGGTGGGGCGGGGGCGGGGGTGAAGGTGAAAGAGAATGGTGGGGAGACGGGGTTGGGGACGGGAAAGGTGAAGAGGAAGAAGGTGGTTTTGGATACGCCGACGCGCTGAGTGATACGTTTACGTGTTTGAGCCACGACAAACGGTTAATCGAAGGAGATGATCAGGTCTGGGGGTAGTGTTGGGATGTGGGGGACGTATTTTTAGTACAGTACGAGTACAAGTTAAAAAGTTGGATGCTTTATGGACATTCCGAGGTTGGTATTTTTTGAGAGACACACTTTCAGAGTCTGTTTACATGCAGATGCAAAGTACCATCAGTTGAACGAGGAGAGGGGTGAGAGTAAGGCGGCGGATAGGGCGAAGAGGTGCGTTTTCTCCTTACATTGTATGACGAGGTAGAAACTGATGGTGGAGATAGTTGCAAAAAGTGTTTGGTGATCCGGTCCCGCCAGAACTCATTTCCTGCTCCCGAGCACCAACCCCCACTACCACTTTCGACCCATGGGACATGAGCTATTCATCGATAAGCTCCATCTCGTCCACCTCGACCCGCCAAACAGACTCCCCACCTCTCGAACGTCTCTCCTTCTCCTCTCTCGACGACAGCCGTGAGCACACCGGCGGCGGAGGAGAAAAAGGAAGGGGGAAGGGGAACAAGTGGAACAAGTTGAAGGATCTGCGGAGGAAGATGGCTTCGCGCTGTTGTTCTTGAGTGGGCACGGGGGGGATGGGGATGGAGGGCGGGGGGAAAGTGAGAGACGAGGAGGGAGACGATGGATGCGGTGTTTGTGATTATGACTTGACGACTTTGAAATGATCTAGACCTTGTATAGATGGAGCTTATGGATGAGTAGCTCATGTCCCATGGGTCGAAAGCGGGCGTGGGGGTTGGTGCTCGGGAGCAGGAGATGAGTTCTGGCGGGACCGGATTACCAAACACTTTTTGCATCTATCTCCACCATCAGTTTGTACCTCGTCATACAATGTAAGGAGAAAACGCACCATCTTCGCCCTATCCGCCGCCTTACTCTCGCCCCTCTCCTCCCTCAACTGACTCTAACTGACTCTCACAACTCGTCGGTACCACGGCGGACTAGACAATCTTCCCTCTCCCGCTCTGGCATCCTCCTCCCCGTGCCCCTCCTCCCCCTCCACCTCCCCTTCTTTTCACCTTGCCCTGCTCGGGCAGTAGCAGCGCTCGACCCAGGCGACGGGCTCTCCGGCCCCGCCTCCCCCATCTGCACATCATACTTCCTCACCCCATTCGGCGGCCCGTTCAACGATCGCTCAAACAGCGCTTTGGGCTCTCCCAGGAGCTGTTCGAGTTTCTTTGTCCTCTTCTCCTGGAGGGTGGCCGGGGAGGGGATGGGAGTGCTTGGTCGTAAAGGATGGTCTGAAGGAAGGCTCTGTAGGAAAGGATGGTTCCAAGGAAGGGCGGGGGATGCTGGCTCAGCAAAGGAGAAAGGCCACACCGGCGCTGATCGCTCAGCACCAGGGGCACGCTCCGTCGGCGGTATCCCACTCATCTCGCTCTCGGTCTCGTCGAAGATACGCACAAGATCAACACTGGGGGGGAGGGTGGTGCCGGAGTGGGGTGTCCGGGGCGGGCTCGAAGCCGGGGGGTGGTCTGTGAAGGGATTGTGGGTGAGGATCGGCTGGGCGAGAGTGCGCTTTTTGTACGGAGAGGCATGGTGGGTACGGGGCCAGGTCCGAGGGGGGTACAGCGCGGCGAACTTCTAGTGTGCATGAGGCATGGAGAAATCTATTGTCCTTGGGATACCCCGTGTGTGCTGATGTACGTATGCATTGTTGATGGGGGTTGGTTCTACTCTTTTGAGTTCTACGCTACCCCCGTGCCTCATATACCTTGCGCCCCCCCGGCTATGGAAAGTGCTAGGATACCTATCCTGTCGCAGCCGTACAAAGGGATCGCGGGAGATGACGGTACAACGATACAACAGGTACATGTTTGTTTTGTACGTCTTGCTGCAATATAGACTTGGAAATAAGTGAGGTAGAGTTTGGGGCAACTCAGCCTTCGTTGACCGCGGCCGACGTCGGGACATGAAGATGATGCAGTGACAGAGTGATAGAGTACCCCTTTCTCAATGCGAGATGATCGTTCCTAGTTCTAGGCTGGAAGGAAAGAGGTGCATGGAGCTAATGCTTTTCCAAGCGTCTTTGACATAGCCACTCTGAAAGTATCATCCAACATATCATAAACTCCCTCTTCTCTCTCTCACTCCGCCCTTTGGGCACCCTTATCACAGAATGCACTCGCACTCGATCTTACAGCCACAACCCTTTCTCTCGTCAACGCTGCAGCCACCGTTGTTGTCCTGGCCGGGTTCGGTTCCTGCACGACTCTCTCCTCCGTCGCTAACTTGACTCTGATCCTGCTGGCTCTTATAGGCAGGGCTCTCTGTCGGCTGTTACTGCGACACATGAGGTTCCTGCGTATCTACCTGTGTTGCCTGGGAGAGCTGCTCAGTGGGTGCGTTGGGTGCGTCATGGGCAGACATGATGTTGGCAAATGATTCTGGGTAACCAACAGCCATGCTTTCTACAGTTTCCTCACTTGTATGCAGCTGGTGCTCTGTAGTATAAAGAGTCAGCCAACAAAGGCCCCAGTGAAGTCCCTTCTCATCATCTCTTTCTCATCATCTCTCAGGCATACAAAGGATCAATTTGAGTTGACGCGGAGCCGCAAAGCTGCAGCCTTAACACCTGATCATCATGCATCGTCAACTTTTGCCTCAGCTATATACTCTTCTACCACAGTTTTGCAAATCAGTAGAGACACTGATTCTCATTCATATGCCCAACCTTCTCCGATGCATTCCATAAGGAACCGCGTGGACCGTGGTCGCTCAACACATACTAGTACGAGACCCTCTCCACCACCCTTCTCCACTTCAATCCCCGCCAGTGAAACAACTACTAATGTACTTTCTCATCTTGCCCCTCCTCTTGCCCCTCCTCTTGCCCCTCCCCTCCCCCGTCTGACTTTGAATCTCTTCTCCTTCACTACTCCTAGTGTCACTTTGATATGGGACGCTGTTAGACTCGTCCTCCTCCAATGCGGATACCAAGCCAGAAGCGAGGGAAGACTGGCTCGATACCGAAGGCGCTCGGCCTACCAAAACTTCGTCACTCCAATTGCGCTGTACCTCTGGCATGCGTCCCCCGTCCCCAGTGAGAAGGGAGTGGCTCGCATGAGAGGCAGCAGGAGCCGACTCTTCCGGCAATTGACTAGAAGTCCCAGCGGTACCATAAACGAAACTCATCCTCTGCGCCTTTTTGGGCTCGGCAGCCTCGTAATCCCAATCAGGCGTGGGGCCCGAGCGAAAGTCCATAAGAGACCGAGGAGTCTGTCCTCCCTCGTTTTCAACATCATCCGCAGCAGAAGAAGGCTGGTGAGAAGTATCGACTTGGAGGGATTGACGTCGCGTTGGCGTTGATTCGCCACCGCCTTCTTCTTGTGCGCGGCTCTCGGCGCCGAAGCTTTGACGGGCAGAGGTGAAATTGTCCTCACGAGCGGTAGAGAAAGAGTTGCGGGTACTAGCTGGGGAAAGAGGGGGAGAAGACATGGTTTGGACGGCTTTTCAGATTTTTTGGGCTTGTGGGTGGAAGATTGTTGGGAAGGGGCAATTGAAAATTATCGGGATAGTTGCGGCTTTATGCATGTGACCTGGACTGTTCGGCTGTTCAACATGAAACAGTCGCTTAACGGAGTCTGCCTCCCCAATAGAGGTGGGACATGTCCCGTATCAGCCCGTTCAAAAAGGAAAGACAAAAACTTGTCTTGTTGATCAAAGGAATGATTCTCGTCAGCATGATCTTTGCGAGCCCCACCTTATCTCCCAAAGATGTAATGATAGCTTCCCGCATCCTGGTATACGACCAGACTCGCATACAGATAAAGCCATGCGACTATCCTTCTAAGCTCTCCGTCTCGCATTCGCACAATGGACCCGCTCTTCGATCGATAAACGATTCTGGCAACATCAACCTTCTACTCGTTTCTTCCTTTTCCTTCCTCAGCTGTAAAGACAGTGGTTCCACGATATAAACAATCACCCATCATTCTGCATGAAATACCATCAAAAGAGCACTACTATAACAACCCAAGACACCAAGAAACACCGAAACAACATTACTTGTACCAACCAAACAGCAGTAAGAGACTATGCAAGAAGCAAATTGAGAACACAGACAAAGAGAACTACCTCGTCATTGGGGTTTTCTTACCGCATCTCGATGGACTCTCCCTCCGGCTCCGTCCTCGACCCTGACCCACTGCCCGACCCACTCCCCGACCCACTCCCACTCGGCCCCGCCTCTTCCCTAACAACCCTACTCTCCGTCCTCTCCCTCCTCACATTCGGCTGATTCCACTCCCTCTTCTCCTCCTCGCTACTCGTTGTCGCCCCCTCTTCTTCCTTTGCCACCTCCTCCGGCAGCTCATCGGCGATACAGAGGTTGAGGATGATCATGACGAGGGCGGAGATGAGGTAGGGTTCTTCTACTATCAGGACGACGGCCTGGATGAGGCCTTTTTTGCCGGCTATGGAGAGTATTAGCTTGGTTGAGGGAGGACAAGAAGGGGAGGAGGGAAGGAGGGGAACGTACCAGAAGTGCCAGTGTAGGTGAAAAAGTAAGAGAACCAATCGGGCACACAAAGACTCGCCATCCCCAACCCCATCCCCACCGTCGCAATAAACCGATCCCTCCTCGTCCACCTCGCATAAGCCAACACCCTCACCCCACTCGTCGCCACTGCGCCAAACAAAAACGTCGTGAAACCCCCAATGACACTCGCCGGCGCGGCGCAGAATATGGCTCCGAATTTCCCGATGATGCCCATGAGGAAGAGGATGAAGGCGCACATGTAGCCGGAGGAGCGGGAGGCGTTGCGGGTGAGGGCGATGACGCCGGAGTTTTGGGAGAAGGTCGTTAAGGGGGGGACGGTGGCGAGGCCGGCGAGGGTGGCCATGACGGCGTCGGCGAGGACACCGCCTTGGATACGGGATTCGAATTCGCCGCCGCTGATTGGCATTCGAGACACGTCGGAGCTGGGAGTGTGTTAGCTGGGAGGAGGCAGGGGGGAGGGGGAAGGGGCTTACGAGGCGGTAACGTTACCGATAGTCTCAGCGACGATGACTGCCCAGGCAGCTATCATCGGCAAAACCAACTGCCCTCTCAAACTCAGATGCCACGTCTGCACCCACAAAAAGTTGCCCGCTGGCGCACTCGTGATCGTCTCTTTATCGAAAAAGCCCGTAGCTGCCGCAATGATCATACCAATGATCAAGCCGAAAAAGACAGAGGCGGATTTCATGAATGCTGATCCAAAGAGCTCGCAGATGATGATGACGGCGAAACAGGAGAAACCGAGGCCGATAAAAGTAGCAGACCCCCAGTACTCTTCCCGGGTACCGGCAGTACACTTGACAGTATGGTCGCTCGCACAAGTCACCCCCGAGCCTCCCGCCCAGTTGTTCACACCGCTCTTGATCAAGGAGGCGCCGATAAACATCAACATGGTACCCGTGATGAGCGGTGGGAATGCTTTTCGGATGGCGCGGGGAGGGACGAAGGAGAGGGCGATGGCGAAGAGGCCGGTGAGGGTGGCTGTACCGAGGATGGCGCCGAATTCTTCGGGACAGGGGAGTTTGGTGACGCCGTCAGTGTCGTAGGAGCATGTGCCGTCGGCGTACTGCACTGCCGTCAGTGGGGTTCATGGAGGAGGGGAGGTACGTACAGCTTGGGTAAGCCAGGCGAGGGCGATGTTGGCGAAAGCGAATGATGTTCCCTATCTTCATCAGCCTCGGTCATCAAGAAAGAGGAAAAGACTCACGGTAACACTGATCAAACCTGTACCAAAGAAATATCCCGTTTTGGGGATCTTGAATCGACTGACCTGGATCGCGGTACCAACCCCGCACCAGATGAGACACGCGGATACCAAATATAGCTGGGATTCAGTACCGAGGTTGGCACCAGCGGGACCGGCGAGAAGCAGAGGGGGAGTGACGAGACCGCCGACCATTGCCAGTGCACTATTCTCGTCAGTCCTGCCCCTTTTTTTCAAGATGATGACTTACTGTTGCAGTCCGAGGATGAAGAGAAGCAAGTGCGGTAGGCGCTCGTTGACAGTGTAAAACGGCAGTTCTTTATTCTGCTTTTTGGTGACAAAGGGGATGTAGGGAATCATCAACGCTCCGTAGTCCTACTTCCGTCAGCATCCTTCCCTCACAAAAGCTGGATACGCACATAATCACCCAACCACCCCTCTTTGGTGACAAGACTCTTGAGGACCTGCTTGGCCTTATTCTTCCTGGATGTGGGGAGGGGCCCGAGGACTTGGTCGTCGGCATCTTCGTAGGAGGGGAGGACCTGGACACCGGAGGTGATGCCCTTGCTCTTGTCGAAGGAGGACTCTGGTTCGATGTTGGACATGGCTGTGTGGGGCCAGGTCATGCATGGGGTTGGCTATATACTCCGGGAGGGATGAGGTAATGGTGAAAAAGTGTTATCTGGCAGCCGGGGACCGAGTACCGGGGCTGTCGGACAGATAGCGCCGTCCAATCACAGCGGGCGATCAGACTTCATGCTTCATTCAAGCATCGCTAAGATATTCCACTGCGCTCAACTCGGGGCGGGCTTGCATCTCTTGCACTGCTTACTTGTGCTGTGAGCTGGTACTGCTGCATACCTCTCATGGCCATGCACGCACACTGGAGACAGGGAGACAGGAGAGAGCAGCTCCACCCCTCGCGCGCTCTGATTGGCCGCAGATAAGCCGCGATAAGCATCTTCCCGCCTCCCTCTCTCTCCCAGCCTCATGTCATCCATTCCAAATATCTGGCATGCGGGAAAAAGTGACTCCAAGCCCCACCACGCCACTTTCATTCGATCATCGGCCATCGGAGTAATGCATACAGTACCCCTATCCTTATTTCTCTCCCTGCTAGGCCTGCTAGCTGTCATCCAACCCTGCCCTCAGTCTCCCCTAGGTCACTCAAAGCTCATCATGTCGGCCTTGAACCTTACTCTGCCCAAGTGCAAGCCCCACCCCAGCCTTCGCAATCACTTCCTCCCAGTTATCTACCGGTGTACAAGCTTGCACGCGCTTTCCTGGGACCGGTTGGCGCTCACATCCTACGGCTATACACGGTCATCAGTCCTCTGCTTCAGTTGTAGGAAAAAACCGGCGTACGACAAGGAGCAGACTCGTTGAACTGGTGCGCAAAGAATACGTCCGTCTCGTTCGTCAATACATTCCCCAGCCTACCCATCATATCAGCCCTTCTTCTTCTCTCTTTCTTCTTTGACGTGATGGGAGGACGTACATGAGCGTAGCATGCCCCAGAGAATAACTCTTCTCCCAAACCTCAGAGGACGGAATGTATATTTGGTTCCTGCCGTCTATCATCCGTTGTTAAGCTCTTGCACCAGCCCATGTAAGAGGAGTGGGGACGTACGCTCAGCAATAGTCCTTATGCTACTCCCATAAATCACTTCCTTGAACCCAGCCCATCGGATTGCTGAAGCGCACATTGGGCATCTACCTTCCACCATCAGCTCTTTCCTATCTCCTTCTTCTTCTTGACAGATCATGTAGAGCAGAGATGCGGAAGAAGGACGTACGGTTCTCCATTCGTATACAGACTAAACTCTTTCCACGATCCCAATATCTCTTGCGGCGTCCACCCCTTCTTCGTCAAGACGTCTGTACAGTGCGTGATCGCGCTAATCTCCCCATGCATCGCCGGATCTATTCTCTTCTCATCAGCTCTCCTTTCCTCCTCCCCCCCTCCCCTTCTTCAAAACGCAAAAGAATAAAAAGAGACTCACTCCCAGTAACCCCAACGCGATTCGAAATAACACAAACCAACTCATCCCCCGTCGTATTCACCACCGCACTCCCAAACGGCGCCTGCGGACACGGATGCCCATCCGCATAGACTGCCTCGTTAGCGACGCGCATCCAGTGGAGCCGCCGGTGGGCGGGGACGTCGTTGATGGCGAGGCCTTGGTGGAATTCGGGGTGGATGGCCGTGTCGTAGGCGCTTACTAACTGTAGTGTTCGGGTTGGTGTGAATGACGGGAGGAGGGCGAAGAGAGGGAGGAGGGAGGGGAGGAACATGGTGGTCTTTGGACTGCAGAGGTGGAAAGATAGAGAGAGGGAGGCGGGCAAGATGCAGTGGCAAGATGGATAACGGCGCCCGCCCGAAGCGCTTTCGACCCAAGTCCGAAGGATTCTCTTATCTCTCTCGGCAACACCGCCGCCATCTCCTTGAACATCGGACTTGGATTTTCCAATGATTCAACATCTTTTTTTGGATCTGCACTCCGCTACAGTCCTCATGCTATCCTTCTTCGCTTGCAGATGGGGATGCATCAGCAGTGCTGTACAAGTAACGTAACCTGGTCATAGCCTCGCTCGTCGTCGTGGAATCGATATGGTGTACCCTCTTCACTCTCTCTCCCTTCACCCGCTCACACCCCGAACAACATCACGCAGCCCATTCCTCCTGGTGAACGCCAACACAACATCCTGCCCCCAAGAAACACGCAAATCAGCCTCCCCTCTTCTTCTTCTCTTTCTCTTCTAACGGCACCATGCGGAGAAAAAGAATGAAGCTTCGACTATGATGCGCTGTACGAGTACTGATGGTGGCATGCAGTGGGGAGGTGGAGATCGCCGTCGTCCACATGTACTTTGTGTTGAGTGGTCATCTGCCCGGCACAAGGCAACGGTAGACATCGGATGATGACCTCAGCAGTACATGCATCAACAAGGATCATGATGGGATGATTTCTTCAGCAGACATGCATCGAGTCTGGATTCTACGTGCTCTCCTGTAAAGACTGTACTGCCTACTACTGCAGTGCGTTCATTTTGATGCCACGCGTCATCACCACCACATACCTGAGTCCCGATGAGAGGGGTGGAAGGGCCCTGTACCATGAAGCTCGCCCCGCACGCCTCAACAGAGGCATACGTCGACCTTTCCCCTCCTTCTCCTCCTACTACTATCGCTGGAGGACTCTGCTGATGCGAGATTTTATGTTCGTGAGCCACCATTGCATCTTCTTGTTCAGCTCAAGTCTGTCCACGTGAATTGATACTTGGTCTATTTGAGAATGTCCCAGCTCGCTATTCACTCTCAATGTGCCCGCGTACATGATACACTGCCGACAACATCGTGGTAAAAGATCCCAACCACATTGTAAGGCTTCTGGAAGGAACCGAGAAGAGGTCTCTCGAGTCTATGATAGCAAAGCACATGTTCATCTCGAGCATGAAGTCACACTAACGCAGAACGCAGAAGCATATTATACAAATATCGATCTGGCACCCTATATGGATTCAAAGAAGCATGCGAACAATGGCTTTTCGTGATTCCTAAAGAAGCAAAAAAAGGCAAAAGTCGATGTAAAATGAGAGAAAAGGGTATACTAATAAGCAAGACAACTAGATATAAGTAACGATGCCCAGCACCGACTCGTACACCTCTTATACAACCTCCCCATATCTCCCCGATCATATGAGATCACCGCTCGTACACACAAGCCCGCCAAAGTCCAGGACGTTCTCCGCACCATCCGCCATGCCTCTCCGAGTCGTGCTGGCTCGCCACCTTTTACAGCCCCTGCCCTCGGCCAGACGCGCCATAAGACTGCCCCACCGGCATCGTCGGGTTGAACCCATAAGCCGCCGCCTGGCCCATTGGCGCAAAGAGCGAGGCCTGAGATTCACCAGAGTTCAAACGAGAGGGAGTCGGGGTATGCTGGGAGAAGGGTGGAGTGTTGGGAGAGTTGGGGAAGCTGAAGAATGGTGGGTTGGATGTGTGCTCGTCGGAGGGGGAAGGAGTCGAGTCGAATGGGAGAAGGCCGGAGGTCCAGCCCCAACTGCTCGCCTCTTGCTTCTGGCCCTGCTGCGGCTGCGCCCCAAAGTCTCCCTGTCCCTGCCAAGCGTGGCCGATCTCGTTCCCTACTGATCCCACGTCGAAGCTGCCTGACCCTTGGCGTGGTTGATGCTGGTGCTGGACAGGAACAAAGAGATCTGTAGTATCGGCGTCAGCATCATGTTTGCCGTTGGGATACAAAGTCATACTTACCAAGACCCTTCGTATACTGGTTGTGCTGGTACTGGTTCTCTTGCTCGAGCACCGAAGACGAGGAGACGGAAGTGGGTGCAGTAGACGCAGAGGTGAAAGAAAGGGCAGAAGACGACGATGCGGAAGAAACCGACCGGTCTTGAGGAGAGAAGATAGGATAAGTATGTTCCCCAACCGGACTCGGCGCACTGATCATCCCATCCAACACCGAGAAGAAATCCCCATCAAGCCCATCTCCGCCCTTCACCCCATTCGACACAAACGTCGTCGACGACACCTCCGAAGCACCCGCCTCCGACCCTGGCGTCAGCGGCGAAGACTCGGAGAACTGGGGCGAGCCCGAGAGCGTCAATCCGCCGAAAGCAGTGGGGTCTGAGAGCGCTTCGTTGAGGATGTGCTCGATGCTGTCGAGTCCGAGGGAGGCGTCGTCGAACTGGCCGCCGTATGACATCTGGCTGAGGTCGTCCATGCCAAAGTTGCCCGGGAAGGATAAGGCGTCGGGAATTATAGCGTCGAAGGAGCCCCAGTTGTTTTGAGACGGCGTAGGGGGAACAAACTCAAAGTTTGGGACGCCCTCGCTACTTTTCAGCGCCTCAAAGGGTACATTCAGCACACCCTGGTCCCAGCAGATATTGATCTGCGTCTCTTGCCTCCCACCCTCTTGGCCTTGCTGTTGGGCCATGTGCATGCTGAATGGGGAGATAAACCCGCCATTGGACGCGATAGAGCCGCAGGAAGAGCCGGGGGAGAGGGTGGCGGGGGAGAAGACGGAGTTGGAGTCGCCGTCGACGAGGGAAGGTTCAGGGGTGATCTCGGTGGAGGGGTCGAAGGAGGTTCGACGTTGGGTGTGCGCGCGACGAGGAAGATCCCGGACGGGACGACGAGTAGGAGTGTCATTGATAGTATTAAGAGGCTCGGGGGAGGCGGAGTAGCTGCAGGATGGTTGTCGGGGGACGCGTTTGGGGAGAGAGGCGACGAGTCGGGGACCCGAGGACGGCTTGGCGGGCTTGCCACCGCCCAGTTTCTTGCCTCGATTCCGTTTGTTCTGGAACTATGAGAGGCCGTCAGTATAGTCAAGCAAAGAGAAAGTTTTGGGAAAGGAAAGTCGCGCCGTTACGAAACACACAAAGACGCGTCGAAGACAGACCCCCGTCCTCCCCACGCGTGCACCCCAAAGGTACACCCCAACGCGACTTGCCAGAATAGCGAGATTTTGGTAGACAAGACTCACCCATGTGCGAACCTATCCAAGATGTCAGCTAATGAAGACAGACGCAATGCGAGCTGAGAGACAAGTACCTGCTGAGGAGTTATACCGGCGGCCGACGCGACGAGGTTTGTCTCGGCTGGAGACAAGACTGGGCAGCGCTCGTAGGCAGCTTCGAGTGTGTTGAGCGCATCCTGTCACATTATGAGCCTGTGATCTTCTGGTACGCAGATAAGAACCGATACTACTCGCCTCGCTGAATGTAGAACCTTTTCTGTTTATGACAGTTGAAGAGCCCTCTTTTTGGCCTTCCGACCGAAATACCATATCTGCCACCCTATTGAGAAATCTGTCGGACTCTCTGCGATAGTATTGTTCGAACACTTGAGCCACCCATAATTCTATCTCCTTGTCGCTCAAGCCTCCCAGCAACTCTTGTGATAGCAGGCCAGATGTAGTCGATCTGAATGTCTTCAGCATCTTATCGCCAAGGTATTGAAGCGTGACGCTTATTCGTTGATAGACTGTTTGCTGAAGGCGAGGAGAAAGCCAAGACAAGTTTGCTTTGTTACTAATGGAGCCCAGATCGGGAATGGCAATTTTTGGCTGCAAGCCAGACGTTGTGATAGGTTTGCTCGGTATAGACCCCCCTGATGAGCAGTCTGCGATAATCTGGTCGGCTGTGGCGGCCCAGCCTTCGAGGTACGAGTCGGAGTCCATGTTGAGGTGGCTGTCGGTATGATAGAGGTGGAATACGAACTGATAGAAGACTAAATGAGAACAATAGCAAGATACATAATCCCGATCAGAAAGGGGGTAGTGGCAGTATGGCCCGTGCACGAACAATAAGAAATGCGGTGTGATGGTTTCATCTGTCATCTGTCCAGGCACTGCACCCCTCAGTTACCATCACCACTTTCTCATTGTTCGTGAGTGGGGCTTGAAGGGCACATTAAATGCTATTCAAATGCATACTTCCACTTGTCATTCACACCAATTCTGTTACCATGCCCCATCAAACCACACATTCTGCGGCCCTTCTCCTGCAAGAGCGCCTGAGGCGACATACAAGACAATTTACAGAAACTCTCATTCAGAGCGACGAGGAGTGTTGGCAGAGATTTGTGAGCGACTGGAGGGCTATTGAAGGAGAGATCAGTCGGCTCGCAGGCCTAGAACTCCTTGACAGCGTCACGGGGGGCCTTGCCTACGCCGTAGCTCAGTATACCCAGGTGTCATGTAGGAAAATGGCACTTCTGGCTTCTCCGGACCACCCAAAAGTTGAAGAGGTGGTAGAGAAGATTGAGGCCCTTGTTATTAGTCGTGAGTTCTTGCTATGCTGTATATTCTTTTTAAGAGTCGAGCTGAAACAATCTGTCCTGGACAAGATACCTCCAAAAAGCGCCGCCACGAAGATCACAACCCCCGTCCCAAACGCTCCTGCCACCGCACATCCGAGCCCCCCGCCACTTCCTTCGAATGCGACCCCAACCCCGTCCCCACCTCCAAGCCCCCTCCCCCAAGCGGCGACCACTCCGTCGTCCGTCTCTGGTTCCTCAATAACCTCGCCTACCCCTACCCAACCGCCGCCCAAAAAGAGAAGCTCGCCGTCGCCGCCGGTATCGCCCGTGGCAAGGTCGACTCTGACCTCACCAACTTTCGCCGCCGGGCTGGCTGGACGGATATCTTGAACAAGTGGGCGGATGGGAATAGGGAGAAGATGAGGAAATTGATGGATAGGGTGGCGAGTGGGAAAGAGAAGAGGAAGGAGGTGTTGAAGGCTGTGGAGAAGTGCCAGGATTATTTGACGGAGAGGGAGACGAAGAGAGTTGGGGACTGGGTCAATGAGGTGAGCATGGCATGCTTTCACTTAATGACCATACTGACCTTCTCATAGATTGCCAAGGCCACCGCCTCCGAGCCCGCCGCTTCCGCCACTCCCAAGGCGTCGACCGCGTCCACCAAGCCGCGCGTCGAATCCATCTCCTCTTCCACCAACGACGCCCTCCGCTGCAGTACCCCCCGCTCTTTCTCCGGAAGCAGCGCCGCCTTCTCCGACATCTCCGATGCCTCCGTCCTCGTCCCCATCTCCTCCGCCCCTCTCAAGCGAGGCATACCAGACGAGTCCATCTCCCCATTCAAGCGCGCGCGAAACATCTCCTCTTCCTCCTCGTCGAGCGAGGTCGACAGAAAAGACTGGACCTCTTTCTTCCCCCGTCAGCAGATGGTAGCCACCCCCTACTCTGAGAGTCCGAGCTTCCACATCGGCTCAGATGTCTACCCTGACTACTCTTCCCGGAAACGTCACACCCTCTCGCAGCAAAAGCTGTACCCCATGCCACCCCCGGCTTACTCTGCTGTCCCGCCACCTTCGGCCCCTTTGCCAGAGAGCTGGGCTCTACCTCAGGAGTGGGCGTTCAATCCCGAGATCCAATGGGGTGAAGGCCAATAAGGATGGACGTGTGTATTACGACAATTTTCAGCTCTTTGAGGTGTATAGGCCTACGGACATTCCATCAGCTTTCTTCCCTTCTTCATGTTCAAAACCACAAAAAACGCGTACCAGTATATCTTTCCTGTTCCTCTTATCCTATAAGATTGTTGCACTACTTTCCATACCCCCGCTCGGTTCCAGCTCGAGATCGTGAACAAAGTATACCCTTCTTCGTCCCTTGTGACCCATCCTTATTGTCTTTCGTGCTTTTCGTTTTTTCTCTTATTCGATCTTATCGGGCGTTTGCATACGTACCTTCTCGAGATGCACAGTTTCCTGCACCTACTACCGTGTTTTAGCTTATCGAAAAAAGATTGACGGGCAGAAAAGATGGAAGTTGAAGACTCCAACGAACGCACGGGCCATCACGAACGGGATCAAATCCCAAGCTTGACATCCTTGGTGGAGGCAGATCATTTTGGCTGGCGATTTCATGAAAGCGCATCATCATCTCCAACTTCCTCAATCTCGCCCTCAAGCTCCCTCACCATATACATCAAGCCCTCAACTCCCTTCGAATACAGGAAAATGTCACAAGCAGCAATCCTCCTCCCCGGCCAGCCCTTACCTCCAAACCTGACTGCTCCGCCTCTACCAAAAGCCGGCCGAGGATGTTATGAGCATAACGGACAGATCTTGGCTAGTGTTGTTGGGAGACCGCGGAGAGATGGAGCTGTAAGTCTCTCATATGGGTGATAGGAAGGGAAGGAAGCTGATTTAGAAGTAGGTGGTGAGTGTTGTGGGGAGAGAAGAGGCTGTTGGGATTGTTGATGTGGATGCTATCGTGAGTCGCCTTGATCGTCATTCGGGGGATCACGGGGGATCATAGCTGACAGTCTCGTAGGTCATCGGAACCGTAAGCATATCAGAACCATGCATCAAACACCTGTTCATACTTTACAGGTCCACCGCCTTACGCCTCAACAGGCCCACCTCACATTAACGACTCTCGCCGACCGCGCCCTCCCCGAATCATCTGAAGAATTCACAGGTGTCATCCGTCTGACGGATATCAGGCTGACAGAGAGGGACAAGATCAAGGTTGGGGAATGCTTCAGGCTGGGCGATATCGTCAAGGCGAAAGTCGTAAGTGTCGTCGCTGATTCAGACACAAGGGCCGAAGAGCTCACGGAGGTGATAGCTGAGTTTGGGAGATGCGAGGAGTTATTACCTCACGACAGCAGCCAACGAGCTTGGTGTTGTCTACGCCAAGTCTGAGGCTGGTACGTCCTCCCATAACGCTGCTTCTTCTTCTCCCGAGCTTTTACTGACTCTCGTGAAGGCAACCCTTTGGTGCCAGTCAGCTACCAGGAGATGGAGGATGAAGTTACGGGAAAGAAGGAGAAGAGGAAGGTGGCCAAGCCAGAAGGGATATAATAATCGTATGTCTCTCTTTCCTTTCCTGGCGATACGCGTTCGGGGATACTTCTCAAGCCAAGTCGGGGAGCTGACGATCTTGCAGGTAGATAGTCACTCTGGTCTCATGTATCCACTAATATTGCATCTTGAACAATCTGCATGTTTCTGGCTCAGCAATTGCGAAAGGTGAATCGTACGAAGCTCGCTTGTGATGATTGACAAGATGGGACGCTCGATAATCACTACGAAGCCATGATGTTTGCTCCTTCGACCTCAAATCCAAACACTGGCGTGAAATCGGTTTGCGAGCACCAGTAAGGTCTGGTATGGGCGTTGAAGATGTCGTAGGCTTACATGAGGTTGCGTCGCTAAGAAGGCTCCATGGCACGTATACCTGTATCACAGAACAAGTGCATCCAATGCATCCCAGGAAAGGCCCCAACACAAAAACCCAAACACGGCTATGTACAGCGAAAAACGAATGGAGGATATATATGTAGATGTGTGTAAGTGTAGTTTTTTGGTCAAAAGGGAAAAGCTATAGAAACCCCCAAGATGCTGATTTTAGATACGAAAGGAAGAGAAATAGAGAAAGAGATCTTCCGTGCACATCCACTGTCCACATTGAGTCTACCACTGTAGATGTCTGTCATCTAGTCGTACCTCTTCTGATAACTCCAGTCCTCCCGGTCTTCGGCTAATAATCTCGAATATCTGAAAACCCGGACGTCAGCATGGATCTTCGGGCGACGCAGATGAGACTTACTCGAGCATGAGCCTAAACATGTACGCCTGCATGTCCTCCCACCTCCAGTGCTCCTCCCCAAACTTTCTCGCCTGCTCCGCAATCGACCTGGCGAGGTCGTCGTGTCCTGGCGAACTGCCGTCGGGAGTACCGACGAAGAAGACCATGATATCGTACAGATCCGAGTTGTCGACTTTACTCGGCTACATTTCAGGTCAGCGCTGAACCGAGGGAGCACGGAGGTGGAGACATACGACATAGTGGACCCAAGGCGTGAGCCAGTCAGAGAACCACTCGGGATAGATGGTGGACTTGACGACGACAGAGCCAGACATGATGAGACGGTGGAATCGAGATGACCAGCCGTTACCGTCGATATCGTATTGAACTATGCACATGTCAGCTCAAAGATTTCCCATTATGCCCAGAGTAAACTTACATTTGTACTTGGCCGAGTCTTCAGGAAGCACACGAGCCTTGAACTCGATCACCTGATTCATCTCGTCACACGTCCCGTCATCCTTCTTACACTGATGCGCTTGGCCCGTGAGCCCAACATCCATGTACGCCTCATTCAACTTAGCGACGCTCCAGCTCTCCTTCTCCCATATCTTGCCTTTCTGTACCCAGACATCTTTCACGCCCTCGGTTTCCTGCGTCATGAGCGCCAACCGAGGTCGGTGGGATTGTCTCCAGGTGTGGCCATCGGGACGTTTCGAGTAAGAGTCACCGGTCGAACTGCCTCGCCAGAAAAGCTTGTTGATGGTCTTCTCTTCCCATGGCGAGTACTTCTTCTGGGCAATAGGGTCTGTGAAGTTTTCGTATGCTTCGAGCGGGGTAGTAAGGAACTCGGGATTGCGGGCGTTCTTGGAGAGTTGAAAGATCGGTCGGAGGGTGGTGTCTCGGACAAAGTCCCAAGACAGGGCACCGTGGACGTCGAGAAGGTCGGTGTTGTAGCAGAAATCGTAGGTGAGCAGGGGATCGTGAATGAAGGAGGTTTCTATACCATTATTAGCGAAGGGTCATTGGTAGAAATACGAGACACTCACCCTTGGTGGGACGCTCGATTTCACGCCCCTCGCGCTTAGCCACACCACGCTGCCACCCAGGAGATCCCGGAGGACAAGCAGACACTGTGCCCTTGACCGACACTCTCCCGTTTTTCTTCTCAAACCCCTTGATCTCCTCCTCCGTCAAGTATCGCCCCTCCGCAATCGCCTTCAGCGCTGCCTGCTTTTGGTCGTCACCCAGAAGCCAAGACCCAAGGTCATGGTCCGACAAGGACAATGTGACCTCGGCCGGAAGGTATTGGGCTATGGGCTCGAGGAGCACGAATAGCCAGCGGGCTCTGGAAGAGTGCGCTCGCTCTCCATAGAGAGAGGACGCGCTTGTGGGCGATAACGTGATGTGACTGCCCAGGTACCGATCAGTGTTCTGAGACCTGCCCTGTCTTGGCCATGTCGACTCACGATGTATGTTCTGTCTTTGTCAAGTCGTCTACACGCTTCCTGAACATCTCCGGGGAGAGGGCAAAGTATGGCTCGATGTCCCGGTTGATTTGATCATACTATATCCGGAAGCGGTCAGCGTAGGATTTAAGGTTTGGGAGCTTGGTGCACTCACATCGTCGACGATCTTGACCTTGTTGCGCTTGCAATACTGCCACCATTGGTCAAAGCCACGAGGGGGCTGTCGTCCATACCGCCGCGTGTATTCTGTCACAGCTTGAGGGAACGTCTTCGATTGGCTATATATAGCGAATTAGCGCAAGGACAACGTAAACTAGAACGGCACCTACGATGCTAACAGATTCTCCCACTTCTCTTGACCTCTAGCCATGAGCTCCATGATGGGATGCACCTCCATAGCCTGCTGAAGCTGCTTCTTCTCAGCTCCCGTGAGATCGCCCTGCTGTAAACGCTCGTAGGTACTATCCCACCCCTTGACGAGCCCATCGCCTGTGAATTCAAGAACTTGAACTGGCTCAGTCTCTATCGACTGAGACCACCAGTTGGCCAGTGATCGGTGCGGAGACCTACCCTTATTGAGCAGAGATGAAGGATGCCGTCTAGGGATCCCATCGCGACCAATGGATTCCAAGTCTTCACCTTGGTTGTTGGAGATGTAGAAGTAGGAATAGGTGATGAGGACGACGAGGGCGAGGCAGAAGGTGAGGCGAGACGCCCTCAAGCGAAGCATCATGGACGAGGTGAGGGAGGTGACGGATGGTCCTGGAGATGTTTTATTGGTGTGGTAGTTGAGGATCACGGCCAAGAAGAAGAATTGCAGTCGATATGACGGCGACGCGTCTACCACTGGGACGCATATAAAAACAAGCTTTCGTGTCCCTGACTCTGCGCGTGGCTCTCGCGTGGCCTTCGATCATGATGTTCGCTTTTTTATAGAACAGAACATTCTGCAGACCAGACACAGCTATGTCGACCAAAGATGGTACAAGTGCAAAGCGAAACACAGCACTTTTGTACCACTTATCGGAGTACGTCATCAGAATCGAGGGGCGCCCATGCGGTGTTATGTATTCGTGTGTGTTTCGTGTGTCCGGCACATCTACTGGTCTTTTTCATAAATCAATCTCTTCATCTTCTTCTCTTCATCTCCTCCTGCTCGTCAAAGTCATCAACCCCAAGACACTCACTCTCAGTTCTCGCTACTGGGGCTTCTCGTTCGAATGCCCACACCACTGATGGGGCCTCTCGTTCACATTCCCAAGCTACTGGCGCCTCTCGTCCCCATTCCCAAAGACAAGACTCCTTCTCCTCATCTTCATCATCATCAGACTAGGCGCCCTCCTCGTACTTCTTGCCCTTTCAAGAAGCCCGACTGGCTCTTAGGTCATGCGGTCCTCATGAGCTTGGGACGCAATGACCTCCGTTGGCACACATCGAAGGCAGAGTGCTTCGTTCTTCAGCCAGTGCCTAAGCACATGAAGTATCGCAAGCGCAAGAGGTTGGCTTTGGGTATGGAGATTGCTCCTAGGCCTCGGGTGTCTTCTCGTGCCCCCTCAGGCTCCAAGGTGAGTGACCTTCGTTGCTATATGCATGGAACCATACTGACGATACTCAAAAGTGGACTGGCCCGTCTTTTTCTGCACGATACAGTGTTTTGGCCAACGCTGTCCTGGAGCCCGCCAGTCATCTTTCCTCGTCGCGCCCCATCTTTGCCTTTCTCACATCTAAGCAACATCAGATCTCTGGCGTACACACGAATTCACCATGTCCCACGACGAACATCGACGAGGCTCTACCTTGAAGGAGAGTATCGACAAGCAGATCTACTTTCTCTTTCACGACACCGACCTCCTTGACAGCTCTTCATCGCCCGAGCTTACCTCTGTCCCGGCCTTCAGTTCCGACGAAGGGAGGTAGACAGGTCGGGTAACAGAGCCATCCTCGTCCTCATCGTCGCTGTCCTCCATGTGGAGGAAGGAAGAGTTGGGGTCTTTGGGGTAAAACCTGAAGGCCGGGACAGAGGTAAGCTCGGATGATGAAGAGCCGTCAAGGAGGTCGGTGTCGTGGAAGAGAAAATCGATCTGCTTGTCGATACTCTCCTTCAAGATAGTGCTTCGTGCTTCTTTCAGCCAGTGCCTGAGCATATGAAGTATCGCAAGAGGAAGAGGTTGGCTTTGGGTATGGAGTTTGCTCCCAGGCCTCGGGCGTCTTCTCGTGCCCCCTCAGGCTCCAAGGTGAGTGACCTTCGTTGCTACATGCATGGAACCCTACTGACGATAGTCAACAGTGGACTGGCCCCTCTTTTTCTGCACAATACAGTGCTTTGGCCAACGCTGTCCTGGGGTCCGAGACCTGCGCTTTCTGCCACCTGTGCCCCATCTACTGCCTCCATGCTGCCTCTCTTGCCTACCTGCCTTCTCCGCCCGCGACCCCTTCCAAGGTCATACCGACATTGGAGGCAGAGTGCTTCGTGCTTCAGCCAGTGCCTGAACACATGAAGTATCGCAAGCGCAAGAGGTTGGCTTTGGGTATGGAGATTGCTCCCAGGCCTCGGGCGTCTTCTCGTGCCCCCTCAGGCTCCAAGGTGAGTGACCTTCGTTGCTACATGCATGGAACCCTACTAACGATACTCAACAGTGTACTGGCCCTTCCTTTTCTGCACGATACAGTGCTTTGGCCAACGTTGACCTGGGGCCCCCGGCCTGCGCTTTCTGTCGCCTGTGCCCCCTGTACTGCCTCCACCCTTGAGCACCTGGGGGATGATATCGGTAACTTGAGCACCCTTGCTCTCCCACTTCCGTTACTGATATCATCCCCCAGGTGCTCAAGGGTGGAGGCAGTAATGGGGCACAGGTGGCAGAAAGCGCAGGTCTCGGACCCCAGGTCAGCGTTGGCCAAAATGGGGGCTGAAGTGTTAGCCGCAGTTATCGGGAGGAGGATAGTTGTGCTGGCGCTGTGTGGTCCGTTGACGTGCCTGTCCTCGTGTTGTTCCGCCTCAGTAAAGATTTTCTTCTTGTGGTCACTTTCTTCTTCATCATCTCATCTTCTTTCGTATTTTTCTTCATCGCCTTTGCTCGTCGCCTCGCCTTTCTTTCCCATAGCCTTTTCCTTTTTCTTTTACCACCCTCCCCCTCTTTTTAATCACATGACACCACTGCCTTTCTCTTTTACTTTTAGTGTACTCCCGTTCATTCTCTTTTATACAGTGCCGTTTTGTTTTCATTTTCTAGCCCTCTCATTGTGCTTTCTCATGCTTCTCCATCTTACGAGATGACAGGAGCTGAAGACTGTACAACAGGTCGTAATGCATGATCTTACAAGTGATAAGAGCTGAAGACTGTACAATACTATTCAATAGTACGGGTACTTTGTCTGACAGGGATTAGTCAGTAAAGCGCGTCAAGTAGAAAGAGCATACACGTACAAACTCCGTTCTCAACCAAGGCTCCACGAAGGATGTCCCAGCTCTGCTCTTCTCCGTGCTCCCAGAACGAATATCCCCATGACCGGCTCCTTTACAAGACTCCTCATTCACATTACTGAACGCCCATGCCTGCCACATGTACTGCCTCCACCCTTGGGCACATATGTCCCAACTCTGCTCTTTTCCGTGCCAACGACCGGCTCCTTCACAAGACCCTAGTTCACATTACCGAACGCCCAGGCCCACTCGTCCTCGTCGAAAATGCCATAGAAAGAACCCGCGGGCATGTTGGATAGCTAGCCGCGAGAATACACTGGAATGACTTGAGAGCGTCGGTAGGTAAGCTCGAGCGCAGCCTGGCGAGGCCTCGGGGGCGGTGGGGCAACGAAAGAGGGAGAACGAGGGTGCTCAAGGGTGGAGGCAGTACAGGGGGCACAGGCGACAGAAAGCGCAGGCCGGGGGCCCCAGGTCAACGTTTGCCAAAGCACTGTATCGTGCAGAAAAGGAAGGGCCAGTACACTGTTGAGTATCGTTAGTAGGGTTCCATGCATGTAGCAACGAAGGTCACTCACCTTGGAGCCTGAGGGGGCACGAGAAGACGCCCGAGGCCTGGGAGCAACCTCCATACCCAAAGCCAACCTCTTGCGCTTGCGATACTTCATGTGCTCAGGCACTGGCTGAAGCACGAAGCACTCTGCCTCCAATGTCGGTATGACCTTGGGAGGGGTCGCGGGCGGAGAAGGGAGGTAGACAAGAGGGACAGCAGAGCCATCCTCATCCTCATCGTCGCTGTCCTCCATGTGGAGGAAGGAAGAGTTGGGGTCCTTGGGGTCGCGGCTGAAGGCGGGGACAGGTGTAGGCTCGGGTGATGAAGAGCTGTCGAGGAGGTCGGTGTCGTGAAAGAGAAAATAGACCTGCTGGTCGATACTCTCCTTCAAGGTAGAGCCTCGTCGATGTTCGTTGGGGGACATGGTGAATTCGGGTGTACGGCAGAGATCTGATGATGTTTAGATGTGAGAAAGGCAAAGACGGGGCGCGATGAGGAAAGATGACTGGCGGGTTGGGGGTTTATAAGCGTTTGCAAGGAAGGCTATAAGTGAGAGCGGGAAAGGTCGCATCTCCCTGGAAAGGCGGGAGGAAATCAAAAGCATCAATTCCGCCGACCCCTGGCCCCAGTTCCTCTCAGCTTCCGACCCCGAGGGGGCAGCTCGCCAAGCGCCCGTGATCTCTGCAGCCTCCGCTCCTAGCACATCTATCAAAAGCGTCTGGGAAAAAGGGCCAGTCACGGTACATGCGTGGTCCGCGTGGGGGTCACCTCGTCGGTCGGAGCTTCTTCCCATCGACAAGGGTGCTGGGCGAAGCATGGTTGGATGATGGAGCAGAGAGAACAATAAGAAAACGCGTTGAATCCGGTAGAGACTAACGGGAGATCTCAGGGTTTGGCCCGGCTTATCTTCCGGTCAACATCATTAACAAACAATCAGACCGGTGCCTCGCGCCTACTTTTCTTTTGGTGCACGGCGGCGCACGGCGCGCACAGTTCGCCTTATCAATTACGTACCTTGAACGACCCCTTGCCATCTATCTATCGTCCTTGTGGCTTGTGGGAACTCGCAAATTAGCAGCAATAGTCCCTGTGTACCTGCCCGCCCAAAGGTTACTTCCCTCAGTCCTGTACTACTTGCCGGCCATTTTTGTCTCTAGAAGCTCTTGATCAGAGGTTTTCGGACTGCGAGTACGTCCTCCACTCTTGCTGCCGCTGTCAATCTGCAAGACCCTGGTTCCCACAAATGCGGCTAGAAGCATATACTGGGAAAAGTCCTCATGGCCACCTACTTGATCTAGGCTCAAGCTACATACGACCCCCCCCCCGCGCGACGGCGACCAGGCCATATTTTGTCAGCCGGCTCAGCTGGCAGAGATTTTGACAATGCAGATCTCTAGGACATTCCACCGTTCACGACTTCCACAGTGCCAAGGCTCAGGATCCGGAGGCTGGAGGAAAAGGTCGTCATTTATGGTACATAGTAGTCACCAGAAACACAGTGGCTTGCTTGCCGTTTGAGTTTGGGGGCTTTGAGGGTTGATTAATGATAACCCTATGGCGCACCAGATCTAGGCTAGAGTCTGGTCCTGGCTCCCGCCATCAACCTGTAACGGCAGAGGCAGTCTGCCGGTGACCCCACAGCTGTCATATCATGTGCCGCCGCAACTCTCTGTCCGTCCCCGTACATGTGGCGCGTAGGGTCAAATGATCCTTACTCCACCCATTGGCTTCCGATGTTGCACAGTTATATCGCCGATGACCGATATGTGGTCGATGTAGCCCGCCGGGCCGATGATGTCGTCCACGAGATCTATAAGATTGTCTTCTAGCTGTTGGATCTCTTGATAGCAGCGGGAATACATCTGCAGTGCATAGTCGGCCCATCGTCTGACTACCAGCTCGAGGCTACCAAATGTCCGGATCCCAAAAGTGATATATGGCTTCTAGCACATCTGCATATCCTGAAAAGCCAAACGTGAAGTTCTGACGTCTCCGCTAAGGTTTGTGGCTGGAAAGTACTAGCAAGATGCGTGGGCTCATGGAGCCCATCGGAACTCTGTTTGATGGGAAGGATCAGCTGTGAGAGGAAGTTATGCTAAAAGATTGAAGATTGTACCTCCCCATAGGTAGCTCGCCGCAGCAGTGCTAAGGTCCCGCCTCAGTGTGGTAAAGAGCGCTGAGGTTTGGATATGAAACACCTCCAAATCTAACTCAAGGGGTTCAGCTGAGCAGATCTGGGGAAAGTTCATACTTACAGATCCATTGCGCAAACCTTCGGCAAGGGCGAACGTCGATGAAACCAAGAACAAAAGGATTTTTGTCAAGTTGTCCGTGCCTTTTTCCCTTGGCTCGGTAGGCCGGCGGCGCGTACTCGCGTAGGTGTCTTGTTGTCTGGTTTTGTCGACACCCTGGACAGTCCATTGCTACTCACTTCTTGTATGTTCATCTCTCAAGGCATCTGACGGCATATGCATATGCAGCGGGGTAGTTTAATGAGATAGCAGAGGGACAGGCGTTCCCAGCTGCGCTCCGGACGAAGAACAATTCTCGACTCCTACTTCGTGACTCCTACCTCGTTGTTCAACGCTTGCGTACCTTATGCTGTCCTCGCCCTGCAAACAATTCTATCAACTGCTATTCGCTTCACGCTCGATCAGAGTCAAGAGCTCGCCGAGCGTTGGGGAACATGCAGTCAGGGTCTGTATCAAAGTCCCCAACCGTCCGCATGAGTTTACACAGGCCAGTAGCGTCCATCATCATTAAACGGGCTTGTCGATGTCGAAGTATATTTCGATCATCTTTCTCCTGGTTCCTCAGTTGGGCGGCTGAACCAAGGAAGTAGAAAGAGTGAAACCCATGTCAGTAAGACTTGGCGACTATACCTTCGAAGTAGCACCTAGCACGGGATACAGGTCCAATGCAGGTGATATCAGTTCTATGTAACCTGTGCGGTGAATTGAAGGCGTCCTCGTACTATACTTGTACGTACAGGTAAAGAGGTGTGGCATTGTGCTACTATTCATATTATGACGCAAGTAATAACAAGTATGAAGAACATATCCTGCCCAATTACGCCGCGTCTCTCATATCACTCATCCTTTCTGCGCTTATGACCCGCCTTCCTCTTCCTTTCCTCAACCATCTCGCGGCGTACATCATTAATGATCTCCTGATCGGTCTCATCTAAGTCACCGGCTTCGATGAGGCTCGAGACACATGTCTGGGAGCGGCCCTACATATTATAACGTCGAGTATGGTCAGCTTGATTTACTTCTTCATTGGAGGTAGTAACTACGGCAAGGCCACTTACGCAGTGACTCTTGAGCCATGCTTTACCAGTCCGCCGAGCAAAGGGGTTGTCTCTCGGGGAGTTGGATTCACCGGGGTGACTTGCACACAGACTCGCGAAAGGTGTGCTCTGCTGCTTGCTTGCCTCTGGGTCGGTCTTCGGGGCTTCCCCATCAGTATCAGGAGCTGGTTCGAGGCTCAAGTCCGACGGGTTGACACAGGCATCGTCCGCACCATCTTGGGGCATATTCTGCCAATAGTCCGACCCACCCATGTATTGGTCATAATGCCATGGATCACCACGTCTGTTGAATGATGAAGGGCCTCCATCGTATGCGGAGATGACGCCCGGTTGAAACGAATCATCCTGGCCCGTCCCTGCCAACGAATTGTCGTGTCCCGCTGTCGAGGAAAGGTTGGGGTTTTGGCTATAGGCGGTACGATGCTCAACAGCTGAGAAAGGATAGAACTCATCTTGGGTGTCCAGAAGGCCTTCTTCCAATGTGTCATCGGCGGGAGTGTAGTCCGTCATAGCTTTGTCTGATTGTTTTGTGGTCTTTGAGATCGAATGAAGAGGGGTGAGTGAGTTGAGGGTCGTGAGTGAATATGGTCGCTCTTATATCCGCTTGTTGAATCAATGGATTTCGCGCTAGCCAAAAGACCCCAAAGGATCAGGCGTCGGACTTGATCAATACATGGGCTGAAATGAAGAAGGCGTTGAAGATATAAAGGGTCCATAAGACAGACATTCATTATGAACAGCTGCGATAGGTATGAGCTCGTATTTCCTTTGAGCAGAAGCCTGGGAAATGGGGCCTACATGAAAACGTTATTCCACACCCCGACCGCAGCAAAGCTTTCAAGACAGTACCTTTCCTACACTTGAATAGGGTCCGCCTTGACCAACGCCGTTTGCAGCTCCGCCAACGCAGGCCCCGTCCCTCCACAATCCACCGGCACACCATCCTTCTCCCCCAGCTCCGCCGCAAGATTCGTCTTGTAGCTGATGACCACAAACTTTCTCGCTGTCTCTGCGCTCACAAACATCCTCACCGCCTGGAACATCCAGCTCATCACGAGCGGTACACCCACAAAGAACTTTCGTGAGAGAAGCTCGGGGTAGTGTGCGGTCATGAGCTCGATGGTGGCTTTGGATGCTGCTTTGACGTGGGGGTCCATACGGAGAAAGGAGACGCCTTCGTAGAGATGGACTTGGGCGATGCGGTGGGGGTCGGCTTGGGGAGAGGTGAGGGAGAAGTCGGGGATGGGGGTAGAGGTGGCCGAGAGGTGAAGATGGGCGATGGCTTCCTCCATAAGGTTGACTCGCCATTTGAGGAAGCTAAAGTTCCATTCTATTAGCAGATGCGCTGGAGCAATTGAGCCAGACTTACCGATCCAAGTCCCCGAAAGTCGCCTTGAAGTCTTTGACAGCGCCATACACATTCCAAGTAACCACCTCGTCCTTCCCCTCACTCGTCTTGACATTGGTCACATATCCAAGGCCATCGAATTCACTTCCAAACTCCTCTCGCTTCTCGCCCTCAGGCTTGTCCAAGCCGAACTCCTTCCTCCACTTGAGCGTCTTTTCCAACGCCGCAGCCGCTGCATCGACATCACCGCTCACGGAGCGTAGATATTTTTGCAAGATGAGCAAAGTGCTAAACTCGGGGGGAGTGGCGGCAGAGAGGGTGACGCCCCAGATTTGAGAGTGGTCGGCCGTAGAGAGGATGGTCGCGAGGCGAGAGTGAAATTGGAGGAGAGGATGCTCGGGGGTGAGCTCTGGCCAGGCAGGGGCTGCGGCACTGGCGGTGACTGGGACGACGGGAATGGGGGCGGTGGCTGTTTCTTGCTCAGACATGGTGGATAAAAGATGGATTTGTTGACGACCGAGATGTGAACTCTGTCGGGCGTTTTCGTTATCAGATTCAGATACAGGCACACGGAACCAAATTGAATTAGGCGGAGCCAAATTCGGCCGTGAACGATTATGTAAACAGGCAAAAATGTTGAAAGAGTGCAGCAGAGAACGCCAGGACACAGAATATGAAGAGATAAGAATGCAGCAGACACAACACAACAAGTCAAGTGCACCATTATGAATGCATGCTCCCAGCGATATCCAATCAAGGAATCGTTTAGGCGAGCTCCTCGTCCTCAGCCTCGTCCTGGTCAACCTTGAAGTACTTGAGGGAGTAGGTGTCCTTAGAGGTGGCAACGACTCTGCGAGACAAGTAAGCAACAGATCTGCGATGTAATAGGGAAGACATACCGGAGGAAGTTCTCGAAAGAGTTCTTCTTCAAGTGCTTCTTGGTGAGGTACTTGAGGTACCTCTTGGAGAAGGGGATAGAAGAGGTGAGGACAATCTTGGCACCTGTCACATTCTCATCAGCCGCCGAAAGATCGCTCCTAGTCATGTCACTCACCCTCCTTCTGGACGGAGACAACGTCACCGAGCTGACCGGGCTTGCCGTCAACCTTGATGCGGTCGTGAAGGAACTTCTCGAAGGCAGCGAGGTCGAAGACAGAGTCGTTCACGGGGACGGAAGCGTCAACGTAGAACTTGTGAGCGGGAGCGGTCTTGGAGGAAGTGATCTTGGGCTGTCATTCGTACAAGGTTAGCATTTGCGGCATTTGATGTTAGCGCAAGTCCTGGGCGAATGGCTCGTTTGGGACGCTTGCGAGGGGTACATGGGTAGGGGGAGAGGAACGCACCATTGTGTCTACAGGTATTTCTGCAAAACGGTGCTTTTGAAATAGGTTGAGAGAAACCAAAAAAACGTCCAAGTCCAGCGAAAATGAGGCAGCCAAACTGTTGCGGAGTTTGGATTCGCCGAATGTGGCAGTCACGTGGTCTGTTATCAAGTGCGGCTTTCAACTTTGGCTGAGAGTACCCAAGCCAAACCCAAGCTGCTGAACAGCAGGTCCATCGCCATGCATACAGGCTGGAGACACACGGGGTGCGCAATGACTTGCTTGAACCTTTCAAAATTCTCCTTCTGATGCATATTGAGGACCAAATATCTGCCATGCTGGGTTTTCGGAGATGCGCGACGCAATGCCGGTGGGCTGCCGAGATGCCGGCTGTCGTTTGACTCAGGTGTCTGCATCTCATGATCCAGAAATAGTACACCAAAATCGACTGACCTTGGCCGTCTTTCCTTACTTCGTCCGCTTCTTTATATTTCTACTTCGTTACCTCGGTATATTCACCCGCATCTCTTTGCTAGCCGCCTGTTGAGTGCCGCGCCCTTGCCATTATCACTTTATCAGCCATCTATTCGATCTGATTCAGCAATCGCGTTGACCTCCACCTCTCTGGTCCACTCTACTCCAGCAGCATACGAAAAGGGCACCACAATGGAGAGTTTATAGTATCGAAAAGACACCTTGCGACACAAATATATCAACCTACAGCAACGACAGCAACGACAAGAAGCGGAGTATGGCGCGACAACAAACCTCTGTCGAAACCAAATCCGACATTGAGGCTCAGTACTCTACTTCTGCCCCAAATCCTGATTTCAACGCACACGAGAAGATTGGAGAGGAAACGATCCCGGAGGGAGATGCGCCTGCTCCTGTTGTCCCGGCAACAGCTGATGACTCGCCAGCTCCCGACGGCGGCTATGGATGGGTTATCGTAGCCTGTTATGCATGCTGCAACGCCGGTACTTGGGGTGAGTGCAGTCCCCTGGGCTGAACGATTCAAGCTGACTTGGAAAAGGTGTCAACACTACCTATGGTGTTTATTCTTCATACTACTTGGCCAACAACTACTTCTCAGGCGGATCCACTTTGGGATATGCCTGGGTCGGGGGTCTCTCTGTGGCCGTCGCTTTGACTATGGGACCCGTGGCCAATTATCTTACAACCAAGTTTGGTTTCAGGATTCCTTATGCTCTCGGTGTGTCTAATCTTGACGAATATAGAGCGCCGACAGTACTAACGACACTGCCAGGAGCTTTATGCGTCGTTCTCGGACAATGTATGGCAGGTATCTGCACGAGCTTCGGTACATTCCTCGTCTGTCAAGGTGTCGTCTTCGGTCTCGGTACGCGCCCCCTTACCCTTCTGTTTTCCGGGCTCACGCTCCCGCAGGCTTGGGTCTTACAATGATTCCCGTCCAACCGCTCATGGCCCACTGGTTCCACCGCCGCCTCGCCCTCGCCCAAGGTATCGCCGCCTGTGGCTCCGGTGCCGGTGGTCTTCTCATGGCCAACACCACCCGTGTCCTCCTCGAGAAGCTTTCTGTCAAATGGGCTTTGATCATCAACGGTCTCATATCCGCAGCGTTGCTTACGCCGGGGCTGTTCTTGTTCAAGGGGCGACATAAGCAGATGAAGGCGAGGCAGGCGCCTTTGGAGTTTAAGTGGTTGTGGCATCAGGGATTCGTGTGGGTGTGGATATGGGGCGCTTTCACTAGTACGTCTTCCCACTACATCTCACTCGCCATGCTAAACAAGAACCAGTCATGTCCTACTTCATCGCCATCTACTCCCTTGCCTCCTTCGCTACCCACGCCATCGGCCTATCTCAAACCCAAGGCGCAGCCCTCCAGTCCATCCTCTCCGCCGGTCAAATGATCGGTCGACCCCTCTGGGGCTATTTCCTCGACACGGGCGGCCGCGTCAATCTCTCCATCATCTGCTACATCATCTGCGGCTTATCGACTCTGTGTATCTGGCTACCCTCGAAGAGTTTCGGAGTCTTAATCTTCTATGCTTTGGTGCAGGGTATGACGGGTGGTACTATCTGGTCTGCTGCGACACCTGTTGCGGCCAAGGTCGTCGGCGTTCAACATCTTGCGAGTGCGCTCAGCATGTTTTGGCTATCCCTCGTCGTCCCCGCCTTGGTCGGTCAGCCAATTGCTATCGCTCTTTTGAACTATTCTACCGATCACCTGCATCGCACAGGTCCGGAAAGCTATTACATTTCGATAGGGCTATGTGGAGGAATGAGTATCGTTTCGGCGTTGCTGCTATATGGGTCAAAGAGGTGGTTGCAGGGCAGTTGGAAGTTGTTTCAAAAGACATAGTGTAACCTACAGGTATACCTTGTCTCGTCGTGATTTACTTATACTTATCATAGACTATCAAATGCATAATTGAGCTCTTGCACACAGTGTCTACTGAAAGCGGACTATTCAGAAGGACAACATCAGGTGCCAATCATACTCAGACAGGTATTCATGCGACATGGAGTCAAGACAGAGTCAAGTGTATCAAAAAATTAGGTATAACAATCGAGATTTAGAATATGATGCGCGGAATAACAGATACTCGGGAATATTATAGATGTATGCTCAGTCGTTAAAGTTCGTTAATCAAAGATGGGCAAGGGCAGGATCTTGTCGGACTGAAAAAGACTGTCAGCAGCGCACACATCAGCCGTCGGCAAACTCACGTTGAATAGGAAGTTGTTGGCCAGGTCTTCTCCTTCCAAGAATCTGTTAGGGTAGATGACTTGATACAAGTCAGCAGTGATCCTAGCAGGTATACAAGGGCCAACATACCGAGATGTCCCTTGACTTCGTTCAACAACAGCTCCATTTCTTCCTTCTCCCACTCTGCCCAACCTTCGTCTGGCCCACTAGCCTTCTTCTCTCGCTCTGCCTCTCTCTTACTCTCACTGCCCCTGAAGGAACTCCTGCTCCCCTCGCTGTGGTGCCCTGGACGAGGAACGTGTGGGTGATGGGGATGGGGCACATCTCTGGGCTTGCCATCCACCACATCCGCATCACTTGTCTCCGCCTTGTTCCCACTGCCCTCTCCCTCATGAGAACCGATTTGTCCACCGCCAGATCCACCACCGCCGGCACCATGAGTACCGGGACCGTCGTGGGTGACCTTGACGGGTTCGTCTTGGCCGTTGGCGGCGACTTCCTCGGGTGCTTTGTTGAACTTTTCGGCGTGGTTGGCGAACGCCTTGTATTGTGCCCAGGACGTCACCAGATCGTCAGGCTACGAGATGGTCAGCATTTCTACTCCAATGCGGTAAAGTACTCACAATACAACGGAAGACCTTTCGGAAGATCTCTGTATTGTGCACAGCGCTGGCAACCCAAACATCCTTCCAGAAACTTTCATCCAACGGGTCATGGAACCTGGCAGGGTTGATCTTTGGGGTAGGCGTGGGCATGCTCCAAGGTGACATTTGTACCTTGGCACTGAGATGCTTTCTGAGCGTCTTTCTGGCCTTCGCAGCCGCATTCATCTCGTCGACGGCTTCCTCATCCTCGTTCTCCACCTTTCTGTCGGTATCGTGCACAGGAATCTTGTCGTTGTCACCTGGGACGTTGGCGGGAGTCCCGTAGAGCTCGGTTTCGGATACCTTGGCTCGGAGACGAGGGACACCAGACAGCTTGGCACCATCCGAGTCGACAATCAAGCCAGATTTCTTGGTCTCAGTAGGCACCTCGGCCTCCCCAGGTTCGCCGCCACCCTTTCCACTTTTTGTCTGTCCAACCTGGCCATCTTCGCCTCGCTCATCGATGTGGTCAAACAAGGGCTTGCCGTTGGCGTGACTCTGATCCGGCCGACGCTCGTAGATAGTCTTTTCCTCGAGGGTTGGCACCATGGAGGAAGCAAAGCCCTTGTCAGTTTTACCGTGAGAGTCAAAGTCTTCACGCTCAGAGGGATTGGCGTCGCCATCGTTAAGGGCAACGGTCTCGCCCGATTTGGCAACGGCGATGGGGTGCAGGACCTTGTCGGCAGCCCTCTTGACGTTGGAAATGGCATTCTCGGACATTCCCTTGGTCACTAAAGCCAATCATCAGTCGACCGTCAGATGCAAAGCTACAATTCAGTTACGTACCACTGGAAACACCGTTCTGGAAGGTGTCAATCAATCTATCAGTTGCAAGCCTCCTCTTGATCTGCGTCGTCCCTCCTCGCTCATCATCGTCACTCTGTTGCTCGTGGTCCGGGTCCCATGTCTCGATATCATCCGCGTCCGCCATTGGCTCGCGGGACATGAGCTGTTCTTCGTCGATGCCGTCGACGTCGACACCAATGTGTTCGCGCATCAGACGGACTCGCAAGGTATGGGCGTAGCGCCCAACCTTGTAGGGACGTCCTGCCATGGTGCCGTCAATCATGTCGGTGTCTCGGACGACAGCCAAAAGCTCAGAGTCTCGGTCACCACGTTGACTACGCTCGTTGATGTTGGCAGAACCAGTCAAGACAAGACCTGGATATATGGTCAGCTCGAACTCAAATGGTACCTGTGCACTCACGGTCATCCACGATCATGGTCTTTCCGTGAATATAGACTTGCTCGGTGGTCAATACACTAGACTCAAATTTGCCCCATCCTCTCAGGGAAAAGAATGTGATATAGTCATCGGGCTATACTGATCAGCGACCGGATACCTTGACTCGAGAATCAAACTCACGTCAATGCCCTCCTTCCTCAACCTCGAAAAGATCGAGCTGGTGCCTCTGGCGATAGTCCTGTTCTGACACTCCAAAATCAACCTCACCGAGCTCGCCTCATTGGAGTCCAGAGGGTAGGTGTACCCAGGAAGGAGAGGGATGACAATACAGGCGCGCCATGCGTCACGCTCCTTGTGCGCGCGGATGATACGGTTGACGAGAGCGTCGCCGATGCCGTTCTCTACGCGCACGCCATCCACGATGGTAGAGGTGATGAAGAATTGATTCTCAATGTAGACAAAGTGTTCAGAGGTTTCAATGGCTGTTACTGTAAGCGTCTGCCGCTATGCCTTAGTTATGGTACTCACACTTGCAATAAGCATTCTGGATAGAATGCTCGATCTTTGTCTGCGTTCCCATAGACCATGGCCCAACAGACCTGCAGATCTGCACCTCACACGTTCCCTGGAGCTTGAGATCTTGCAACTCCCTATCCGTAAAGTCCGCGGGCGGCAAAAGGAAAGGCATGCGGCGGGTGTGGTTTTTGGTTCGGATGAGCAAGTTCCATCGCTGGACGAAGTGTCGGCAGAGGTCTCGGGCGGGTTGGCCAACGATCTGAAGAGCAGTATCGTGCCTACGCCACATCAGTCATGTTCGGCATCTATGACTGAAATGACTCACCAAGGCATTCTAGGAATCTTGGTCCTATCGAACATGTCCTCGAAAGGCTTGTCCAAGTTCGCATACTCCATGACCCGTTCATTCGAATAGTCCTTGCCCCTCCATACCGGTCCGTCCGGTCCATCATCGGCCGTGTGCTTCTCGTCTAGCAGCACATGCTGTGGTGTGTCCCACCTTCCATAGCACAGATCCAGACCTCCCATGAAGGCGATGGTCTCGTCGATCACGCAAAGCTTTTCGTGATGCGACCAATAGAAGGTTCCGGTTTGGAAGTGCGAAGGGGATCGTTGAACGAGGATGTTGGGGTGGAGGTTCATGAGACTGCGTTTGGTATATGTCGAGTCGACGGGAGTGGTCTTGTCGGACACTTCGTTGCTAGAAGAATAGGTGAGCTCATTCTTTGAACAAGCTTAGATGACTTACTAGATGATGATGAAGATCTTGACTCCCTCCTCAGCCTTACGCTTGAGAAGGTTGTCGAGTCTATAGCGCTCATTTCCGGGTCGTCGGAGGTACAGTTCGGGCGAGATCCACCAGTCATGGATGTATACTCTATCCTTTGCCATGTTAATTGCTCGACTCAGATTCCAAAAGTAGTCTCGCTATTCGTTGAGTCAGTACTAAACTACACACAGTGCAAGGCCTTCCAAGACTCACCCCATCAACAAGCCATTGCGCGGCGACATTGACTCGAAGAGGAGCAAACGAATCAAATCGGTTCTTCTTGGTCCAAGCGCACTGTGCGGCAATCCTCTCCATTGAGACGATGTATTGGTGCATTTGTCGCTGTTCATCTTCAGCCTCGCTCTCTCACGTTGAAAGCCCACTTACAGCGTTCTTGGCGACCAGTTTCAATTTGATCTGCGAGTTGACGATATAGAAAGTATGCTGACTCGCCTCATGCTCCGTTTCGTCTTGCAAATTTTGGGCTTTCGACCCCTTGCCCTCTCCGCTGGCAATCACGACTTCCTTCGTGAAAGGATTGTCCGTGTCAACATGGTTCGCGATTTCTTCGTCTTCCCTGTCTTTCTTGTGGGGATGCAGGATGCCCATTCCGGTCCTGTAGTACCTCTTCGGCCTGATGATCGTAAAGTCGGAATCAAACAAGAAGACTTCGTAGAGATCTGTCGTCTCTGGTCCATCAGTCGCCACACAGTAAGAGTCCCTTACGATGAACCACTTGGGCTCACGGGAGGCTTTCCAAGAGGCAGGCGTGAGGCCAGGTTGGTTGGCGCGGCGAGAGGCGTTGGAGCCGGGGATCGTTAGGAAGCCAGCCTTGCCTTGGAAACCACCGCGAGGGGCAAGGGAAAGGGTGAGAGCGGAGAGTTCGAAGAATTTACAGAGTCGGTTGGACTCGGGTCGGAAGATCTACCTGATATAAGCTTGTGCTACTTTTGAGATGATAAATACTCACGACAGCACGAATGAGATCCACGAGGTATCGCTGCAGAGCATCTCGACTCGCCTGAGCATACTCTGCCTTGCCCATATTCTTACTGATCTTCATCTGCTCCTTCGTTTCCTTTGCTTCTTTCGATTCCCTCTCCTTTTCTTTTCCATGCGCTTGCTTGTCAAACTTGTTGAAGAAGGGTACACTCATACGAGGAAAGTCGGGGATCTCGACATGTCGGGTAGAGCGTAGACCGGCGACGGAGGTACCAAAGTTGGCAGCTTTATAGTGCGCGTGGAGCGACAGGAAATCTCGCAGTTCACGGTAGATGACCTGTCATTCCATCAGCAGCTTTTTGGGACAAATGTTGAACGAGACGCACCCATTTGACCGCGCCATCCCCGTACTCGCACTCTACCTTGAACATTTCCTTCCCCGTCGCCTTTCCCTGCTTCAACCCCACACTATCTCCCACCCTGAACCTCAAGTTGCCCAGCAATACCGGTACAGCCTTCTTTCCATTCTCGTCCCTGTCTATCCACGTCTTGAGGATCATGACTGGCAGCTGGCCAGCAAACAGCTCGGTGGTGACCGGAATGGAGGCAATCACAGTCGGCGCCAGAGCGGATACTTTGTTGGGTGACGGTCCATTCACAGAGGTCTTGGAGGGAAGTACTCGGTGGCGGAGCATGCTCCACCTCTTTTGCGCCGCATCCGTCGGCGTATCCGGCGCCTCATTATCCCCATGATTGCCCTCCACATCACTCTCTCCCGTGGTTATACCGTCCTCCCTGAAGCTGCTAAACCTCGAGCTCGCGGGTGTCTTGCCCTTCTTTTTCTGCCGGGACGATTGAAGGGCGTTCCTCCAGGTGCCGTCCGATATGGTGTTACCCATACCGTTCTCGTATGCTTGGAGGTCGTTCTCGGAAGTGGTACGGTAGTCTTGCGATGCGCTTGGGCGCCGTGAAGCCTGCGGCGTTTGACCGGGTGGTAGCTCGGCTTCGCCGTCAGAGGTAACTTTGAGGATGGGTCCATGATGGATCCCATCAACAGTAGGCTCTCGCTCTTCGTGATACTACATGCATTGTCAGCGAGGCTATTCTGCCTCGAGAAGCGTTCCAATACTCACGTGGATATGGGTGATCCTCGGTCCCAGCGCAATCTCATTCCTCGGTCCTGGCACCTCCTCCTCCTTCATACCAGGGTTCCCATCAGGCGACCTGCCAAGCTCATCCGTGAGCTGCCTCTGTGCGCTTGGCGACCGCGACATGAGCTCGGTCTCGTCCCTCTCCCGCTCCCGATCTCGCGAGCCTTTTGCCGAGTCGTCAATCCTGATCATCCTCTCCGACCTCCCAGATCCTTCCCTTTGTTCATTGGCCCGAGGTTGAGGCACAGAAGGGTAGGAGGAGAGTTCTTCCACGGGTGAGTCGTGTATAGGACGTTGATCGTCGTGACCGTCTGGGATGAAGGATTCGTGTCGCCCAGGACCTCTGCCCTCTGCCCCTTCTTGCTCGTCCTCCTTTTGTTGCTGGCTTCGCGAGTCGGTCCTCCCCTCCGCATCAGACGGCAGAGAGCTACTCGACGACCACCCACTCTCCTGCCTCTCTACCCCTTTCCCCTGTCTTTCTCCATGCTTCTCTCTGTATTCTTCTGTATTCTTCTTGAGCCCCGTAGCGGGGAGGTGACTGCTGACAGCAAGCGCTATGCTGCTCTTGCTAGGAGTTGCGTCTCCGTTACCGCCCTTGGCCTCCTTCTCGGCATGTTTGTGACGCATGAGGTCAGAGACGAGGCCAGCAAAGTCGCCCTTGGGCTGCCCGTTCGGGTTGCCGGTGGACATTGTCGAGGCGCAGCAATGGCTGGGGGGGGGGGGGGAGATGGAGAAGAAGAAGTAGCTGAGGGTGTTTTCGTTATTTGTTGCAAGAGGAACCAGAGATCAAGATCTTCCCGCGCGCGTCATGTCTTTCGGACTTGGCACGGATTTCATCCGAAGGGGTGGATATGGTCATGGATACGCATACATGATGCCAAGGGGGATAGGAAGTGTGCTTGCCATCAGCAGATAGTCAATCAAGCCACAACCTATCCCCCCGGTATCTTGCTGTCCATGATTGCTGCTTGCATGAGTCTGATGCCCAAAGTAACTGTGTAAAGAATCTACCACAAAACGAGTATATGCGAAAATAAAAGCTCTAATGGCGACGAAAGAGCCGCATGATGAAGAATGGGAACCCTTGAGTACTGTATGCACATCTCTCCAACCTTTCCTCTCTTGTCCTTTAATCTCTTCTCTTGAATAATGTTTACACAAAGCGCGGGGCGAAAAGACCTAGTCCAGCTTCTCGGTAGGGGCCAAAGTCATCTTCTCGCCGTGCTTGGGGCTCATGGTCGCTTTGCGCTTGATCAAGGGAAGCCAGTAACCGGTGATATCGTACGCGTCCGGGTCGTCCTTGATCAGACAGTGGAGGTCTGTCGAAAGTCAGCCATGCCACTACAACAACATAAGGCGGCTCACATATCGAAGCCGTAAAGATCAAATACGCTCCGTAGCCAGTCATGTAATGCCAATATGAATGTCCTACCCGGAACATCAGCTCCGCCCAGCTCCAGAACCATCATCTACGCACCTTGTACCAAAAAGTCAAACGGCTCTATAGCAGCCCGTATCTCTCTGAACTGTTCACAGAAAATATTGTCGATATTCCAAATCGCAAAGCCCGCCGCAAAGATGCCCACGCCCCATCCCATGAGCTTGCCTATTGTCGCTCTGGCCGGGTGGCCCTCGGGAAGACGCTTGAGGATAAGCACGAGCGTCCGGAGGGTCGAAGTGATAAGGATGGCCGCGAACGCGACTTGGTGGTAGACCGGGTTCGGGAGACAGATGCTTTAGGTTCTTGTCAGCTCGAGGAGAACCCAACAAAAGACTCCATTAGGTCGCAATTTGTGTCCCGCGCCGGCCGTATCGGGAGACCCAGAGCGGCGGGCCTCAGGGCCCTGACCCCGCAAACAGCAGAAAGTGGTGACTCACTATGACACCGTCACAAACACGTCCCAGGCCAACATCACCAATGGTCCCCAGACGCCGAACCGTGGTTCCCATCCAGGACGAGTGTCGAGCACGAGGTATGCCGCGTAAGAGACGACATAGATCTGTAGGCATGTCAGCTACATGTGCCCCACGCATGGCAGGCAACATGGAACACACCATGGGCAACTCATCCATCAACTGCCACTCCCATTTCAGACTCGCGTGGAACCCAAAGCTGCCCAGCCCTATCATGCTCAGACCCAGATAGCAGATCGCGAACCGTTTAGGCAGCCTGTTCTGCAGGACTGCGTAGGCGCCGTAAAAGCCGATGAAGATGGACGGGAGGTTGGAGAGCGTGTTGACAAACTCGGCAATGTAGCGAGTGTGGGTGTAGTTGTTCTCACACCTGTGCCAAGGACGGTCAGCGCTGGGCATTCTTGGGGATATGGGGAGCGCGTACCAGTCGATTGTACTCGTATGTTCTCCCCAAACTATCGATGGCACTCGCGTCAGCCTTCCGCACCTGGCACCCTTGGAGCCTCCCCCGAGCCCACAGGCCAGTACTCACATCCTGATGTCGCCTGGTCGCCTCTGAGCCCATCGAAAGCACCCATGTCGGCCAATTATATCGGTTGAATAACGTATGGAAAAGGGGATCCCGCTCGTGGTGGGGTAGCGAAGGATAGATGTGTCCCGTCTGTGGGGCGGGTGAGGTGCAGGGGGCGGCGAGGGGTGGGCTGGCGGGGTGGGAGGGGTATCTACAGTACCCAGTGTGCTTCGGGTGCGTGGTGTTTGGTGCGAACAAGAAAAAGAGCAGACAGTGCATTGCCGCATACGTCGTCGAGGGTGGAGGCAAGGCACCACCAGGTCATAAATAGTCAATAAACGTGGTTATTGGGCCGCGGCTCTCTCCCGTGTCGCGCGAGCCCTGGCTATAGCTCCAGCGCAGCAGTCGACAGCCAAGACAGCATTAGGGCTACATGCGTATATGTATTATTATGAGCCACTATATTATATGTTACCTTCCCATCCCCCCCGGCTTGTATTTTCCATGACATCCGCACGATCTTTTCTACAAATCACCCACGCAAACTTAGACAAGCTCCCCGCCCAAGCTGTCGCCTCGCCTTATAGCCCTCACAGCAATCAGCAAGAGGAAGATGAACAGCACACTCAGCAGGATCCACTCCATCCACGCGAACGCCTCGGCAGCTACGAGCTGGCTGCAGTATGTGAGGGAAGAGTGACTACATCGGGCACCACCGCCGAGAGCGGCAGTGAAGGAGGCGGCGCCGGCGAGCCAGAAGAGCCATCTGTGTAACACCGGGTTAGAGTCGAGGCAGTGGTGAGCGAGTAAACTTACGTGAGGGCCCAGACACCAAGGTGAGCAGCGATGGAAGAAACGAAATTGGTCGAAGCGACCAAGAACGAGGTCTACAACGATAAATCAGCAAAACAACACGAGATGATGGGATCAACGCTCACAAGATGGGCAGCACCGAAAACGACTGTCCACCAGGAGACAAACACGAGGAACTTGAGTCGGTCTCGGTAAGAATTCGAGGGGTAGGTGTCGTTGCTGTTGCAAACGTCAGTTATTGGGACATGTCGCTAATGCCGTTATAAGGCTCACTTGTTGAATTTGGACACTAACCAACAGATATGGCGTCAGCGGATACCCTGTGTAGCATCATGGAATAATCAAGACATACCAAGCCAAGCGGTAATGATACCCTCAATGATGGCGAAGAATGTGATCAAACCGAAGAAAATCGGGTGTCCTCGGCGAATGTGAGAAGACTGTTTGGCATGGGAGGCGCATAGGAGCAGAGTGTTCAAAGTCGTGGGCAAGAAGGGGCAGAACAAGCGAGGATAAGGAGGCATACGATGGTCAGCAAGTGGATGGATGACACCACGAGATGTTTCGGCGGCAACTCTGGAGGACAACAAAACTCACAGTGTCGACCATGTTGTCTCAATTACTATTTGCTGTTACGGATGCAAGTGGTTATGAGGTGGTTATGTATGCTGGTTCGCTAGCGGCGGTTGAAGAAGCTGGATGCGATGAAAAGAGGAGTTGTCGAGAATTCGATGAAAAGAATGAGGACGGGATAGAAGACCACCAGCAACCGCTTTCGGTCATCATTGCATGCGCGACGTCATTTTGGTGGTTTACGTAAATCTGCTGAGCCGTGCCGGCGGTGGGGCCGAGAACGAAAAAGCCAGCATCATGCATGCATCGAGTGTACCAAGTGGCGTGGAGAGGGCATGTATGCGGACATGCTGTGTGCAGGCAGTAGGCAATGTGGCGACAGGTCAGAGGAGGAATGCCTCGAGGGGTCTGTCGTTGGCTCATGCTCGGTTTCTTTCCGCCGCCCCGCCATATAGCTTACGCTCCCACTCTTTGTCACTTTACGATCTGCTCATCTGACAGCAACAATCCCCTCTGACGTAGGCAATCTATCGTTAATGATTGCCAGAGATCTTTTAGCACATCACACGACGAGACCTCGGTCAATTTGTCGACGTTGACGTCGTTGCATACTCCATTACTACTTTTCGCAATTGACTATTGAACAAACCTCTTCGCGAATCTCTTCTTCTTCTGAATCGTACAATCCAAAACACGCCGATAACCAAGAATTCAAGAATTATACTGTCCCATATACCACAAAACACATCCGATTGACAGATTATAGTATACAACCCATAAGGCCACCGATCCAAACTTAGAACATAAGATTTAAATCTTTTCGGTGAAACCAAGAAGCCACTCCAAGTGTCGGTAGGCGACTCGGGGCTGATACTGCGGCTGCATGTGTCCCGACTGGAACGTCTGCGCCCACATGAGACCTCTCTCATAGTGCTATACCCCATCAGCTTTCCCTCCTAGTCTGCATAACCGCTTTGAAAGACTTACCTGGATGCCCATAGTACCCTGCTCTCCGGGCCCGCTGAGACCGTTCTCGGCAAAGACGGTAGACCACTGGGTGTCTTCGATGCCAATGTAGATCTCCTCCTCTGGGGCGGACTGGAACCCGAGCTCGCCGTTCCAGGTCATGTTTTGGATAGCGAGCAGCGTGCCGTTGGTGATGATGATCATGTCTATCCGCATCAGTCAGCAAAAGTCCAGCCAACAAGGATAGGGACGCACCATAGTCTCCGTTACTGACCAACACCCTGTTTGTCGCCTCGATGACCTTGGGCAGGACATACTGGATGGGATCCAACGACAAATCACCTTCCCCCTGCGGTCCCTCGTCGCCTCCCACAAACACTGGCTCAGTAGCGCAGTTGGCCCAGTCGACATAGTCGGGAGCGTGGATAGCAGCTTTGACGTCGGAGCGGTTGAAATAGATTCCACCAGGAGCGTAGGTGAGTTCGGTGGGGAAGCCGAGGACGTCCCATGCAATAGGGCACATCAGGTTCTGAGAAACTGTCAGTACTGGCAAAGACGGTAAAGAATGGCTCGTTACGATCTCGTAGATGTCAAAGCAAGGGTTGATCTGAAGCGCCAAGTCGTTAACGATGTCCAATAAGTCACACGTCGCATTGGCAGGGTCCGAGTAGTTGAAGAACAGATGGGGCTGCTGGCCCTTGGGAGGGAACACGAGGTAGTCGTCGATGTACTGCCTGTATCCACAAGACTCGTGCAAACCCTTGAGCTCGGCCATGACGGAGGCGTTAAAGTTGAAGAGGTTGTTGTTGGCTTCGACAAAGGGATAGGTAGGAATCTCTTCCTGCACATAGTCGAACTCGCCGATACAAGGGTCGTACACCAAAGCGCCTGCATCATGTCAGCTGAAATTCCTGTGGGCGTATCTTGACTCACCCGAAAGGTTGTAGTATGACTTGTCCTCTTCGTCGACCATAGCAGCCGAGACGTAAGGCACATACCTCCCAGCATAAGACTCGCCAGTAACAAAGATTCTATAGTTTTTGATCCCAAAAGTGTCCTCAAAGTTCTTGAACCACTTGACAAAGTCCTGTGCAGTCTCCTCTTGGGTGGTCGCGGTGGGGGTACCGGTAGAGAAGCCAGTGCCGACAGGTTGCTCGACCCTTCAGAAGAGTCAGCTCGGCCCCAGTTCATGACCTGACGGAACGTACCAGAGCATGTTGGTCAGATTGACCCAAGCGTACGGGTTCAACACGGGCTCATAAGTCCCGGGCTGCCATATCCAAAGACCGGTCTCCTGAAGGAAGCTCTCTAGGGACGAGCATCCCGGTCCGCCGTTGAACCAGATAGTAAGGTCTTCGGAAGCTTCCCCGAGCTTGGGCTGGAAGACGAAGAAGAGCTCTCTGGAGGTGTCGGAGTAATTGATGGGAATGAGGCCCGAGTACAGCTCGCCGAGGTCGAATGGGACGTCGGGGAGAGAGTCGACAAAAAACTCTGGCGGAATATCAGCATGGCAGTATAGACGAATGGGATGGATACTCACCGGAAGTCTTGTTGTTGTAGTACCTCTTGCCAGAGTCCCTCTCCTCCAGGTACGCCCGGCTCTCCTCAAGCTTCAAAGCTTCTCTCTCCATGAATTCTCGCTTGGCTTCCTTCTTTGCTCGAAGAGCCGCGGGCTTTCGACCTCGAAGACCTTGCGGGTCCCTGGCATCTGCCAGAGTGTCGACCAAAGAGAAAGTGAGGAGCGCGGTAGTTACGAGCTTGGACCACATCTTGTTGGAATGCCTGATATGAGGCAAAATTGAAAAGGGCCCAGAGGAGAAAGACCGAGGATGAGCGGAAAGTGGAAGCTGTGGCTACTTATATAGCACAGTTTCCGCCCGGCCCGCTGATAAGGACATAAGCGGGAAGCGCTCTAGGTCGGCAAACGTACCTGCATTGTCGGTCACCCGTCCCGTCTTCAGCAGCATGGATACATGCGCTTAAGCGCGCTAAGTTAATGCGTATGACCATGGATCATGCGCACACATGCTTCGCCATGCACCATGGGAAAAGAACACGTAAAGTTCTATAGTGCAGAGTGAGCGGATGACTGCGGATCGGGGCTTGTCACGATATCTTGCAGGCGATAGATTGGGCGCGGAGATGCCCGTGATTGCTTTTTATAGGCCTGGTATCGTATGGGCCAAGGAAAATGTTCTCTACTAGCAGCATTTGCGACCACTGAGACTTTCAGGAGATGCCGGGAGACGATCAGAATGGATCAAACTGAGAAAAGTGAAAAGGAAAGGAACAAGGGACTGGCCAGGAACGAACGCATGCACTCAAGCTGATAAGGACTGGGATGACGTGAACGAGAGGGTTCAAATGCAGCCGGATATCTCGGGTGGATACTCTCCTGCAGTGGTCTAGCAAATCATGGATGTGAGACATCAGACATGCGGCCACCTCGCGGTCAAATCGGAGGTCGAGGATGTCTTCTATCTTCTGGCTTGATGTTGGACATAGGTCTTCCACACGGGGCGGGGCACTATAGACCAATGATGCATGCTCGATTAAGCAATCTGAACACTAGACTGCACTTCCTCCTGCTCAACTTCGTCATGCTGCTGCTGCTGCTCCTCCAGGCCGGCCTCATCGGCGACCTTCTTTCCCCATGCAAGGGCATGCCAATTCTCTTCTTCCCATGGGGCCAGCATCACACTCCTCTTCAACTTCCTCAATCCCTTGCCTTCTCCTTCGAGCAACTCTGCCAACCCTCGTAGCTTGTCCTCTTCTGCCTTTGACTCGACGGTTCCATTCTTTCCTCCTGGCACCTCGAGGACCTTGAGAGCATCACCAGCCTTGCTCGCCTTGATCAACGCTTCTGCGAGCCTGTTTCTGATCCCTTGCGATCCAGGAGCGGCACGGGCAGCATCCTGCAACACCTCGTATGCCTCTTCTTCTCGGCCTTCCGCGAGATTGTGGAGGTAGAGGACGAGATCGCCCTGGTCGGACGAGTCCTGTACACGCTCTGAGATGGGTCGAGAAAGCAGCTCAGACATGGATGCTTCGATGAGGTCGGAATCAGCAGAAACGACGGCGATAGCGGCGAGGGTCGAGATGACTCTGAGCGAGGGGTTCTCTCGAGACAGACTATATGTTCAATTAGCAGAGTCCCGACAGGATGCAAACATGACTCACCACTCCAGAAGATTGCTCTTTGCGATCTCCTTTGCATCCTCTCCGCCCAAGCCCCAGAGCGTTCGACTCAGCAAGACCGCCACTTCCTCCTTGACCTCCATATCCTGGTTCGCAGTCGCTTCATCTAAAGCCGCCTGGAATGATTCGAGACTTTCGTCCGTCTGCCCGAGCCAGTAGTGCGCCAAGCCTTGGAGAAGCTTACACTGCGGTTTCAAAGTAGCAGACGCAGCCTCTGAGGAGCCAGCAACAAGCTCCCAGCAGTTGCCAAGTGCTTCCAGCGCTTCTGCATACTGTCCAGTAGAGAGTCGGACTCGTCCGAGATTGCACAACGCAACGGCGTACAAGTGTTCAATCTCTGCACTCTCAGCCCTCTCGAACTCCTCCTCCAGCGCGATAGCGGTCCTCTCAAGCGACGAAACAGCCTCCTCGACCAGGCCCAGTCTCTCGCAGATCAGGGCGTATAGGTGAGCAGCAGTATAGTCTTGTGGCCTCTGGTGACAGTAGTGCTTAAGCGCGAAAGCGGGCTGGTGAAGGATACCAGCGTCGATCGCAGAAGTGGGCGAAAGGAAGCGAGCAAAAGTGGCAGCTGCCAAAGCCAGATCCGCCTCAAGCAGAGCCTGAGCCGATAGCGTGACAGAATGTGAGAAAAGCGCTTTCGCCTGTTCCTTCTCCCCATTCCTATCAGCCAATAGACCTTGGCCATACCATGCCCGTGCATAGTCCGGGTCCATGACCTGAGCTTTGAGGAAACATTGCCCAGCGAGCTCACGATCGTCAAGTCTGAGGTACAAGTAACCCAAATTGACCCAAACAACGGGGTCCTTCGTGTAAAGCTCGAGAGAGACCACTAGGGCGTGCTGAGCAAGTTGGGGTCCAGCTGTGGCGCAAATGACGCCAAGAGCATTCCAAAGCCTCTCGTCTCCGGCATCCCGGTCAAGAGCAGTCCGGATCGCGCTGATGGCAGTCCTGAGGCACTGCTTCCTCTCCTCTCCGTCGTCGAGTCTGCTAGCGAGTGTATGCAAAGCACTAGCATAATCGTACAAGGCGGGATCAACCACTCGGGGCTCGTTCTTGAGCAAATGAGCCCGGTAGGCGAACGCGAATATGGCAGTCTTCAGTGTGGTGCTGAGAGAGACAGCTTCTTGTAGGAGGTTGGCAGCGTGGCCGACGCCGGGAACATTGGATCGCTTGTCGGCATCGTCCTCAACAAGGAATTGGAGCACAGGCTGCACATACTCGAAGGAAGCCTGGGCCTCCTCAATGCTCGATTCTTGCCAGCTGAGCTCGAATGTAGCGTCGCCAATGAGCTTCCACGCCCAAGCACGATGCGTCCTGCCCGTCTTGAGCACCTTGACAGCGAGTTCGATCGCCCGGTGGAAAGCACCCCTAGACCTGACGCGGAATCCTCCAGCGCCGGTCTGTCTCCCGGAAGATAGATTCGCCTCCGCCAATGCGGCAACGATCCCAACCTCCTCTCCGCCAGTAATGTCCATCACCTGCCCATACGCCTCGATTGCCTTGTCAAACGCGCCGAGCTGACTCTGTGTCTGACCAATGTCGAACAACGCTCGCCAGTTGGCAGGGTCGATGGTGAGGGCATGGGAGAAGGTTTTGAGGCCGGCGGTATGACGTCCGCACTTGACGTAGGCTTCACCAAGAGTAACCCAGGTTGATACATCTTCGGGGTCAGCACGGAGGGCAATCTGGTAGGCTTCCGCGGCCTTGTCGTACTTTTTATAGTGCTGCAGCGGAATCAGTATACGAATCTCATGGTGGGTTGAAGACATACCATCTCGGTCGCACCGAGTGCCTTCCAAGCCCATCCGTTCTGCGGCGCAAATCTGGCCTTGGTACCAAGAGCGTCCCCTCCGGCGACACCTTCCAGACCGCCTTCACCCTCCATAACCCTGACAGCAATCAATCTCACCTGCGCCCACTCATCTTCGTTCGCATAACCGACAGCCAACCTATGCGCCGCATACGCCTCTGTAGCATCGAGCTCGAAAGCACGCTGGTAGCACTTGAGGGCGCGTTCGTGGTCGGGAGGGTTGGCGGAGGAGTAGCAAGTACCAAGCGCAGTGTAGGAAGCCGCGTGGGAAGGGTTGGCGCGGATGGAAGCCATAAACCATTCCTCAGCGTTCGCTTTCGCCTCATCGTCTATGAAACGTCAGTTGCCAAACTCCCAGAACAAGTTACGATAAACTGACCCCCAATCCTCCACTCGGTCTGACCCAATCTGTACCAAGCTCTACTCCTCTCCTTGGCCTCTTCTTCCTTCTCCCTTTCATTCTTCCCGTCTCTGATCCCAACGACCTCCTCCAAGACATCTCGACCAGCTTCGAGCTTGCCTTCGTTGACGAGGCACCACCCAACCTCTTCCTTTGCAGTGATGATCGCCTTCTCATCCTGTGACGAGTCGAGAACCTGCTGAAAGTGCTCGCGCGCGCTGATCCAGTCTCCGGCATATTGAAACACTTGAGCGCGGGAGAAACGAGCTTCGATATTTCCTGGCTTGGCGGTGAGAACGGTCTCCAGGATTCGAGTAGCTCGCTTGTGGTGCTTAGGAGGAAAGTATGGGACGAGGGCAACACCCAAGACGGTATCAAGATCCGCTTGGGCCTTTGGAAGAGTGATTCCTCGCTGAGACTCGATCTCCTTTACAAGCTTTCGGGCTTTTTCGGCGAAGGAGATGGCATTTGGCAGGTCCTCATCTTGCAAAGAGACCCTTGCCATGGCCCTGTACGCAAACAGTGACTTTGGCAGCTCGACAATCATCTTTGTCAAGAGTGAAATCATCTCTTCCTTCTCTTCCTGCTCTACATCTTCCGATACCACAACCTTTCCCTCATCCTGTCCCTCCTTCTCCCTTCTCACCTGTCGTCTGGCCCGCGAGGCTTTGCCGCCCTTGTGTTTCTTGAATTGAGTACGCTCTTGCAAGCTGGCGTTGTCTTTTTCTTGCTCGTATTCAGGAGAAGGACGTTTGAACCAGCGACAGTAGATGTCGATAAAGTCCGCCAAGGGCGAGAAGGGGAAGGCACAGGCATATTTGTGGAGGAGATCGATATCGTAGTCTGTTTATCGTCAGAATCATGCAAAAGGCTGGAAGCAAATGCTCACATATAGACTCCTCGTCCCTTCCTTCCAAGGCCCAAGACCACCCCTCTTCGGACCCAGCGCTGTTGACACCAAGAAGAACAAAACCATTGGCAAGCCCGTCGGCATGATCCAGAGCTTCCTGCTTGGTCGGCGCCACCAGATCCTTCTTCTCCTGGAACAACGCCGGCTCAGAAAGCCTAGACACGGCGAGCTTCAACTTTGGTGCCGATGGGACACTAGGCTTGGCTGCAGGTCGATCGGTTGTCTTGGGCTTGGCATCAAGACAAGCCACAAGCCTTCGCCAAAAGTTGAATTCCTTGATTTCCACCTGTCGCCTAATGTCATCCTCGACGGCAGGATGTCCTCCAACCTCTTTCCAAAGTTCCGCCAATTTCAAGCCCTCTGTCGCCAGAATCTCTCTGTCCACATTCTTTCGTACCTCCGCCTCAGACCCAGCGTTGATACGCTTACGGTCGTTGGCGACCCGGGCGGCGATTTTGGCACTGAGAGTCGTTTCAAAACGGATGAGGACGTTCAGGGCGATAGCAAGAGAGCCGGCGATGAGTGATGGATGGGGAAGTGGTGGGAGGACAGGCAGTTTGCCGGCCGGTGTAGGGTATTCGGGGACGGCAATGGGGACGTAAGAGTCTTTGGAAGCTTCAACAGATTGCAGTAGGGGAACGAGGGGCGATGAAGGTAAGAGAAGCTCGAGCGTCTTGTAGAGCTTTTCTTCGGGGCCATGTTCTTGCCTTATCCCAATCAGCCTTTCAAGAGTACCTGCAAGGTTCTCGGCATCTCCACTGTGGACATCGTGAGCCCATCACCCAGTGCATGACATGACGGACATACCTGTCATACAATCTTTGAGTTTGATTCTCCAAGAACACTCCATACTTGTCCCAGTCCTGCGTCTTTTCATACAGCATTGTCAATCCTTTGGCGGCCAGAGGGTTGTTCGGCTGGAGCTTGTAGGCTTGAAGATATGACTACACATTGTCAGTGCCGAAACAGCCTCCGGATGGGGCATCGTTACCTTTTCAGACTCGTCCAGTTTCTCCAGCTGCGTCAGCGCAAGACCTCTGAAGACAAGACTAGAGTAGCATGAGCTTTGCCTCTGCACAATCAGCGCTGTACTTACCATTGAGCGGCATCTGTATCCTCATGATCGATCGATTTCAGCAGCTCTGTAGCTTCATAGAGAGCCGACTCGGCATTCTTTTCCTTCAGATGACCTTGAATTGACTTGAGAGCCTTTTTGGTGGACATTCTGGGCTACTATCCACTGAATGTCCAGATATGTGTCAAAGCAAGAAGTTCAGAATTCAGTACTTGTAGCTGCCTCGTTGTGATGAGCGCGCCGATGAACGCACGATGAAAACCGTGAGAAAGTTGTCTACTCGGCTATGGAAGGCTATCCAAAGGCTATCTGTCTCGAGTCACTTTCTATATTTCCTCAAAGCGCAGCATATCTCCATCTTTCTTTTCTGTCACCCTCCCAATAAGAACCAGCGAAACAGATAGTCAAAAAGTAGGTCCCAGAACTATCGGGTAGCATTTCAAAGCTTACACTACCTAGCACCATGTCCTCCTACATCCCCCTGCCGTCCCGTCCGACCCAACGAATAGTCATCGTCGGTGCAGGCATCGTGGGCTCGTGCCTCGCCGCCCTTCTCTCAGAACACCTCGGTCCCAACATCGTCCTCATCGACCGCGACATTGAGGAGCTCCCTGGCTCTACTGGCCATGCCCCCGGCTTCGTTGGGCAGTACAACGAATTGCCTGTCCTCACCGAACTCGCTAAGCGATCCGTGGGGTACTACAGCCATATCGATGGCGCTTTTGACCAGGTCGGAGGTCTTGAAGTTGGACAAGGGTTGGAGGAGAGAGCGGAGAGTGCGAAGAAGGCGGGACTGGAGGCACATGTGTTGTCGAAAGAGGAGGTGTTGAAGATTGCTGGTGACTTTGTGAGGGACGATATTCCCGAGGGTCCTGCCGGAGTACTCTATCCTTTGGACGGTACTGCCAACCCCATCGCTATTGCCCACAGCCAGCAGCGCAAAGCCTCTCAGAACGGTGCCACCCTCCTCAGCGTCGACGTCCAGTCCATCTCCGACTCTCGTACCGGCCGTCTCGTCCGTACCGACCGAGGCATGATTGACTGCCACTCCGTCATTCTCTGTACGGGTATTTGGGCGGCCCAGCTCTTCCCCAAGTTTACCGAGTCTGTCGTGTCTGTGGCGCACCCTTACCACTACTCTCTGCCCAACAACCACGAGAGCAAGACTCCCTTCATTCGCTGGCCTAAGCACCATGTCTATGCTCGTGACCACGGCAAGCTCGACGGCATCGGCTCTTATGCCCATGCCCCCATCCACGTCAAGAAGGACGAGCTCACAGACACTGCCTATGGCAAGTGGGAGCCTTCCTTCGACGACGTCCTGCAAAAAGCATTGACGCTCTTGCCGTCCAAGGCAGCCGACACGTTCAAGCAGGGCCAAAAGTTCAACGGGCTGTTCTCTGTGACGCCTGATGGGCTGCCGTTGGTGGGCAAGGTGGAGGATGGACTGTGGTGTGCGGTGGGTGTGTGGGTGACGCATGCGGCGGGCGCGGCGGGGCTGCTGGCGGACCAGCTGCTGAATGGAGGGGCGGGAAAGGATGCAGAATTGAGGAAGGCAGTGGACCCCAAGAGGTTTGAAGGTGTGGAGGGGCTGGAGGCAAAGTCTCTTGGCAGATACAACGACATTTACAACAACGCAGAGTAGAGATCGAATCGCATGGTTATTCAAATATGCACAACAATTTCATTGTACAGGCTTTACAGGCTTGTTTTCTTCTTTGTCTTACTTGCATTGGGAGACCTCGTACTCGACGGTACTGTTACCCTGGCCCCACACCTTTGGCTTGAAGTCGAGGTACACGAGCTGAGCCCATGTCAGCACCACTCTATCCTTTGATGGCTTGATAACTGACCTCGTTCTTCTCAGAAGTCCACTCTCCATCGGTATCCCTGTAGAACACGATTTCATCACTGCCCGCGTCCCTGACCTCGGCGGTCGTATGCGAGATCTTGCCATCGGTGGTCCACTTGATCTCGTAACAAGTCGATTTGGTGACCGGGAATGGTTTGGAGCAGCGCTGATTGCCGTCGGCGTCGACGCACTTCTCAACAGCATAGTCGAGGATTTTGCCGGAAGAGACCTTGCCGGCTGAAGAAGGTCAGCTGGGGTGGCGGCACGAGTGAAAGGGATACTCACAGAAACCACCGGAAAGGGCGAGGCCGGCAGCGAGGGCACCTTGAAAGTTGGGAATGTACATTGTGCTGGTCTGTTGATGATGATTATGGGGAATGAAAGAAGACAAGAACGTGCGGGGGTTTATATACTGGTGGCGGAACACGCCGGTCATGCGACGTGCGACTCGCCCGGGGAGGAGCAGCAAATGACATCCTTGCACAGGAATTGGGAATAAAAGGGATGACAGAGTTCTTGCCAACGGCCAAGTCACAGACGTCATCGAGATTTACGGGAATCGTCGATCGCTTTGGGTACGGCCATCGCCGCCTTCAGGAACCAAACACAGAGATGCAGAGACATGTATGGGCGATGGCCCGGACGTTCCAGGGAAGACTCTTTCTGGCCTTGTTGAACTGTTCTTTGTGCACGATCAACTAATAGTCCTGGTCCTCTCGGAGCCGGCTCGGCAGCTCACCGGAAAATTGTCCAATCGGAAAGCATGTGCGATACGTAAGACCGCCACAGCACATCGGCGGCCGGCGCGCAAAACTCGAGTGATGCGTTGTTAGCGTATCTTGAGCGTATCCCAGGCGTATCGACCTATCCTACTTTGCACAACTTTGATCGACCAGCCCCTGCACTTCGGCTTTGTTAATTATATCTACGATCAGCTCTCCTCAGTTCAAGAAGACACAGCGGAATAGGTTTGCGGGACTATGTCGCCCCGAGCTGCGTACTTGACCATATTCTGGGCTTGCCTGTGAGTAGATGACATGACAAGGGACTTGAGCTCATACAGTCCGCGCAGCTCTTCGTGGTATTGTCAGTAAAAACCTGCATGTTCTGTTCATAGCTGATCGCAACCTCGCAGACGGATTTCATCTCTCCGAGCTCAATTTCCCGGAGCAATCCATCACCTGCACCTCCGCGTCCACTACTCTCCTCCCCGAATGTCTTTCAATCACGCCCTCTCTCTACTCCCTCATCACCGCCATATTCACCCTTGGAGGTCTTCTCGGTTCATTGACCAGCTCCAACGTCGTATCACAGCGCGGGCTGAATGGAGGTATCGCCTTGACTGGCTGGCTGAACCTTATCGGTGCTGGAATCATGACATTTGCGCCTCATCGGACCATCCTTGCCTTGGGGAGACTGGTAGCGGGCACAGCGTCAGGTCTGGGCATTAGCCTGGTGCCGCCATTTCTCTCGGTGATTGCAAAGAGCGAAGCAGAGCTGGCTAGCAAGTCTGGTATGGTCGGGACCATGAACCAGCTGGCTATCGTCTTGGGTATTTGTTCCGGACAGGTCGCTGGATTGCTGTTGACCGGTGAAGTGAGTGCCTCCTCTGACTGATACCAGAAGACAGATCAAGCTGACGAGGCTATAGAAAGGAGAGGTACCGGGAAGCTGGCGATATGTGACGGCTATTAGCGGCGCTGTTGCTATCGCCCAGATCTTGTCGGCTAGTATCATCTCCTCACCCACTGGTGAACACAAGGCTCCTGCATCCCCTGTAGATGCCGAATCTGGTCCTCGTGATGAAGGTAAAGCTTCTATGTATCCCAAAGTTGAGCGCGATCTGACACCACGCAGCAGCTTCGCCCCTCCTCCCAGGTGCATCTTCCACACCCCACACCCAGCTGACTCTCCCCCAAATCTTATCCAATCCCTCCCTACGTGGTCCCTCCATTTTATGTGCCGCTATCATGGCCCTGCAGCAACTATCTGGTGTCAACGCTGTCATGTTCTACTCCACCCCCGTCCTGCGCCCGCTCTTGCCGACCTCGGTGGGAGTGGTCGGGGTGGGTATCACTGTGGTCAATGCCATCATGACGCTGCCAGCGATCTTTTTGATCGACGTGAGTGTTGTCTGCAAGTGCAAGGAGCTGAGGCTGATGGAGAGTAGCGACTCGGCAGAAAGACTTTGATATTGGCATCCATTGGCGGTATGGCAACGACCAGCGTCCTCCTGGCTTTCGGATTGAACGACCACCTCCAAGCACTCAGTGGTATCTCGATCATCGCCTTCATCGCTTCCTTCTCTATCGGGCTTGGACCTGTACCATTCTTGCTCACCTCCGAGCTCGTCCCCCAACCTGTCAGTTTGTATCCATTCACAAAGACCCAGCTGACGATTTGCGATAGGCCGTGGCAGCGCTTTCCAGCCTCGCTATATCGACCAACTGGATCACCGCCTTCTTGGTCGCGCTGTTCTTCCTGCCTCTGCGGGACTTGCTGTCATCCCCGGTGGACCCCCGACAACCGGAGAATGGACGAAAAGGCGAAGGCAGAGTCTTTTATGTCTTTACCATCGTACTCTTGCTGGGCGGGGTAATGATTCTCAGAGGCCTCAAGACAAGGCAATGACTGTAGCCACAGGACTTTACGACATGACATATGTATACATCACCTAACAATTTACACTCTAAAGGCAGTAACATTCTTCTTGATCTCTGCTCCTCCAGCAGCCGCAAACCCAGTCCCTTCCTTACCGAGCGGTATCCGTCCCTTCTCTTCCACCTTCGCTTCGCACACTGAACATCTCCCCTGGGGTTTCACTATCGTCTCCGTACATGTTGAACACACCACATGCCCACAGACTAACGGATCTTCCTTGTCCTTCTTTTGCTTCTTCTTCTTTCTTCCTTCGTCGCCATCGGCGTCTCCATTCAAGGCAGTGAGAGGGGAGCGGGAGGAGAGGAGGAAGGAGGAGTTATTGTTGGAGAGTTCTTTGGAACATGAGGGGCAGATGGGTTTGGACTTGGAGTCTGGTGGGTAGGTGAGGATGACTGGAAGGAGTGTTTTGCGGCTGTATCTCGTCAGTTATGTCGTCTGAACGCCCAACAATGCAGCTCACGCGATGGGATGAGGATGAGCTCCCGCATGGCACAACGTCTGCAGCTTGATATCCTTCACCGGAATCACCTTGCTTTCAGGCGTCAGACTCGGCAGCCAGAATGCCGCCAGCTTGGCCTTCCTAGATTCCACCTGCTCCTCCTCCAACACCCTCATAGCCTTTTCTTCCGCTTCCTGAGTCGCCTTTTCGACGATGCTGCCGTCCAATTTGAACTTGCTTCCAACACTGTCCCCGCCTTCCTTCTTCTCCTCGTTCCTCACCAGACCCCGTCCACTTGTTCCTCCCAGTGCCATATTCTTTTCGAAATCCAACACCACCCTGTCCCTAGCCCTCGCCTTGGCGTCTTCCCTCTCCTGCCTCTCCTTCTCCTCCCACCGCTCCATTTCGCGCTTTTGCACCTCAATGCCCGCTTTCTGACTGATCAGGTTTGACAAGCAGCATTCGCGGCAGTAGATATGTCCTTGAGGGCAAGCAACGGGATCGGTCACTTGAGAGAGGCAAAGGTAGCAAGAGTCGAGGGGTTTGAAAGACTCGCCTCCGAGTCGACGAGCGCCGCTTTCTTTGCGGAGGAGGGACCGTTCGTAGTAGGTGAGGGTGGACTGGGTGGTGTTGTTCTTGGCGTGAGACCGGCCCATTTCAAAGGCTTTTTTGGTTGGGGTGGTGATGGAGTATATTTGTTGACACTTTGAATTGGACTTGAAGAATCGGGAGAAGATAGACGTTCTTCTTTGAGAGCCCCATTTACGCATACGCGACTATCATCATAGGACCCATAATTGTACCGCCCATGCTATACTCCTCCCAACTTACCCTCGGAATTCTCTACGGCAGCCCAACAACCGCTTGGAACCTACACTACTCGGCACCACAATAATAGCAACCAGAAGAGCCTCAGCAAAATGTCGGACGACGAATTCATGATGGACGTAAGTCGTTCCGCCCGCGCATTACAGTACCCGACTGACATGATTCATAGGATATCGCGGACGACGAGGTGAGGGCACGCGAATTGATGAGCGTGCTCATAAGCTCATGAGGATCCACAGGAATATGACTTTGACTACGACGATGATGATGACGATGCCGACGACGGCGACGCCGGCGGTGATGTTGAGAACCAGTACTACAAAGCCAAAGGTGCGCCCCTGGGCCTCTTTCTGCAAGGCCAAGCTGACGAGGGGTGTTTGTAGCTCTGAAGGATGATGACTCGGCTGGGGCTTTGAAAGCCTTTAGAACTATTGTGGAGGACCAGCCGGAGAAGGGTGAATGGTGAGTTGCTTCCCTCCACTCAAGCTTGTCAGAGCTGATACTAGTCAATAGGGGTTTCAAAGCACTCAAGCAAATGACCAAGCTCAACTACCTCCAATTGCATCAACCCGACCCCGCCCTGGAGACATACAAAGAGCTCTTGGGCTACACCAAGGTTGGTCGGCTTGCCGGCTGCCCGGAACGATATGCTGACTCAAGAACAGAACAATGTGACGAGGAACTATGCCGACAAGTCGATCAACAACATCTTGGACTATGTTGGAGGGGAGGGCAAGGTGCGTTTCGTTTCGCTAAGGGGAGGTCAAGACTGACTAGCCCGGCAGCACGCATTAAAAGCGCCCAAGGTGCCTATAGATACGTTGGAGAAGTTTTACGATGTCACTCGGGTTGCTTGTGACGAGGCCAAGAACGAGGTAAGGACCTCGTATATCGATGTGCTCTTCCGCTCATAAGTATGTGTAGCGACTGTCGACAAAGTGCAACCTCAAACTCGCCAAGCTCTGGTTAGATCGTAAAGAATACACCCGCCTGACTCCTGTAAGCCGTTTGGATTTGGTATGATTGGTCTTAACTGATCAATTGATAGATTCTCAACTCTCTGAAATCCACTTGCACACCTTCCGACGTGTCTTCTTCCGACGACCAATCCAAGGGCTCTTTATGTCAGTCATCACATTTAGTCCTCGAAACCATGCTGACTACTTGCAGTACTGGAGATCTACGCTATCGAGATCCAAATGTACAGCGACTTGAAGGAGAACAAGAAGCTCAAGGTGAGTAGTGACTCGTAACATATTGCGCTGTGCTGATGACCTGCAAAGGCCATCTACCATGCCGCTTCCCAAGTCAAGAATGCCATCCCCCACCCTCGTATCTTGGGTGTCATCAAGGAGTGTGGTGGCAAGATGTGGATGAATGAACGTACGTGACCCATGAGTCTGTTTGAGTACACGCTGATGACTTGGGAACAGGGGAGTTTGGTCGGGCCTCGGAAGACCTTTTCGAATCGTTCAAGCAGTACGACGAATCTGGTTCAGCGCAGAGAATACAGGTGCTCAAGTACCTCGTGCTCAACACCATGTTGAACGCGAGCGATATCAATCCCTTCGATTCGCAAGAGATCAAGCCTTACCGAAACGATCCCCAGATCATGGCGTTGACCAATCTGGTCGACGCTTTCAACAAGCGAGACGTCTTGGCAGCCGAAAAGATCCTCAAGAGTGAGTGTTCAAGGCGTGTATACAGCCTAAAGCTAACACATATGTAGCCAACGCTGCTACCATCACCTCTGACCCCTTCATTGCCTCATTCATCGCCGACCTTCTTTCCACCCTCCGCACAGTGTACATCATCGACATTTCCAAACCCTACACCCGACTTGAGCTCGACTATCTTGCAGAACAGCTCCAGATTTCTCGGGGGGAGGTGGAGAACTTGGTTATGGGTGCGATTTTGGATGGCAAGATCAAGGGCAAGATTGATCAGGTTCAAGGAGTTCTGGTGCTCGACAGATTGTACGTTTTCATCGCCACCAAACGGGCCAAAGCTGACTTGGGGACAGTGGTGCGGCACAGAGGGCGAGATACTTGGCTGTCCGGGAAACGGCAGTCAAGGTCAGGCAGCTCGCGGGCAAGGTCGAGGTCGACAAGCTGGGGCCGAAAGATGGTGGAGCGAGGCAGTGGACAGGGCAGATGGCACCCGGGATTCCTGCGTTTTAGACAAGGGTGTATGCTTCTGGGGTCCATGGTGGAGAGTATCCAAGTTGTAACATGTAAGAAGACAAAAGCTGTGTACAAATTAGAGGCCACATGCATCGGCAATGCTCCAGTAATGCGTTGCTGCGTCGCTCGAGCCACCAGACCGAGAACGGGGTGGAGAACGCGTCGCGTCGCGCTAAAGGGAGTATGACGAAAGATGCACACGTGAGGTGTCTTGGTTGACTCAACCACCCCAGCTGGGTATATAAAGAGGTGTGGGTTGCGAAATCCTCATCAACCATCTTTCTCACTCCTGTTCTTGACTTACCACGATACATACCACCAAACATGAGCGACGCCGAACACCAGAGGCATGTCATTGCGGGCTTCAAGGCGTGAGTCGCTTGTGACTGGCCATGTTCACCAGCTGACATCCGGGCAGCACCATCTCCAACCCCACCGTGAGTATTGTTCCCGTCCATCCTTTCTTACACTGAGCACGTGAACAGGGTTGCCGGTGGTTACAAGGCGTACGTGCCTGCATCATTCTCCTAAGCTCATGTGCTGACCATGCGCAGCGCCTTGCACAACCCCAACGTATCTGCTGAAGGTAAAGCTTACGCTCTGGCAGAGCTCGAGAAGTTATAAGCGCTGGACGTTTCGTGGCGTAACTATCGGAGAGCATGGCGAGCTGTGATCAGAAGTATATGCAAGACATCAAGATATTTATTCCGCATCTTTGCAAGTGTACTCGAAACCAACTCCAGATTGAACAGCAGGACTTGCCCTCGTCGCGTCGGTGGTCCGTCTTTCAACGACGCGTCTGGAACCTTTCGGCGTCGTCGGCTCTGGGTACATAATTCATGGGTACCCGATCGCAGCCACAGCTCCGAGCTCCAGCCTGACTCCAGCAGATCTCTCGTGACCACCGGTTACTGACGTCAAGGGCGCAACCGACCGTGCCTGATTGTCATCCCCCGGAGTGTGGAGGCTGGCCTCTCGTCATCGTTGCCCATCCATTCGAAACGATATATAAACCTCAGAGATCCATTGGCCCCGTTCCCCCACTTGCACTTCAAATCAACAAATTCACAGATAATGCTCAGAACAACCCCCATCCGACTCGCTCAGGCTTCCGCCGCTCCCTCCAAAGCTGCCATCGTGAGCTTCATCCGCCGGAGCCAAGACCATCGCTGATCCTCTCACAGCGCCCCCGATCCATCCCCAGACCTCCCCAGTCCCAGTTCACTGCCCTTCGTGCTACCCGCCGCTCCTACGCTACTGAGGTCCCCCCATCAGGACCGGCATCCGGGGCCACTGGCGGCGGCGGCGGTGGCAACGGCCCCATGCTGCTCGTCCTCGCTGCGATCGTCGGTGTTGGAGCTGGAGGCTACTACTACCTGAAACCCGTGCGGGATGCTGCTTCGGTCGCCAACACTGTTGCCGACCAGGTCAAGACCAACAGCCCTGATTTGGTGCGTCCCTTTTCTAAAAGTCGGTGTGGAACTGACGAGGGAGCAGAGTGAGCTCGCCGGCTACGCCAAGTCTGCCCTTCCTCCCGGAGTCTTCGCCCTCTACTCTCACCTTTCCAAACAGCCCGGTGGCATCAATGGCTTCCTTTCCAACCTCAAAGACAAGGACCTCAAGGAGGTGCTTGAAGAGCTCAAAAAGGTCGGCGGTGATGATGTGAAGCGGGTGGTCGACAAGGTGCAGAAGAAGATTGAGGATGCCAAGGGCAATGTGGAGAATGTCGACTGGAAGGCTTTGGTGGCGGACCTGAAGGGTGAACTCCCCGCTGGTAGTCAGAAGATTGTCGACGTAGGTTTTTTCCTCCATACTCCGTGCACGAGCTTACACACCGTGTAGCTGCTGATCGGCAAGCTTCCCGACAAGGCCGACATTGACAACCTCGTCAAGAAGGCTAAGGAGGTTGGAGAAGACCAGCTGAAGCAGCTCGAATCTTCTGCCAACAAGGTCTGGCTCAAGGTCGAGGAGGCCAGGAAGGATGGCAAGGGTCAAGCCGATGCTTTGCTCAAGGGTCTCAAGGAGGGTACGAGATTGCTTTTTTCCCAATCCGGGCTCGAGGCTGATTTAGTGTATAGCTGCCCCTGCCGATGTGGACGCCTTGATCAAGCAGCTCAAGGAAGCCGCCAAGAAGGCTGGCTTGCCCGCCGACCAGACTGAAGCTTGGTTGAAGAGCAAGGTTGATGAGGGCAAGATCAACACTGATGAACTCGTACGTCTTTCTACATCGTCTGTCGTGTTCGCACGAAGCTGACAATCTCATAGGCTGGACAAGTCGAGAGCAAGCTCAAGACCGCTAGCAAGTTTATCCCCGGCGAGCCCAAGGACCTTGTCAAGCAGGTTGAGCAGGTCAGCCCCTCGCTTGCCAAGCTTGTGGCCCAGGCTCTTCAGCAGTCTGGTGTGACGGACGAGAATGGCAACAAGAAGCAATAATGGTATAGCATAGTAAGAGAAGACATACGTAAGAAGTAAATGCATAGTATAACACATCCATGGCTCGGGCACCTCTGTTCGTACAACAACACCCTTCCTCTTCCTCGCAAATACGACTCGACCCGGCAGCCGATCGTGGAAAGTCACAAAAGTATACATTGCTGGAAGCTGGACCGACGCGAGGGTATGGTGATCGTGGAAAGTCTCGGTGCTCGATAGAGGTGGGCGGGGGGAGAGTTATGCAGATATGGCTATCACGACGTCGCTGTTGAGGTACCACCTCGCGAGGAGTAGGTCGGTCTGTTTGGCTGGAGTATCGTGAGCCTTGTGACCTCTCACTACGAACGTAGTACTCACAGCCTGTAGAGGGCCGCTATTGAGGCGCATAACAAGATCAATCCGACAGGAAACGTACTTCGGACTAAAACAAAACCCTTTCAGCAAAAGCGAAAGAGGAAGGCGAGCGCTCGGCTGACTCACTCATGACGAAAACGGCAACGAAGGCCATTGCTGTCCCACACAGCAGGTATGTCAAATGACAAGTGACCAAGCTCATGTCTCTTTGGTTTGAGTAGAACATTCACTGTGGTTGGTCTGGAAGGTTTGGATTGAGAACGATACGTTGTGACGCTGGAGAGAAAGGATGTTCAGTATCATGGGCAAGCAGCGCAGTGGCGTCCTGAGCTCATATATAATATGATGCCATCACAGGGCGTCCGTGGTCCTCCTGACCTCTTTCCCCTAACCACCCCTCATTGTTCTCCCACGCTTCACAGCTTTGCCAACTCAACAATAAGAAGACAATAGAAAACGCAAGAACCAAGCAAGAACCCCTGGCGCAGGCTTTCGTCCCTGCGCACACACGGCGGCCGCGGAGGTTCCTGGTTTCAGCGATTTCCTATTGTAGCCGTCAGTCACTCGTCTTCGACCGGTGTGGGCAGTTGGATATAAGGGAGACCATCATGTTGACCGTCCACATACATCCGGCTGATCGCAACACGCAAGTCGCTGCACCACCTCCCGGCAGCCTTGGCCCCGACGAGCAGTGGAGCATCAATCGCAACGACAAGCTCTCGCAATGGGGATTCTCGATCTATGGCATTCGCGACGCCTACTCTGGGTACATCTTGGATGCTACTCTGCTTCCCAGCAGCAATATGAGTAAAAATGCGCAATACTTTTACGTCTGTGCTGTCTATGATCGACAAGGTGAATACTGTGGCCATTTACTGGCGTGAAATCGCTCAGCTGATGTAAAATATGTTTCTTCAGGCTTTCCTTTACAGCTCGCAAGCAATCGGGAGAATGAAATGGACTTGACGAGAGATACCCAGAAATTGTTCAGGTAAGTGTCTACTCTTCGTGATCACCTCCAGGTTCTAAGGCTCAGTCACGTCTGCAGGCAGATGCGCCCTCTCAACAAAACACAATTCAAGAAACATTCCCCCAACGTCGAGCATCGCTCTCAGAAGCACGTCGGTATTGAGATCCAGTGGAGTACAATCTGGCGCAACGTCCTGGGCACGTTTGAGAAGTACGTTGCACCGGAAGAGCAGGAGGATTTCTCCTTTGATGACCCAGTCCATCGGTCAGTCCAGCTACCCTACCCACACAGTAGCACATCTCACTCGCTACCTCCCAGTGTCTTGTTCCATTGGGTCACCGTCCCTGTTATCAAGTCGATGCTGGAGGAGGAGGTAAAATTCCATCGCACCTATCCCGTTCGACGCCAACGCAAAAAGGCCCTCAATCCATCCGGAGGATCACGAGAAGATGCCTATCATGATGGCTTCCCGGGCGCCTCTGATTGCTTGACCAATTTGTGGATCATGGGCAAAGAAGGGTCCCAGATGTTTGAGGATCTGCTTGTCGAAACACAGGACGAGGCAACGCTCACTTGGTGGGATGATGATCAGGAGAAGATACTGGAAACCGCGCATGCCCGAGTATTCGCCAAACTGGGGATGTGTCCACTTTTAGAAGAGATAGGGGTTGCCGGTGTGTGGACGCTGTTCGGGCCGATGTTGGAGCTGGTCCAGGCGCCTCTTGAGGCGTACTTTGAGAGCAAGTAGAAAAGAGCAATCTAGAGTCGGGTGTGTATATCCCAGATGCAGTTGTCCATAGAGTGTATCGGGGGCACGCAAGTCCAATGATGAGTTATTTCTGACGCAGAGTCAATCTCACTTGACATGTACGACAGCTAGTACGCGTACACCTACCGAGTATACTGCAGTCCTCGCTCCACTACATACTGCCACTGGCGTATTGGAACCTGATCATCGCGAACGTTGATCAGTCGCAGCCTAGCGCCGGGGCCGCTCTATTTATATGTTCCACGTTCGCTGGACATTGACAATACATCTCAGGGATGATAAGGGATAACGATAAGTCCCCCGGCCCTGACGCCAACTGCCTGTTCGGGCTTCCGTTTTGATCTTTTCCTGGAGAGCGTGCCTGGCTCCCGCATGGGCGGCAATCTGGGCGTCAGCCAACCACAGCCGCTCAAATCCGGGCCATGTGCGGGAATGAACCTGTCGCACGAGGGCCCTCCGGCTGAATGCAGAAAAAAGTCGGCGTCGTCTTGTTCTCTATATTACCATCTTATCGATAGCTCTCAGCTTATTATTCCCCGCCACAGCCAACAAGGGTGAGTCGCCGCCCACGGACGCGTCGCGAACAGATTCCTGATAAGAAACGCGGCCTTCAGACAACCATGCGCTTTCCGTGGAGCAAGAAGGATGTGGATCTCGAGCCCACCACGGGCGAGCATCCCAAAGACAGCAACATTATTGAGAAGAAACTGGGTCTGAGTAAGAAGGGAGCGTGAGTTTTGCATTCCGCTGAGGTGATACCAACGCTGATCAGCAGATGATAGCATCTTTGCCGCGGTAAGCTTTGGGCGCGCATGTGGTTCATTCCGATGGTGGCTAATGTCTCAAGGGTGCATCTCTATTCTCTGATGGTTATGCGAATGCCTCCATCGGTCCTGCCACCACCATTCTCAAAGGCTACATATACGTCGATGCTTTCACCGACCGACCTGTCAACTCTCGACTACTCCCTGCTATCGCATTTGCTGGGATCATCGTCGGGCAACTATCTTTCGGCTGGATCAGCGACAAGATCGGTAGGAAGGTGAGTACCTCACTCTGTCCAGGGCACGAGCTGAACTGATCGTCGCGGAATAGTTTGGTATGCTCCTCTGTACGGGTATCGTCTTTGTGTTCTCGGCCTTGCAAGCAGCCTCAAAAGGTCCAGGCGCTCAAGGCACCATCAACGCTCTCATTGCCTATCGATTCTTGTGAGCAGTAGCACCACTGCAATGAGTTGCAGTGCTTATGATGGTACAGGGTCGGAATTGGAATCGGTGGCGAGTACCCGACTGGGTCTGTGGCGGCAGCAGAAAACACAGAAGACCCCGACATCCCCAAGAAGACGCAACAGCGTCTCTTTGTCCTTTGTACGCACCTCTCCGCCAATGCCGTTGCCACTGCTGACTTACATTAGCGACGAATAGTATGATCGACGCCGCCTTTGCCATATCCTACTTTGTCTGCCTTGTCTGCCTCTGGATCTTTGGCATGAACCATCTCAATGCCGTCTGGCGATTGACTTTGGGCCTAGGCTGTGTCCCGCCCTTGTTCTTGTTCTACTTCCGATTGAAGATGAAGGAGCCGGAGAGTTATGCGAAGAACTCTATGAGGCATACTAGCATCCCGTGAGTATCAGCTTCGCCTGCACTGTTCAACTCTGGCATGTGAACTAGAAGAACGATAGTTACTGACGCAAGGTGACAGCTACTGGTTGATCATCAAGAGGTATTGGATTCAGCTGGCGGCTGTGTCCATCACGTGGTTCTTGTACGACTGGATCACGTATCGTGAGTCCCCATTGCCCAGCGCGCGACTTCAATACTCACCGGCCCTAGCCTTTGGTCTCTACGCGACTCCCATCACCGCTGCCGCCGACAAAGAGGGCACTTTGTACACTTCTATCGGTTGGGGATGCCTTATCAATGCTTTCTACTTGGTCAGTCATACCTCACTTCTCGCTGCCCCAACGTATGGCATGCTGATACCTTTACTCAGCCCGGAACGCTGTTTGGTGCATTCATTGTCGACTATCTTGGGCCAAAGTATTGTATGATTTTCGGACTCTGTGTCCAGTCGATCTTGGGCTTTATCCTTTCCGGAACTTACAACCTGTGAGCTCTCAGTGCTTCATACAAACAGTGAAGCACCAAGCTAACGGAAGACAGGCTCACTCAACCTTCGAGGATTGCGGGCTTTGCCATCTTGTACGGTCTTTTCCTTGCTTTCGGTGAAGTCGGTCCTGGCAGTAAGTTGTTCACTTCAACTCCATCCAAAGCGCGGGCACTGATAAAACTTCAAGACAACCTCGGTCTCTTGGCCAGTAAAGCCATCGGCCCCACAGCCACCCGTGGCCAGCTTTACGGCCTGGCCGCCGCCATCGGCAAAGTCGGCGCTTTCATCGGTACCTATACCTTCCCCCAGATCCAAGCTTCCTTCGCCAAACACGGCCAGTACCTTGAAGACACTGGTGTCTTCTACCTCGGCTCCATCCTGGCCCTTGTCTCGGCCCTCATTACATTGGTCTTTATCCCGAACATCAAGCCGGATGCGATGAAGGACGAGGATGAGGAGTTCAGGGCTTACCTGGAGAGGAATGGATATGACACTAGCAAGATGGGCCTCCGCGCTCCTGGTATCGATGTTGAGTCGACCAACACCACCACCGGTGCTCTCGAGAAGGACAAGCTTGAAGAGGGTGTCACCACCCAGACTGATGTGGTTCCCAAAGCCTAGTTGGGCTCCATGCGACGACCAGTAATCATAATTGTCGACACATGTCGATATCTTCCTATGGTGTGGGAAAGGAAGCGCTTCAACGGCGTTTCTGGGGTTCTCTCCTGTTTTGGTGCTTTTTTGGGTTGTACTTCAACGTTGCAATGTATTAATGAGTGTGATATGAATGTCATAGCACTCGCGAATATAATTCATTACACAGTCATGCTGCATGCCCTTATACTGTCCGCGTTGCACTGTACATTTCCTCGTCTCGCCTCTCCAACACTTGACAGGTCGCAGATACCAAACGCCCAGAGTATGCAATAGAAGGGTATAAAAGTACAGTGATGGGTATCATTCAAAGGGGTACTAGTAGAATGCCACAGTGTGCAAGAGGGTATGCGGGTGTTTATCGGCCTGGACGTTGAGAATATGGTCAATATCGGCGTCCACGTCTTTTGATGCTTCAATCTGCGTCTGCCTTCAGCACCCAATCACCTCAAGGTGAAAGCCCAATACGTACAGCTCTAGCGAGATCGAGTATAGATTTTCCGGCGATGAGAGCTTCTTCGGGGTTGTCTTTGATTTCGACGTTTATTATGTGAATTGGGCGGTTGTATTCACCACCTCTTTGTAAAAGATCTATGTCAGGTCAGCCTCCTGTCTTTGTTTCTGAGAGTGGCCAAACACCTTCACAGACGGCATCGAAGCACCGCTCCTCACACGTTATCACCACATCCGCCCCCACCCTCCTAAGCTCCTGCCATTTCTCTGGTGCCCTCTTCACCTTTCTATTCCGGTCCAGCATGGGCAAAATGCCATTGCGAGTGTAGAGAGCAGGATCTTGGGACATGAGGTCATTGTAGATCGTGTCGTAAGGAGTACCAAAGCGGTAAACGTTGGGACGGTCGATGGAGGGGCCGGGGAGACGGACGGCGGAACCAGTGCCCGCCGATATCACTCGGAACGAGTTTTGACTGTCATCATGATTAGCAGGTGCTATTTTCCGACGCTTGAAGACCTACCTAAGTACGTGGTGTGCTTCCATCGAACGATTCTGTAGAATGTCAGCATAAAGCGAGAAGATAAGTGGGATCTCACATTATTACTAGCGCAGACAACACAAAACAATGGCCGTCTCATGCCCCCAGGCGTACTTTCCTCCATAGCCTCCTCCTTTACCCCATTCGACAGCGGTGTCCCCGTCCCAGCCCTTTGAGGAGCCAGAGCGCCAGCCGCCGTGGGAGGCGTCCCATAGCCTACATGGGGCGGCGTCTGACCAGGAGGCGGAGTGGGGGTGTTGTAGCTGGCCTGAGCACCAGAGTACCGTGACCGGGGATCATGAGGTCGAAATCCTCCTTCTGCCGTATCTCTGGGAGGGAAATTGGGCATGTTTGGGGGATAGTTGCCATCGCGAGCATTGCCAGGATAGCCTCCACCTCCTGCTCCTCCGTAAGCCGGTTGGGTCTGTGGCGGAGGACCTCTGTAGCTCTGTGGGGGTGTGTCGTAGCCCCCATTTTGGGGTGGATATGACCTGGACTCATTGTAGGAGGACCCGTAGCGATCTTGGGATGGAGGAGGTCCGCGGTTGTTGTATCCAGAGGGATTGGGCGGGTAAGATTGCTGTGGAGGCTGATTATTTCTTCTCCGAGGATCCATCGTGGCGGATAGACGGGGCGGGCGATGGAAGGCTCGGCCTGAGGGGGGTCGTAAAGACTGAAGCAGATTTAGTCCTGGTAGATGGGATCCAAATGAAAGACAAGATAGAAAACCTCGCGGCGTTATACTTTCACCTAATGCATTAGAAAATAGTTTGTATTGACCCGCTGTTTGTTTTGCGCTCATATCCTTTTGCAACATCCGTCTTCCACATATATTTTGCCCTGTCGACTCTGGGCAGCATGGCGTCCTATATTCCCCACCATCTTGTACACGCCCACCTCCCAGCTCCTCCATCCCTCCCGGTATCGACTCCCGAGCTTCGGATCCCAACAGACGAGACCCTCTCCGACGAGCTCTACACCGAGCCTCTGCATCCAGAGCACGCAGTCTCGGTCGCGTACGACGTCGAGAACAACATCCTTGGCAGAACGATCTATAATGGCTATGTCCTCGACCTTCGCCCTATGGGCTCGACTATCAGCAAGACGCGCTTGCCAAATTCTGAGGGATCAGAGTCCATCAGAGTCTTCTTTCCCGAGCCTCTGAGGACGCTGTCTTCAGGACTAGTCAGAATATCGCCGCAAGAGAAACGCCTTTATATCTTGGTGGTATCTCAGGCAAACATCGTCTACCGCTTGAATTTTCCTCTGGGCGACTTTGAACCCAGCTCCGGCGAACGTTTTTCATTCACCCTTCAGAACGGCGAACAATGGTCAGAAGAATGGGAAGTGCCAGAAGACGTGATTGGGTCATGTGGAGGAGTAGGTGCGACAACTGTGGTCGACGAGAGAACAGTGGTTCTGGGTGGTGGGGACGGAGGTATCGTGATTTTGACAAGATCCGGTCCCTATGCTCCAGGTATGTTTGCTCTTGTTCTTCGCAGCTTGTACTGACTATAGTAGCATTCGGCGAATGGCAAGCTACCCATCACCGTGGATCTTCCATGTTCCGCCTTCCCTCACTCTTCTCTCGCTCCGCCAACTCCTCAGAGCAAATTACCTCTTTCGCCGAGTATGAAACCAGAGACAATCTCCGGATCCTTTACACCCTATCTCGAGACAAGAGATTGCGTGCATGGAATGTCGACACTGGATCGTTTCTAAAGATGGTTGACATCCGGAGTAGCTCTCAATCTCTTGTTGTCAAAGGTGCCGAGGTCCCTACCTCAATCGATGACAACACCGTCAACCAAATTCGTGTAGTCCCTCACCCGTTCACTACTTCTCGATACTCTCATCTCATCGTGGTGTTCTTCTCTACACCCCACAGTCAAGCAGCGGCTGGATCATTCGTCGTGTATCGTGTGTCCACTTCTGGCTCTGGGGTCAACGAATTATCTGTCGCTGGGGAGAGACCCTGCTCATCCCTTTCGGCAGGTTCAGAACTTCGCGGTTTGGAGGTGGTTGCCCCTTCCAAGGCACAGGGAGTCAACTCTGGCTGGCGACTGTGGGTGTCTTGGGACAGAGAAGGCTCTACGTTCTGCGAGACCATCCCAGTGGACGACATCTTCCAATTCACGACTTATCACGCCTCTCACGATTCTTCTCTGCTCAGCGACTGGCAGCCCGTCTTTCCTCCGTCAGACGCAAGAGATTTCGATGCTGCGTACTTTGACAATCTTCTGTCTCTCCAACCTCCAAATCCTGCCGAACCAGAAGATAACGGCGACATTCCAGCCACCTTCATTGAACACCTCTTTCACCCTGGGCGATTCTCCCCTTCCACACTCCAAACAGCTCTGGACGACTACATCCACCTGCTCTCTCAGAAGCATCCACGCGTACACTTTGCGCTCCCTCAAGCTCACACGTCTCTGTCCAAGAGGTTTGGTGCCATTGTCGGGGCGCAAGTGCATCCGCAAGTAAGCCAGGAGACGGGCGCTGTGGTAGTCGACGTGTATCGACAGGAATTGAAGCTTGAATGGTTGAGCGTTTGGGCAAACGTGAGAGAGTTGGACAGGCAAGGCAGATGGCCAGTCACTACTGCTGTAGTTGAACGAGAGGTCTACATCTTGACGAGGGAAGGCATATCTGTGCCCGTTCTAGAAGACGATGCCGGTGTTGTAAACAGACTTGCGAAGGAGGAAATCGATGCCGACGCCTTCCTCGCTCTGCCTACGGGTGCCCTCTCTCTCTACTCTGCTCTCGCCGCCCCCGGTGCCAGACTCGCAGCTACGAGCATCGCTCTTGCAGGATCCCATCTCTCCTTCGTTCTCTCACATACGGACGTACAGCCAGACGAGGATGGTGTGCTCGCCCCAGGTACTCTACTGGACGTATTTCAGCGGACTGTAGGAGATACACTGGGAGCAGGACAAGGGGAGGCGGTGGAAGACATCGGTGCTGGATTGTGGGATGCTTTCCTGGAGGGGTCCCTGTCGGAAGAAGATAGGCTGAGGGCAAGGGAGGTCTTGTCAAAAGGAGACTCCGTCTTGAGGGGGTTGAAGCAGTCGCTCGATATGCTCGAAGATACTTCATTCCCCAGTAGCCAATCTGTCCCCGGAGCAGCCTTCTCCGGGCTCGGCAATGCCTTGCTCACATCCACCCTTTCTGACCTGATCGCCTCCCGTCATGCTTTCGCCCTGCACATCCTCCTAGCCTCCCTCTTTCTCCTATGCGATTCTCCTCCTTCGGAAGAGGATCTCGAGGAACTGGTACCCATCCTTGCTCGGTCAATGACAAGCTACCACAGGTATAGGGTTCTGAAATGGGTGGCGACTCAGACTGGGGAGGAAGCCGGCGAGAGGTCTAGTGTCGGAAAAGCGCAGAAAGCACAGAATGGCAAGAAAAACTCTGGTGACGACGGGGTGTCTCATTCGGGAGAGGGAGATGATGGCGATGGTTTCGGAGTGAAGTACTCCCTGCTCCATTCGATTTTTGCGCATCAGATCCCTCAAGAGGCTTCATCCTCGAATCATGCTATCGACACCTATCTCCCAGCTGCCCTTGCTGCTTTGACCCAGATTGGCCTTCTTTCCGAGGACCAGACTGATCTTGGCGCTCAGGCTTCTGATGTGGTTCTTGGCAACCTCATATATGCCGATGACCATCCTCTTCTTGCTGGAGCTTTCACTGATTTGTACCCGCTTTCCTCTGGTATCGCGTATATCAAGGGTCGTGCGTACTTGGAGGCAGACGTTGTCGATGGTGCCGTCACTTTCCTCGAAAGAGCTGCCGCCGGATGTCGAGACAACTCTCTCGTACCTATCTTGCCGTCCACTTCCGGGCCGAATGGTCTAAGCGCATACTACACCCACATATGTGAGACCTTTAGATCTCACGGGGCACAAGAAGCGGTAGTCAGGTTTGGCAAGCTGGCCATTGAAAGTGCTAAATATGCTACCGGCAATGAGGAGGAAAGAGCGGTCATGAAAGATCTGTGGACGAAGGTGTTTATGGCGAATCTGGAGCTAAGCTTGTACGAGGAGGCCTACGCGGTTCTGGCTAGCTTGCCCTTCATTGAATTGTAGGTTGCCGTATCCCACCGCGATCCTGAGCTAACCAACTGTAGGAAACGGGATTTCTTGGGTCACCTTATTTCTGAGATGTGCGAGAGAAACGAAGTCGGACGCCTCAATGCCCTCGGCTTTATTGGGCTCCAGAGGGATGTCGAAGAGCTGCTACGATTCAAGGCAAGGAACTCGGATCCTTTGCGGACGCCCAATTACTATAAAGTACTCTATTCCTGGCATATCACACGAGGGGATTACAAGAGCTGTGAGTGATTCATGATGTTCATCGTAGCTGGTGCTGATTAAGTCCGTTCAGCTGGTGAAATCATGTACCTTCAGGGTCGTCGGTTCGCCGAAGGAACTTCCTCCTCCCGGTTGCCCGCCTTCGAACTCACCGCAATGCAAGCTCGAAGCTATCTCGCAGCTATCAATGCCCTTTCATTGATAGAAAAGAAGAACGCTTGGGTCTCTGTACCAGGTGTGCCAAACAAGTCTTTGAAGGGCATCAAAAGGCGGCGGATGACTACGTACATCCCGGAAGAGGAGTTTACGGCCGGGAAGAAACCGGTGGATATCATCACATTGGAGGACATACAGGCAGAGTACGCTCTAGTGTTGTCAAGGTTGAGGCTCTCGAGTAAGACACCTGATCTGTACGACCATGGTAAGTGGACTGGTAGATCACATGTCCTATGCTGATGAGTCTCAGGAGTTGTGATCTCCCCGCAAGAAACGGTCGGCCTCTTTGTCCAGCGAGGCATGTACGATGTGGCTCTGTCATCTGCTGCTTCACTGCACGTAGATATGACGGATCTTTTCCAGAGCTTGGCTACCAAGTGTGTCGAGCTGTCAAGATTACAGGAACACAACGTGTAAGTAGCAAACATCCGCTGTATTCATCACCTCTGACATGGCCACAGGGACATCAACATTGCCACGTTCCTGCAAACATCGTCTATAACATCTCGTCTCCAGGGGCCTCCTGCCGCACTTGCCCTTCACTACCTTCGTGTCTCACTCTCCCAGCACGATTCCTCAAAAACAAACTTCAGGTATCGCCAGGCAGTCGCCGAGACACTATTCTCGATCAACCACGACAAGAAGCAAGGGTGGAGAATGCCGTCGTGGTTGGTGCAGTGGGAGATGGAGAGGGATGCCGAGGGGTGGATCGGAAAGGCTGTCAGATGGGGATGGGTTGCAGAGGCTGTGGAGTGGAGTTTGGATCTGGTCAGACAGGTGAGTCATTGGTCTGGCGGTGGAATGTACCGAAGCTGATTCTTTGGCAGGCTACTCCTCCCGAGCTGTTACCCAAAAACAAAAGCAATGTTGTGTCCCTGCCATACAATCTATTTGACAGTGTACTTGCTGCTACGGAAGGTGGAGATGAAAAGGACGAGGAGGCGGTACAACGAAACGCCAAGATGCTACGAGACGAGGTGAAAAGGCGCTTGGAGGCGCTGGAGTTTTTTTAGTTAGATCACAGGAATAATGGACATGAGAATTGCATTGATTGCGGACACACTTCATAGCACAGCACGACCATCGGTGATCAATGGACAGATATGATTGTGCCGCTTGTGGCTCGTGAAGATTGAGAGTTAGAGCTGCTATGGAACGTCTCGCACCACGAAGGCAAGCTACTACCGTCAAAGCTCAGAGCCGCGCTGGTTGGTGTATGGCGAGAGGTGCCTTTGGCGCTGCTCCAAGATGAACGACTGTTGCTGATCGACTGCATGTGATCGTGCTGTTCAAAAATATTTATCAGCACACAGTGCAGGATGACACGGCTCTTACCTCTTCTTCTTCACTATGCGCGGGCGGGTCGCTCTCTTCGTCACTCAACGCCAACGAGCACGCATCGTCGAGGAGGTCGCTTATCCTGGCTTTCAAGCTTTCATCGTCAATACTTGCCCCTTTGAAGCAGCTCATGGCATCCCTGGCCTTGCTCAAGGCCTCCTTCACTTCATCTCGTACCCCATCACTCTGGGATGATCCGCTCATGCTTGCCCAGGAGTTCAAAGCCCTGGGGACTGAGCCACCGACAACTTTACCTAGGCCACTCTGTTTCCACTCTTCTGTCAGCTGGCTGGCCGCCCAGCTTTTCTCATGCTTTGAAGCCGTGGAGAGAGCATCCGAGTACTGGGAGAAGGGGGTGAAGAAAGTGATACCTATGTCTAGTCCGGTGGCAGCGGCGACTTCTGGAACAATGTCTGCTGCGCGGGAGAGGAGGGAGGAGGCGGTGGATGTCGGTTTGACCTCTGGTTCCGTCGTAGCGGTGGCGGTCTTGGTCTTTGTCAAAGTGATGGTGCAGCTCATGGTGTAGTTGGAGTTGTAGGAGGGCGGGTGATGATTTAGGAGGGACGTGGTGTGAACTAGAGGGAAGGAAATTAGGATATATTATTGTGGCAAACACCAACAACTTTGTCAAGCCGACTCGAACATAACATGCTCAGAGCCACACCAAGTGACAGGGATCCTTTGACGCGGCACAGCAGTGACCATGCGCATTTCCCTTTGACATCCCTTGCGGTCTTTACAGCCTCAATATCGTATGTGACTGTGATGACTTCAGGACTTCATCACTTCAATAATTCTAGGATCAACCAGTCATGAGAGGGCGAAGAAACGACATCAATGCAAGCTCGCTAGTAGGGGAAAGTAGAGTACGGAATGTGACTCGGGGGTCGTGACGTCTGCGTCAGTCCTATGGGCCTCAGCGCCGTAATCGAGATGGCTTCTGGGGCCTACATGACGGTGGACGAATAGATAATGAATGACGAGGAAGCGTTACTCGGCATCGGACCCTCTGTGTCCGGGCAGAGAGGTATTGCGCCCTCCCCACCACTGATCTACGCCCGCAAACGCATGAAGGCCCCCGATCTGCCATGGATATTGATGCGAGCAGTGCGCGAAAGGAGGGGGCTGGGAGAAGAGAATGGGGTCATGGGCGTTGTGCGCTGTGGGAAGTGGGATGGGAGACATGCCGGCTCTTGATCTCTACTCTCTACATATGAGGCATGGGATGTAGGCGGGTCACACGAAGAAGCGACTCATTTGTACGGTGCCGAGTTGCTGGAATCAGAGGGCGTAAGTCTGTCCGCTGGATGCGCTGTCCGCGTGATACTGCTAGTGCTAGCCCCTGTGTACATGCAGCCCATGCAGCCCATGCAGCCCATGCACTAGCTCCAGCCCGTCAGACCGCCCTCGCTCGATCATAGCCTTCTCTCCGGCCCACAGGCCATCATAGCGGAAGCGTGCCCAGGCGCACAGACCCCCAGCGGCCGCCCCCACCGCCCGGTTGACTCACCCATCCCCGGAATGCATATATAAGGCAGATCAAACCCCCCTCTTCTTCTTCACCCACTCATAATCCACATTCCTTACACGTATATCCACATTCCTTTAAACCACCCTACAACTCAACCCCACCCCAACACTCACCATGCGCTTCAGCTCCATTCTCGTCGCCGCCCTCCCCATCCTTGGCTCCGTCTTCGCTGCCCCCGTCAACACCGAAGCCAAGACGGATCTCTCCCTCGCCCCTGCTTCTTCCGCGCTTGTCGAGCGTGATGGGCTCTTGCTCGGTGCTCTTGCCGACCTCAAGGCAGATGTTGTGAGTACTTTCCATCCTCCCGCGCAATGTTGGCTGACTCTAGCGCCAGACCGCCGTGGGCTCTCTCTCCGGTGTGACCGTTGAAGCCGATATCAACGCCGGTGTCCAAGCTGTGCTGGACGCCTTCAACAAGTGTGGCTCAGCCCTTGGTATCGATTTGTCTCTGGGCGTGGACGCAACTGTCGGTTTGGACCTTGGTCTTCTCAAGCGCGAGTTCAACGAGTGAGTCTTCATTCGTACTCTTTCGCTCAAGCTAACACCACGCTAGGCGATCTGTCGACAAGCAATCTGTGGCTCAGGCCCTCATAGACGTTATTGTCCTCGTCAACGTGAACATCCTGGTCCCCGCTAAGCCGGTCCTCTCTTCCTGTACCTGCTCCCAAACCCACTCTCTCTTCACCGAGCTCGACTTGCTCCTGACCGGCCTTCTCTGCGCTTTGGACGCTCTCCTCGGCGACCTCCTTACCATCGTCAAGGGCCTCTTGACCTCTGTGCTGGGTTTGGTCGCCGTCCTCCTCGGGGGCTTGCTCGACGGCTCCCTTTCCGCTCTCGGCTTCTAAGACGACCTTACCTTGTCTGGCGGGGACTTGCCCTTCATGCTTCCATCATCTTTTACCACAGCTGGCAATGTCGACCACTATTCGGGTAGCGTCTGTCTATAAGTCATTGGCTGGATTAAAATCTCTAATATCGAAGTCGTGCTTTCGCATGGTCCCCTACTACTCCTATGAACCCTGATATATCCTTGGATTTCGATTGGCCTCTTGCTGCAGTACTGGGCGTCGCACAAACAAGACGCTGTACACTACTCGTGGGCGGAAGAGACGGGACAGCCTCTGCCTCTCGGCCTATCACTGCACTCATGGTGAATTCTGTCCTCTGAGCCCGTCCTCCCTGCTGGCCCAGTGTACGCGTTCTAGGAACTTTTCCACTCATCCATTCACATATGCGCCTCTAGCTAATTGACATAGAATTGTCGACTATGGCTCCAACAAGCAACACATACCCGAGGACTCGAAGTCGTGGTTTTGAATCATTATTGCATGGTCCCCTACTGACTACTCTGCTTGACCCGTGATATCCTATAGATCTGACTGGACGCTCGCTTCAGAACCAGGTCCCAGTGATCGCACAAACAAGACGTCGTACACCCCTGGGAAGAAACGGGACAACAAATCATTCGCGCTGGCGGGAAGAGGAGAGTCACCCAACGCGTCGCGTCACGGCAAAAGTCACGCGCGTCTCAGCCACATATTGCACATTCCACGGTCCGCTGTAAACAGCAAACAGGCTAGCAAGCGATTCCAGCAAATATATTCCGGATTTTATAGACCTTGGCGTCTTCGGGAAGGCATTAGTGAACCATTGAGGAGACCAAGAGGAGACGGCGGGCTGGCACGGAAGACGCCCACCATTCATATTTGATCCCGTCGTCAGGGCTCACGGGAAAGCTAATGTCTATAGCCCTCGGATTTACTTGTTCCATTCATTAAGGACTCCTCCTAATGCCCCATGGCGCCCATATATCCAGAACATCCGTCAACATCTCGGTTCACATGGCGGAAACGGGAGCATGGCATACGAGTCTCGCCCCTGGCCCAGCCGGATGTTTGCCCAACCTCCACCCTCCTGGAAACATATATAATGCTCCTCTCAGAGCGCAGTTTCCTCTTCTTCATCTCACCAGAGTAACAGACACCAGGCCTACACCAACTCATATTCACTCTTTTACCACCTCGCCTACTACTCCCACCCAACCACAAACACTTCACCAACCACCATGCGATTCTCTTCCATCTTTGTCGCCGCGCTCCCCATCCTCGGCTCGGTCTTTGCTGCCCCCCTCAACACTGAGGCCAAGAAGGACCTTGCTGCTGCTCCTGCCGAGCTTGTCCAGCGTGACAGCTCTTTGCTCGACATTCTTGCCGAGCTCAAGGCTGACATCGTGAGTACATGTATCATCGCTTGTTTCTTCAACTGACCCCCACTTCAGGAAGCCGCTGGTTCTCTCTCCGGTGTGACCGCCGAGGTCAACATCACCGCGACTGTCCAGGTCGCCGTCGACGCTCTCAACAAGGCTGGATCCGCCCTCGGAGCCGACCTTTCCTTGGGTGTGGACGCTGAAGTCAGTGTCTCCCTTGCCGGTCTCAAGCGAGAAATTGAGCAGTAAGTCGATTCTTTCCTCTGTCATCAGCTTAGCTAACTATTGTCCAGGCGAGCTGTCGACAAGACTGCCGTTGCCCAGGTTTTGGTCGACATCATCGCTACTATCAACGTAAACATCCTTACCCCTGCTAAGCCGTAAGTCCTAATTCGTGCTATCTCCGCCATCGCTCCTCGCTGATCTGTTACAGCTACCTCTCTTCTTGCACTTGCCAGGAGTCCACCTCCCTCATCAAGGAGCTCGACACCCTCTTGACCGGTCTTCTCTCTTGCGTCGACTCTCTCCTTGGCGGCATCTTGATCCTCGTCAAGGGCTTGCTTATCAAGACTCTTGGTTTGGTCTCCACTTTGCTCGGTGACCTCGCCGGTCTCTTGGGTGACGTCCTTTCCGTCCTTGGCCTTTAAGGGGTGTCTTCCTTCTTTGAGTAGACTCTTTCTTATATAGCTTAATTAGCGCCTCTTCTCATACTGGCAAGGTTGATTTGAATCCGGTTGGTGTTTGTTAATCATTGGTCGAGTGAGATCTTGTCTGGCCCATACTCCTGATGAATCCTTATGATACCCTCTTATCAAGCGTTGCGTTCAATCCTGCCCCCTCCTCCTACACTACGAGTACGAGTAGAGTACTGTACTCTACGAGTAAGCTCAACTTTGGATCCGTTGCCAGCCAAAAGCGATGACGTCGGTACTTCCATTGGCCTGCGTGCCGAGCGTATGCTCATCTTGCAGTTCTTGACAACCTCCATGCCTTCAGTATTGACCGCTTCAAAGTTTATCGGCTACTTGATTCTGGCTCTCCTACTCGCCTCGCTCTACCTATACTCTACCCCCTTGAAGACGACACCGACAATGGCTGCTCCTCTCAAACACCTCAAGATCGCTCCTAAAGAGGCGCACAAGGCTACTGTCATCTTCCTGCATGTAAGTACACATGTACCGTACATCCCAGTGCTGACCTGTACCAGGGCCTTGGGGATAGTGGTATGCTCGTGCTCCTCTCCTAGTTTCTCAGCTAACACGTTCTCAGGGCAAGGCTGGCTTCCCGTTGCCAAAATGCTCTGGTCCTCATTCCCTCATGTCAAATGGATCCTTCCCCATGCCCCTCCTATCCCCATCACTCTCAACCAGGGCATGTCCATGCCTGGCTGGTTTGACCTCTCGAACCTGTCGCGTCTCGACGATCCCGCTTACGATGACGAGACGGGAATGAACAAGACGCTAGCGAGTGTGGATGCGCTCATACAGCAAGAGGTGGATGCTGGAATCCCAGAGGACAAGATCGTCCTTGGTGGCTTCAGCCAAGGAGGTGTCATTGCGATGCTCGGGGGGTTGACGACAAAGAGAAAGCTTGGAGGGATTGTGGGTTTGAGCTGCTGGTTGCCTTTGAGTGACAGGATTGAGCAGGCGAGTAAATCCATCATTATCTGCACTGCGTACTGACCAGCTTTCAGCTCAAATCTGCGCATGCTCACGAGACGAGTGTGTTCTGGGGACACGGGACAAATGACCCCGTCGTCGACTATTCTTGTAAGGTGCCCCCTCAACTAAATTTCTCTTGCTGACATGCGCATCAGACGGCCAGCGATCTGTCGGCCTGCTCACCCAGAAGCTCGGCTACAACCTTGTACCCAAGGGCCAAACCTTTGCCCGTCCTGGTGTTCGCTTCGAGTCTTACCCCGGCATGGCCCATTCTTCGTCGCCCAAGGAGATCGAAGACCTTAGAGAGTGGTTGGCCGAGGCTCTCAAGGAATAGACACCGTAGGATGCAACATGTCTCGTCAATGCATAAAGGGGTCGTAAGATACAAATATGGCCCTCAGGAAACCAATGGTCCGTCTATCAATAGAAATGTCTTAAGTCTACAGAACCAACATACAAGCCAACAAAGCGGCGCCCAAAACACCCATCCCCTCTCCCAATCTTGCAAGGCCACCAGAAGTAAAAGCCTTGGAATAGCTATTGCCATAGCCGTATTGTGCCATGATCTGCGCACTGATCTGTGATCGAGGCAACACGGATCGATCTTTGACGGTAGGATCGCCAACGATACCGTCGCCGACCATGACCCAAGAAGCATTGGAGGGCACACCATCGACGACGATGAAGAATAGCGCATTTCCGGGGGCTGTAGGGGATTAGCTTGGTATCATCAAGAGAGTGACTATCTCACCAAGGATAGCGGGGTTCGGAGGCATCTGCGCTACATGCAAGATACCGCCTCCATCATCAGTCGAAGTGAAACTGGTCTCTAGCTCCACGTGGCGCATGCCCATGTTCATTGTGTGGGTGGAAAAGCCAGTGCGCATCACGACGGCGCGGGTGTTGTTGATGTTGATGGGGCTGTTGAAGAGGTCGGTTGCGGAAAGGGTCACGTTGAAATAGTCGCCGCCATCTGATAGTTGTCAGCTTACGCATTTGTAATAGAGGTGATGCTTACAGGTGAGTTGGCTAGGCATACCTGAAGGATCAGGCTTGTTGCGGTCGGCGCTACCAAAGGTCAACATCGTCCACATCATCAATCGAAGACGCACTAGTCGGGATAGAAGATCTCCACTTGGTACTGAGTAAAGTAGGTATAGGATGCATTGTACTCGGCGCTGACGTCTATTGATTGTCAGCTTTGAACTCTTCTGCGCTCAAAACTTACAATCGGCGTTGGGGTTACTTCCACTGATGATGACAGTTCCGTCGGGCAAGAGAGATGCTGTAGAATGGTACATTCGAGGGATGCTCGACACTCCAGCTTTGGACCATCGCGACCCAGAAGGTTGCTTGGGGTCAAAGTACCAGGACTGGTACAGAGGGTTGTCGGCATAGGATTCACCGACGCACCAGTCCTGAGTACCATAGCCTGCAGTACCAGTCTCGGCACCATTGACGTAAAAGAGACGACCATCAGGCAAGTTGATAAACTGCACGCTAGTCAGCGAGTATACAATAGCAACTTTGGAATCGTATTACGTTGCCCATAGACCTTCCGGTGTCAAGAGGATCGTTCTGATACCAAGTCAAGTCGACATCGGGACTGATGTGGACACAACTCTTGTTGTTGGCATACTGTGCAATGTTCCAATCCGTCGTCCACTGATCAGACTCGAGATAGGTGCCGCCGCAGAATATAATGGTAGACGTCCAGTTGTTCTCTGGCGTCATAGGGAAGACGGCCGTACCAGCAGAAGCTGGGTATACACGCACGCAATCGGGAATGTTGCTGATGGGGTATTCAATGTTGTTCTTGTAGTCAAAGATCTCGGCTTGGTATTCGGCCTGAACAAAGAGGTTGCCTGATGGCAGCAGCCAGACGAGAGGGAAGAGGTTGACAGGCATGGTATTGAGAAGAAAGTTGAGTGTGAACGGTGTGCCTTTCTTGGGAAAGTATTCGACCGTGGGATTGTTCTGATTGTCGGCATAGTTGACATATCCTCCCCATTCTGGAATGGTTTTAGCGTGGACGGGATGCTACAGATACACTCACCACATCCGCCCATGATGATGATGGTTCCATCTTCCAAGGTTTCTGGGACAGGTCAGCGTTGAAATGGATCCCTTGTCGCACTCACCCAGAGTCGGGTACCATCTCCGGCTAGTCATGTACAGCCCCGGATCATCGACCCAATCACAGCTCTCGTCATCACAGGCATCCAACATTCTCACCGCCTTGCCGCCGTCCCAGTCCTTGTACGGTGATTGACCTTGTCGTGATGGTCAGCCATGCAAAGCAAATCATCTGACTCTGCCTACCTGATTGTAGATCGTCCGCCATACTGGTTCCATTATAGGTCACAGCTTGGTTGCCGCCCACATTGAGCCACGTTCCGTTCCCCAGTTGAGAGCCGCCCGCACAGAACGAATTACTCAGGACGTCCATTGTTCTGAAATCATTGGTGGTCAGGTCATACTCTGTTGCCCATGCCGGGTGACTGTTGACTGTCGCATTGTTGTTTTCGCTATATCGTGTCAGCCCAGGCGAAATGTGTCTATCTTCACGTACGTCTTGTCCACGATGTACACCTTGTTCAGCGTGCCCAAGAAGAGCTGCTGAGCCGAGACCCCCGAGAGCCCCACGTATTGGAAAGTATTGGCGCGATCAGCTGCTCTGGCGGGGAGTGCCAGCACTGCAAGGCCGGCCAGCGTCAGCGAATTGAGCAGCATTTTGTCGTGAAGGCGAGCGAAGAGCAAAAAGCGTAAAGAACGCGACAAACAGCACCGCGTTCGGTGGGCATCGCCGCCTGGGGCCTGGCTTGCGTTGCTGATGATCCGATTCGCTGAGCATTGCACATCGTATCTGGGCGTCTAGCAATGCATCTGATGCATGGGCATCCTCTGGGCATACTGCCTCGATCTCTCAGCAGAGATCTGCTTGAATTGATACTGGGTTCGATTGTATGTATGCACACCGGCGCGGAACCAAAAAGGCGGCACCCGCCGTCTTCTGCATTATGACGTCTCTGGTGTCTGTACTCGCTCTTCCACCGATGATGCCGTAAAATCAACCACATCTGTTGCATCTGTGTCATCTCCTTCTTCTTCTACACATCATCCACCATGCCCTCCGAGAGTCTCATTAGGTGGTCCCACAGGGGCCTCTTTGCCCTCGTCGCCATCGCCTCCCTCATCTCCCTCATCATCTCCGCCGTCCTCGTCGGCTACTACAACAAGCATGGGTATCCCAGTCACCACACCCACGCCTACCGTGACAGAATCCGCATCCTCTTGGTGGCGAGTGTCTGGACCATGGCTTGGGCCTGTGAGTTTCGCTTTGGCGCTACATAAAGCCGAGACAGTAGTGCTGACTCCATAATCCAGTGATCCTCATCATTGGCTTCGCGGTCATGGGAACCAGTGCCGTCTTTGGCCTCATCACCCACCTCGTTCCTATCGCCATCGCCTTCCTGCTTTTCCTCATCGGCGTCTCTGCCTTGACCGGCTTGACGGACAAGATCAGCTGCTCAACTTCTTCCGAGACGTTCAGCAAGTGCAAATCTGTCAAGGGTCTCGTCGTCATTAGTTGGATTGACACGTATGTACAGTGGTATGCTGTTGTACCCCGTGCTGACTCTATGATAGCATCTTCATCTTTGCGGCTCTGATCTTCTTGATCACCCTCGCTGTCATCGCCAGGGGCCGTTACGGCGCCCGTCGCTCCACCCTTTACCTCGATTAACTTGCACGCAGTGAATACAGGGGCATCAACGATGGAGATACTACAAGTCACAATGGACTCTAATCATAGTGTGGATAGCAGCCTTATAATTGCCGTCAATCACATATCAATATGAAGAAATATTTTCCTTGAAACGCTGGATCTCGTGGGGTACGACGGCGATCACTCAACTCAGTGGCAATCCGGTGCTCAAAAGCGCATGAATCAAATACTGCATACTAAATCATCCGTAAAGTGAAAAAATAAACGGGGTATCAAAAAATCACTTCTTACACGCTCGCACATCGTTTACAATTCTCTCACCCCCTCGCCCTAGATTGTCCTCAGCGGTACCCGTACCCTCCCTGATTCTGATACATTCCCCCGTTCGGGTTCCAGCCCGTCATCTGCGGCATCATTCCACTCATCGGCATCCCCATTTGCTGCTGCACCATCCCTTGCTGCATCTGCTGCTGGGGCACCCCAGTCTGCTGACCATACATGCCCGTTTGCTGGGGGTACATGCCGGTCTGTTGGGGCATCATGCCACCGTTGTACCCTGTTGTCAGGGGACGTAGGGCGTCGTATTTACCTGTCGAATACGTCAGCGCTACAAGCACCCAGATTAGAATGGAACGTACCAGCTTCCTGCGGTCTCTGCTCTTCGGGCTTGGTGAAATCAGTCTTTTTCATAGCAGCAAAGATGTTGCTAGGGGCAAACTTGTCACCACCACCAGATTGCTGAGGAGGTTGAGGAGGAGGAATGGATGCAATCGCATTGAAGCTTGATTGTTGCTGGGGCATTCCGGTAAAGTCTGCCACAAGTCAGCCCTGTTTCCATCCAGATCAGACACTTACTTTGTTGCATCCCCATACCACCATACCCACCATAACCTGTCTGCTGGGGCAACATACCCGTCTGCTGGGGCATCATACCTGTCTGCTGAGGTTGTTGGGGCATTCCCGTTGGTTGAGGCTGCTGCCACCCCGTTTGCTGACTTTGCATTGGCGACAATCCTCTGGTCGGCACAAACATGCCCGTAGCCTGCGGCTGCATCGGGTTAAGCAAATTCTGGTTGGCCGATACAGGCGCCAAAGGGCCTCTCGGTCCCTGGCCTCCCGTAGCCAAAGAGTTGAGGGTGGTGGGTTGCGGGCTGGCGCCGGTGGGCTGGGAAAGCATGTTGAGCGGCTGAGATGCGTTCTGCACGCCAAGGCCATACGCATTGGGTGCCTGAGGCTGCTGCTGCTGCACAGGAGTCTGCTGCCCGAAGCTGCCTCCAGTGTTCTGGTTTGACACTGACACTCCCGTACTAGCCGCTCTCAAATTGTTAATCTGCGCGAGTAGAGAATCGGTATTGTTGGCCACCGAAGGCGAAGTCGCAGGAGGTGCGGCGGGTGCAGGAGGCGGGGAGATGGAAGTGGTGATGGTAGCCGGAGCCGGCGAGGCAGGTTTAGAGGACAGCGGTTTGATCGTCCACGCATCGTCGTCAAACCCGCTCGGCGCAGCCTTGGGCTTCTCCTCCTCCTTCTTGGCGGGCACGGGCGGGGAGACAGTCACAGGCGGCGGCGTGGGGGCGCTTGGGGGCGTCGGCGTCAGGCTGACCTTGTTGAGCTTGTCAGACGCGGCAGCCAAAGCAGCAGCATCCACAGACTCGGGGCCAGTCGACTTTTTTTCGGGTCTCCCTCGGCGGGTATTGTTTGCCAGTTTGCCGTTAGGTCCAGTAAACAGCCCAGGAGGAGCTTGGGGTGCAGGCCCCTTGCTACCGTTCCGGTCATACTCTTGCAATTGCTTTGCGTATTCGGCGTCGGCGTCAATCTGCTTTTGCAGCTCTGGGTCCTTCTTTGCAAATCTACCTTGGATCACTTTGGCGACCCTGATGACGTCGCCTTCCCTCAGACCTAGACTTCGAAGGGTACCATTGTCGAGGTCGGGGAGAATGGTCTCGTCAATTCGGTCCCGCTCAAAGTTGGTCGCATAGCGGGTACAGTCGTCCATATCACACCCGGCAGAGAGGAAGAATTCAAACCAGTCGAATGTCGAACGGCGAGTGGAAGCCGAAGCTTTCGAAGCTCGCACGACATCAGCAGGAATGGATTCATCTGCCCTGTGCGTGCTCTCATGCGACCGCACCCTCCTGCTCTGTTGCCCAAGAGATCGATCATCATCTGCCGCCAATGCAGCCTGGGCCCTCTTTGCCTCGTGCCTCTTGATCAATTCACTGTCCCTCGCACTCATCTTTTCGACGGGTACATCGATGATCACGCCGTTCAGCTTGTGTAGCCTGACCTTGCCAGCGTGGACACCAAGGAACTCGGCTTCGACGTTGAATTGCCCAGTCTTGTCGGACCACGTGCGAATCTTGTTGGGGTTGGGTTTGGGGCGAGATTGCTCGGGAGGAGGGCGCGGGGCGGGGGCGGAGGATGCAGTACGGGTGGGGAGACGGGAGGCAGCGAGGGCGACATCATTGTCGGAGGGACGCTTGGTGATCCGAGGGGGCTGAAGACCGCCGCTTCGAGCATTCTCCCGGCTATGAAAGCGTCAGCTAAAGTCACTAGACGATGACCATACTCACGCAGCCTGGGCCGCTTCCTCTCTCTTCCTCCTCTCCTCCTCTTGCCTCTTCAATGCCTTTCTCGCCGCCCTCTCTTTCTGCTCTTCCTCGATCTGCGCCGCAAGTTCCCTGTCTTCCTCCTCCTGTCTCTGACGTTCCTGAGCCGCAGCCTGGATACGCTCCCTCTCTGCCTCGGCTGCATCACGCTGAGCTTGAGCATCGGCCTGACGGCGGACTTCTGCGTCAGCCTGAGCCTGAGCAGCGATAGCTTGAGCAGCAGAGTCGTCTTCAACGGGGGCGGCGGGAGCAGACCCGTCATTGAGCTGAAGATAGGCAGCTGGAACGACACCCTGTTGTCCGTGCGAGTCTTTGACCAACCACCATTCTTCATTCTCCTTGTCCACGATCTCGACTGTGGTGTTTTCTTGCACAGACAGCTCGTCATCGCCTGCGGCATCAAAGTCGTAGAGAACGGTAGCCGACTCGGAAGCAACGGCACGAGAAGGAGGGGCAGGGGACGGTGATGGAGAAGGAGAAGAAGCAAACCTAACAGCTTTTGGCTCTTGCACATTCCTGACAGGCGGCGCGGTGGGCACCGGTTCTTCCTCATCTTCAGACTCTTGACCCGCCTCGGCATTCAGCAGCTCCAAAGCTTCACCGGCAGCTTCCTTACTCTGTTCCAATTTCGCGAGGATAGCTTTGGCGGTATCTGAGCTGCCGCAGTGAAAGTCGAGCGGCTGAGGGAGTGAATCGAGGGAAAGAGAAAGAAGTTTGGACGAAGGCTGAGACACGGCGAGGAGAGAGGTGATAGGGTATTGCTTGACGGGTGCAGCCTAACGATGTCAGTACGAGTCTTGAGCGTTTCAAACACCTACCTTGTCCGTGTCGGAAGCGAAAAAGACGGCAGCATTGCCCACTCCAAGGGTACCCTTCTTCTTCTTCTTGCCGTCCAGCTCACTGATGCCCCATGTCTCCACCTTGTCCTTGAGCTTGAGCTGCCTCTGCTTTTCCTGCAACTCTCTCTGCCTCTGCGCCTCCATCTCTTCTTCCGCCTCCCTCGCATCGGCGACTTGGACTTGCCCCTCAGACTCTTCCAACGGTTCGCAATAGTTTCTCGGGACAAAACCGAGCTTTCCAGCGGTACCGTCAGAGTCGAGGCGGACAAGGAGCCAGTCTTCTTCGATCGAGAAAACATGCAGGGTGGCCTCGTCGGTCATCGAAAGTTCCTCTGGAGACGTCGAGTCGTACGCAAACATGGCACGAGTGGCACTGAGGGGCGGAATCTGGCAGGTGTCAGCAGGCCGTCTTGTTCGGGGATGCCATTGTCATTGGGCGAGACGATGATGCGCCATGACCGTTGCTCAGGCATCCGTCCGTCATGGAGACATGCACATATCTACAGCCAGCATGCCCCTCGTGGGTCTCAAGCATGGCCAAAGCATGCTTTTCACCACGCCACGCGCGCCCCACCCCGCCCCGAGAGAGACAAAGCATGGACCCACCTCTTCGACATAGTTTGCCGGGACAAGCCCCACGCCGCCCTCGGCCCCTCCGCCGCCCTCCTCCTTCAGCTTGGCCTTCCACCACCTCGATGCGTGTGAGCTAAGGGCGACACGGGAGATAAGGACACTCACTCGTCATCCTCCTTGTCGACGATGTATAGGATCTGGTCTTCGCTAAATGCGAGTTCGCTCTCTGGGTCCTGAGGAGCGTAGTCGTAGAGGGCTTTCGCCACTGCGACGTATGCCATGGCTGTTTGGGTGGTGATGTGCAGATGCAAGAGGAAATGCGCGCTGAGCGCTGATGACGACGCGGAGAACAGCGCCCATTTCCTCTTGCATTTCCGCTTTTTTCCATTTCTCCTATAGATCCTCTACCCCCCCATGTCCCGCCCCAGCAACCCCCCGCCCCGCGCTGGCACCGCCAAGCCCAAGCAGCCCGCCACCGCTGCGAGGAGGAATCCGGGCACCGTCCCAGGCCTCGCCCGTACAGCGTCGTCCCTCCGCCAGGGCGGCGTGCACCCCCATAGCTCCCTCCCTGCCCATCTGCGAGGCCTCAATCTTTCCACTCCGAAGATTCCCTCGCCGTTAGGCAAGGGCACCCCTGCAAGACAGCTCAAGCAAAGTCTGCCGGCAAGAACTTCAAAAACGACGGAGAAGCATGTCCTTCTGCCCGAAGACCCACAACTCGCTCCTCTTCCCAGATCGCCGGGTGACATGCCTACCATGTCTGCACCCCCTCGAAGAGATAGCTCTGGGGGAATACCAGGCGCTGGTCGAAGTGGATACCATCCTACCATGACCCACGGCGACGAACGAAGCGATGCGGAGAAAATGACCAAGAGAGAGCGAGAAGAAAACAAGCTGCCGAGGCTCACTGCCTATGCCACCGCCGAGGGCTACCGACTCAAGCTGCTCCAAGCGTTCTTGAAGCGGGAGCATGGCGTGAGCGTCGTGAGGGTATATGACGACTGTGTCTATGCGGTAAGTCCTCCTGCCGGGCTCGAGCTCCAGCTGACTCTTGAGCAGGTCTACAACCTCCCCCTCCTCCCCGGCTACGGCGCCACCACCAAAGTCCGTTCTTCGCCTATCACCAAGTCTCCCGGCGGCGTGTCTCTTATGGAACGCATGACCATGGCCGAAGATCTTGGCTATCACGATACCTACTTTCCCCGCGAAGACCCCACCGAGGCGACGCCGGCAGAGTACATCTTGTCCACTTCGCCAGGTATGGAGGCTGGTGAAGAGCTCGATGCTATGGCTCAAGATGGAGAGGGCGAGAGGGAGAGAAGAGAGCGGGGGGAGGAAGAGGCGCTGTTGGATCAGGTGAATGCCGGAGTGTTTGAGCATATTGCAGAGGGTATTACGCCATTGTCTATTCCCGAGCAACAGGCCTCAGAGGTATCGGAGCCAGAAGTCGGCACCCAGATCTCTCCCACGGACGGGTACACTCACATCCCCTCGACGGCCCTCAACCCGGACGACCTTCCCCCAGCGTCTTCCTCTTCCGAAGATGCGGTGGGCAACACTACGTATCACGTGGGATACCTCGATCCTCCTATCGGCGAGGGCCACAAGCATGTTTCTCACAAGGAGCCACAAGAACAGCCAAAGATCCGCAGACGCAAGAGCCATGGACACCTGAATAATGTCGCAGAGGCAGTGTTTTTTTCTTACGGCGTGTCTGTCTTTTTCGGGTTTAGAGAAGGGGAGGAGAAGGAAATTATGGAGGATTGTGAGACTGCTGGGGCTTGGCAAAGTCCCAAGAGCGAAGACGACTGGGAGGCTGAAGAGTTCCACTATGTCGTATGTCACCCTATCCTCGTTCCATTCAAAGCTGATCATATCACAGTACGACCCTGATGCGGAAAGCCCTAGGATTTACAACGACATGTTTACATTTAAATCCCGCTCCCATCTCTTTAAACTCTCCCTCGCCCATGCCGTCGCGCAGTCGACCCGACTGTCCATCTACGAATCCGTCATGCAAGAGACCCTCTCCTTGACCGCTTCCTTCCCCAAGGAGCTCTCCATCACCGGACACCTCCAGCTCACGAGGCGGGAAGCGCTCAAGATGACAGGGAGACTGTTCAAGCTGAGGATGGATGTCAATCTGAGTGGGGGTATCTTGGACACACCAGAAGTGTTCTGGTCAGAGGCGAGTCTGTTCCCGTTGTATGAGGCGATACACGAGTACTTGGAGATCTCGCCGAGGATTCAGGTACTGAATGATAGACTGGCTGTGGCTGGTGACTTGGTGAGTTTTCTTGTTCCTGAAGAGGGGAGTGCTGATGAGATGTAGCTGGAAATCATTCACGAATATATCGAAGAAAGGGCCACCCATCGCCTGGCATGGATCGTCATCTGGCTTATCGTTGTCGCCTGTTTCGTTGAAGCTGTAGGTTGACACCCGGCTCTCGGAGAAAAAGCTGACGACTAGTAGGGAGAGGTGGTTGCAAGATTGGTGTTCCACGAGATCGCAAGAGATGAAGGAGAGTATATGCTGTTGAAGGCGCCGCAGCTGTTACTAGGGAGCGAGTAGACGGAACATGTGTAGCTAATATAGAGAATTTGTGCCAATGTACATCTGTATGCGTCTACGAGTGCTGATCCCAGACTGTTGCGCGTCGTGAATCGAGAGGCAAGAGACGGCCTGGAGTACCGCTTTGTGAGATTGCATGTTTGTCTGCTGTGTGGTCTACTGATACAGCCTGTAGTTCATTCGATATCATCCAACGTTCAATGTCTAGAGTACGCGGCTTACGAGAGAACGAACTAGACGTAAAATGTCCCTTCTTTCATACAACACTGTCCCTTCTCTAGCGCCAGAGGTGCGCGCCATCACCCCGGAATGCTTCTCTCCAACTTTGTCTCCTCTCCCTCCTCTCCCTCCTCTCCCTCCTCTCCCACCTCTGCAAGCCACACGCCCGAGTTGGGTGACGACCCAGCCCCACTGTTCCAGCCACTCTCATGGTACCCGCTCGCGTCAGCCCGGGCCACCGAGCTCGTCGCCGACACCGTATCAGAGGGAGTAGCAGTAGAGTCTGCGGTGATGCTCGTGGTGGCATCTTGGTGCTTGCGATGGGAGACGTGCTGGTGGATGGCATAAGCACCCCCTGCGAGGGCTGCTGTCACGAGTACGAGGGCTGCGAGGATGATGTAGAGGCGCCTCCGTGAGAGGGTGCGCCGGTGTGTGGGCAGCGTCTGGGGTGTGATTGTGGGAGTGGGCGGGTAGGAGAGGGAGGCGCAGGAGGCGCAGAGGGGCTGTTTCTCGGTGTCGGGGGTGATCTGGTGGCACTCGCACATGGTGGGCGTGGAGGAGTGCTTACGTATTGCGCTGGCCCGTGTATGTGGCGGCGGGGAAGAAGCAGACGTGGAGATGGCTGGGTATATATACCCTCTGAGCCCGACTCTGATCTGAGACGCCCCTCCTTTCCCGGAGAGAGAAGACGATCACTCGGCTTTCCGCGCGTGGCGGAGTGGGGGCGGACCTCGGCGCCTCGCACCATCCCTTCGCCCTGTGAGTCTCGGATCAAGCTGACGTGTGTATCAGAAAGAGCGCAGATACATCTTTACGTCCACTCATTCAACATTCCAAGTGTCCATGCGTTCGATCTAGGAGCTTTACTTTACAGCGGGACAGTCTCTAGTATGCTCGTCACACTCGTACCTTCCTTTCGCCCTCGCCCTTCTTTGCAGCTACCTTGTCCTGAACACCACCAGATGAATCCTCCGGTGCTTTCACCGGCTTTACCCCCTCCAAGCCGGTCTCCGTCACCGGCGACCGGCCTCTATTAACCTCCTCCAGCGCCCGCTCGAAATGCGTCTTGGGCATAGCAAAAGGCGGAAGTGCAGGCAGAGGCGGAATCTCCCACACAGCACCCACAGCTCCAGATAATGGTGGCTTTGTCGGGCTGGAAGCTGAAGCGGTGGCGTCTTTCGGGGCGAGGAAAGAGATGGCACCGGGGATGGAGGAGTTCTGCCTCTTGTGGCCCTTGTAAGTCACCGCCTGAGCAGGGCCCTACAAATGCATGTGAGCAGAGGCGGTCGTCCAGCTTGAGGCGAGACGCACCATCTTGTTCCCTGGGGTCTTTTTAGGAGACCTATCCTTCTTTACAAACAGCTTTTTCAGAGACACCACAAACGCCACCATGGTCGCGTGCGAAAACGGCGTGTCTGAGCCAGGTCAGCAGCTCCAACAATGTGGTCCAGGTGTTGCTTAATACACTGTTCTCTTGGTGTATCTTGCAGAGGTGACTGTAAAGAGAGAGAGAGATTTCAGACGTCATGGCCAAAGGAGGCGGCAGTGCTCCGGGTAGCCGAGTGGCATCTCACCCCCTGCAGCCCGAGATTGAGAAAGCTTCACAGAGATGATTCGCACAGTCGATAGATAAAGGTCACTGCATTATAGATGAAGGTCAGTGCATTATAGATGAAGGTCACTGCATTTCATATGTACATATAAAATCCATACACGCCTAGAGCGCCCATCCCACCGGACCATCCTCCTGACTGCCCTCTCCAGATTCCTCTCCATAGTCATAAGCATCAGACACCTCATCGAAACGCGATCCTGACCCCATTGCGTCTCTTCAACGTCCTGTATCTCCTCTGCACAATGTCCATAGTCCTGGGCGAGTCTCCAGAGATGTCGGTGGGCGATAAAGGCGGTTCGTCGTCGTCCGAGTACTCGCACGAAGAGGGAGAGACGAGAGCAGGGAGGCGGGAACGGCCGGAAGAGATGGGGGAGTAGTCGATGAGGGGGATCAGCCAGTCGGGACAGATGGGATCTCCGCGTTCCTCGATAAAGGGGAGCTGGGTGGCGATTTGCCGGAGCTCGGAGGTCTCGTCGCTCGACGACTCTTGGGTGTGAATTGAGGAGGAGTCTTCGTCGTACTTGGCGGACTCGTCCGCATGTACGGACTGGGGGTAGACCGCCTCATCATCTGATCCAAGGTCTGGCAGCTCGGGCGTCCAAGTGTTGGGAGTAGTGGGCTCGAGGTGCTCGACATAGGAGCATATCAGCGTATCCTCGGCGCTGCCCCCGTCTTCCTCGAGATCCGACTCGTAGACAGCACCGAGGTTGCCGCTCTCGCCGACAAAAGCATTATGAGAAGCCATAGTCTCATGATAGGCATCGAGAGGGGTCGTAAAAGATTGAGCGCCGGTGATGTCGACCATGACATAGTCATCCAGCTTCTCGTCGAGCAAGTATGGCTGACGGTGGCGTGCGTTGCGGGAAGCCGACATGAATGCGGAAAGGCGCTCCTTGGCGAGTACCCGGTGCTTGGTCAAGAAGCTGGTTCGGGTAGCGATAGTGGCAATGCAGTCGCCCGAGGAAGAGTGGATGTGGCAGAGACCACTGCAGGCGTTTGTACTCAAGCGGCAAGCCTAGAGTGATAATGAGTATCGGATCCACAATACACGGCCAGATTCACGATGTCTGTAGGGTTGGTGCACTTGGGATCGGCTTTCATGGGACAAGGTGGGGTGTCATAGATGCCATCAGGCCGCATAGTCATTATGGTGGTATCGGTATGGGTGTGGGTGGGGATGTAAAATGAGGGATGTTGGATGGCGATTCGGAGCGCGGGTGGACCTATATATATCTGCCGGGGCTGTGGTAGTGGTCTGGCGGGAACATTGTCTCTCCTCTTTCCGCCCAAGCATCTTCTCTTTCCGCCCAAGCCGCATCTTCACCTCCGCCCCATCTCCGAATGCTCTATGCGCATACACCAGCTCTTACCGCCATGTTGCCGCGCAGACGTTACCGAGTGTGCTGATGCACTCTATCCACTCAAGCGGACAGATCAGCGACAGATGCAAGCTGGATGCAAGAGAAGATGATCTTATCTCGGACGTTCGGCATTTGCAGCGCGTGGCGGTTCTTATCTGAGCTGATAAGGAAATTTCGAAATTTCAGGTGGGGTTGCCGAGAGAGGTAATTTATCGAAGCGAGTTCGCATGGGCTTCAGGTCAGGTCATTCCGCACCCTGCACATATATCATGCCGCCCATCTCCTCTTTCCTTCCCTTCCCTTCCCCCCAGAATTTTCACCATGCTCACGAGACTCCTCTCCGCGCTGGCTATCGGAGCTGCCGCCGTTCTGGCCTCCCCCGTCGCCCACGGGCATGTCGAGGAAAAGAGGTGGTATCCCATCGCCCCCAAGGTCATGATCATCTCGTACGTTATCTTCACCTGCCCGTCACCAAGTCTCACCGTGGTCCAGCATGTTCACCCCAGAGGACGTCTGGACAACTTCCCTCAATCTCACCCAGAACGTCACTCTTCCCGGTCTCTCTCCCCTCTTCCCCAACCTCGCCTGTAACGAGGCCGGTGAAATTTGTCATATGACCACCGGTGAAGCTGAAATCAATGCTGCTTGTTCCGTCACCGCCATGGTCCTGGCTAGCGAATTCGACTTGAGGCAGACCTACTTTTTGATCGCTGGTATCGGTGGAGTAAACCCTTACATGGGTACCACAGGGTCCGTCGGCTTCGCCCGATACGCTGTCCAGGTCGCTCTTGCGTGGGTGTCCCATCTTTTACACAAACGCATAGCTCATTGGATCATAGGTATGAGATTGACTCTCGTCAAATACCTTCCAACTGGAGTACGGGCTACTTCCTCTTCGGCTCCAGCGAGCCCGGAGAAGCTGCGGGCAACCTTTACGGAACCGAAGTCTACGAGCTCAACACCAATCTGCGTGATGCCGTCAGGGCTTTCACCGATGGTGTCGAGCTCAAGGACGGCGAGACTGCTGCTGCTTACCGGTACGTCAGATCCAGAGATACAGGGCATCGCTGATCCCGTCAAAGAGCCAAGTATGACTATGCGCCCGCCAATGCTCCCCCCGCCATCTTCTACGGCGACGTTTCTACCAGTGACGTCTATTTCGCCGGCAACCTCCTCGACGAAGCTTTCGGCAACATTACTGCACTCTGGACCAACGGTACTGGCCAGTACGCCCTGACTGCCCAGGAGGACAATGCGACCTTTGAGGCTATGGTGCGGGCGCACATGGCCGGGAAGTTGGACTTTTCTAGGGTCGTCCTGATGAGGACTGCTAGTGACTTTGACAGGGCGCCCCATGCCGAGGATGATGCGTGAGTGTCCGTCTTGACAGGGTGAGCTGCGCTGATTTTGTCTAGTGTTACTGCCTTCCTTGCCGAACAGGGTGGTTTCACCCCCGCCACTGAGAACATCTACGTCGCTGGTCTGCCCATCGTCCAAGGTATCATTGCCGGCTGGGAGTCTACCTTTGCCCCGGGTATCGCTCCTCAAGATGAGTGGCTCTACAACGCCAACATCTTCCACGACCTTGTTGAGCGCAAGAGAGAGGTTAGGGAGTTTGAGAGGATGCTCAAGAGGCAGGGTGCCGCGCGACTTAGGCGATAAATGTGTGCTTGAAGTTATAGTTTGGGATTTTTGAATAATAAGGACATTTATAATGTGTGCATAGGACAACATGCAAGCTATCGGCGATCTAGAATGCTGGTATGCCTCATACAAGACTGACTGGCAGCTACAACTGTTCTCCTCAATTCTTTATCATCATCCTCACTGGATCCTTCTCATGCACAGCCCCCAGAGCAATACCCGCCTCCACCCACGCCACATCCCCAACAGCTGGCAGCACCAAACCCAGCGCTCGTCAATCCCAAAGTCACAACACTGACGACTCCTTCGCCGAGCACAAATCCGCTCGCTACCACGATAGCCAACAGCGGCGTCTCTCCAGCTCCGCTCAGTTTTGCAGACCGGAAAGCGACATATCCGCCTATCAGCCTGGCGATGGAAAAGGAGGGCGAGTTGAGGAAGCCGACTGCAAAGGCGATACCTGACGGAAGGTAGGCAATGAGCCTGCTAGAGGAGACTGATGGCGGAAGGGATGTACGGAACGCTTTGACTGTGGATACGAGGGCAAAGATGGCACCGAAAGCGAGCATAAATGGCACGACGTGCAGCGGCAGATGGCCATTGTTCAGAAGCCTGGCGAGGTTGAGCCAGATGCCAGCGGAGGGGACGGCAAATTCAGGACCGGGGATGGTATACGCCGAGGTGTAAAACTTGTAGCCGGCGGTGGCGACAAATACACTCGCGAGACTGCCAATCATTTGACCATAGAATTGACTTCGAGGCGACGCGCGGAGGAGGTGGCCTGTTTTGAGATCTTGCATGAGGTCTCCCGCCCTAACAAGTCGTCAGCGTTATCTCTCGTTCTACTTGCAGACCTTACTGCTGAGCACCGGCCTAACGCAAGAGTCAGTATCGTTATGCTTGTCATTGATATGAAACTCACCTCGGCGACACCACCCGCGATGATGTTGGCGACCACATTGCCAGGTTGGAGGACAGCAAACAACAGTTGACTGATCTTTCCGATCCCAGAGACCTGCCTTACGGTCAGCTTCACCCCCAAGACATTCCGCTAAACTGACAGGGTTCAGATCCGTTTCTCCCAAAGCCCTCACCCCAATCAAACTCAAGACACTCGCCAGGACCAGCCCCAAAGCTGTCGCCCATGGCTTGATACCATCTGACCCAAATACCACCCATACGAGGCCCACACCGCCCAGAGCACTTAGCGCCAAGCCCCACTTGACCCACAACTCTGGTACAAGTCTCTCGGGAGGCTCGAATTCGGGATCGTCATTCTCGTCTTCGGAGGGAGGGTCGTAGTAGTCGTCTTCGGAAGACAACCTTTGAGTCTGAGATTGAGGGGTAGAGACAAAGACATTTGAATGGGCGGTACGTTGATGGTAATGCCTCAGGAGGGTAGAGGCGTGGGAGATGGTTATGGGGAGGAGAGAGATTATGGATTCGGCAATCATGATGGCCAGAGCGACCCAGAGCTGAGAAGGGTCAACGCTGATATCGGAAACAAGAGATATACTTGCAATCCAGCCACGAGCGCCATCGGTAGTGGAAGACACTGGACCCGGAGCCCAGCCGAGATGCTTGGACAACGGAGAGAGGACCGCCCAGCCAACAAGCATACCAAAGTTCATGGACAATGTAACGGGCAATCCCATGATGATACCTACGCGTTGCAGATAAGCGTTGTACGATTCAGATCGTGATCAAGCTCACCTTGACCGACGTATGATAGAGATGGGGTGAACCTAGGAAGGTGTCAGCTCTACTCTTGACAAGGATAGGCTGCTTACCACCACATCCAGTTCGCAGCGAGATGAGCGCCGAATGGCAGGCCCACAATGTCAAAGACTGGTATGGCAAACAAGGCAGGGAAGAGGAATGATAACACCTGAGACATGTCAGTTGAACAATCGTGATTTTCATATTGACTCACCGTTAGGGTGCCGCTTGCAAGGAAAGAAAATCCCAAAGCCCACCACCCCTTTCCCGTCATGAGTTCCTTGTCTTTCTCCTCTTCCTCTAGTCTCACTGCCCCGTCTCTCCAACCATCAACAAATGATGCTGCTCCTTCCTCTTCATGTCGAGGCCTAGCAGGGGAAACAGAGTGTGAAGTTCGGGGAAGGCGGCGGTATGCCCGAGAACGGGTTCCTTGCACTTCGGCAGGCGGAGGGATCTGGTGTAGTAGAGAGATGAGCTGCGCAGTAGCAGCTATGCAATGTGAGCATCAAGGCCTTGATATTAATTTAAGACGCACTGCCCGAGGGAAAGACGAGCTTCTCTTTGACGATGACTTGCCGCCGCAAAGGTGCAGCGAGGAAGACACTGGCAATCATAAGCAAGGCCACGCACTCCAAGGTCCGTACTTACCCAAAGAAGGCCACAGCTAGACACCACATGACCAGACTGCCCCATCCCATATGCACTGGCCCTTGCCCATCAATCTCCTCAGTCATCATCCCCAAAGCCGGAATAATCCCCACCAGCCCAGCAGCAAGGGGCATTGTCCCCGTTGCCACTGCTGTTGTCTGCAGGACCACGTTTTCTTGAGGTGTAAGAGGACGCATGTTGGGAAAGAGTCGTGGCAGCAGGGCAGGTATACGGAAGACTGCAAAGCCCAAGAGGGCCGATTGGAGGGACATCATGGATACCCATCCTGTAGAATAGTCAGCAGAGTCAAGCTGCATTGCGAAGCCTACCTGTCTGCAGACCAAAGTAGATGTTGGTCATGCAAAGCACTACACCGACTCCTAGCCCGGCGAGAACAGCGCGGGGGGTGAAGTCACCCTCGATGGGCTCTTCCTCTGCGAGAAAGCCGTCGTAATCTTCGCCGTCTGAGGGGACGTCTGGGATATAGTCCCGCATACCTCTTGTGGAGGGCGGTGAGCTGGAGAGAGTGAGCTATGCGCTGGCAGTCGAGGGGGTGCTTACACGGGGTTCATGGCTGTATGGATGACAAAAGTGCAAAAGCAAGACAGAAACAAAGGATATCGGCCAAATGCGAAATGATATCATCTGGACACCGGTCCTCCTCCGGAACAATCACCGTCGGTGACTTCCACTCGCTTGGTACAAACGATTCTATCATACAAACAGCTCGAAGTCGACTATGTATATATTCATTGAAATTGTCCTATGCCACACGAAAGGCTGTGTACCATGTACTATATCTCCCACAGCATCGACGCCCCGCCGACTACTCCCACCCGGTCTTCTTTCCCCTTCTTGCCCACAGCTTCGGCCACGCCAGGTCTTTCGGATCCACCATAATCACATCAAGTTCCGGCTCAGAGTCGGACTCGGACAGCAACTTCTGGAGCGACGGGGCAAGCTGTTCTGGGGCCACCGAGTTCCGCTGCCGGCGAGAGATGGGCGAGCCGTGGTTGACAGCGGGCGCGATGAATTGACGTTTGCGTGGGGGCGCACCGGGAGGAGATGAAGAAAAGGCGGCACTATGAACGGTGAATGGGACCCCAGCGCCAATATCGTCGACTCACTACTCAGAGCTACCTGTGCCGCTTCGGAAAATACCCCTTTTGGACGTGCCACTTGGAGGGGTCTGCACCGTCATCCCAGTCCGCGCAGAACTGGACCTGCTTAGCGGACCTGGAAGGCTCGGTGGAGGATCCTGGATCTGCAAATTACCCAAGCCCGAGAGCAGATGTTGGAGATTGCCAACGGGGAGAGGCTCGTGAGTGAGACCGCGTTTCTTGGGCGAAGGATAAGGCGTCACCTGTAGCGAATGTCAGCTCTGTGACATCCAGTGAAGGCTGACTTGCACCTAGGATGATCCCGTCATCTATCTGATACTCCTCACTAGAGTCTTCATATACACTCGGCCTTCCATCAGCGCTCGCGGACAAGCCCAACTTGACTCTCAGCGGCGTAGAATGCTGAATCTCATCAGGGGAGCTATTGGTGATGTGCGACATTGGGCTGGAGTAATCAGAGCCCGCGCGCGATAGCTTTGTCGCTCTGTCAGATAGCTGGGGCAAAGGAAGGGAGCTGTCGGGTCCAAATGTCGTCCGCAAACTGTTCTCTGGGATGAAGCTCTGTCGCAGAGGAGAAGGGGAAGGAGAGGCTACTGGGGGAGTGACAGCCTGAAGGGAGGCTGAGGAGTGAGAACATCGCTTGTACACTCTGTGCCGCTTCTGAGAGATGATTCAGGATGATCAGCGGGTGGATGACGAGCGACTACCTACTTACAGGCTGTCCCTGGCATGGAGAGGGCCCAAACAGACCGCCGGGCGGCCAAACAGAGTCACTCTCGAGAGACCGCTTCCTGCTGGTCATTGCTGTGGCGGGGAAAAGAAGGAGAATGCGTTTGCACGCGTCAACAATGTAGACGCGTCGGAGGCCCCTGCGTTCGTGTGTCACCGCCGGGTAGAGGAGTCCGGTTGATGGATTGTGGGGGCTTCTTTGGCTACACCACTTGATGAGATCGAAGCCAGATATGGATGAATCATGCGCCGATGCACAGCCACGCGTACTTGTCCCAGCTTTCCGGAACATGTGAGATGCATAGCGCGAGTATGTTTCGTCCAGGAAATCCGTCAACATGTCCATCAGATGCCGTTCCCGCCGACCATCGAGAATTTCCCAAACGTTCTCATCCTCCGACGACTGACTGACGGTGGTGATCTGACCGTGCTGGTCTCTGGCCCAGTGCCCCTTTTGAGACCGTGGCGAAAGAAAGAGAAAAGAAAAGAAGTCAGTCAAAGAAGAGAATAGCCGCGGTGGCTGGCTGGCCGCGCCTCACACGCCTTATGTTGTAACAAAATACTTCTTGTCATCCAAGTGCCCGTGTGGCCTAAAGGCTAAGGCATCTGACTTCTATCTGCAACGATACAAGTCCATCAGAAGATTGCGGGTTCGATCCCCGCCATGGGTTTTCTTTTTGTGTCAATTCGTTTTGGCTTTTTATCGTCGTTCCTGGTTTGCCCAAATGTATGGCTACCGAATACTGAAGGAGAAAAATCTGAACAATTTTGTTCGGTTGTTATCCGATGAACAAGATTGTCGGCCACAGTAGTTCACGGCGTCCGCGCACGCGTATCCGCTTCAGATCTGTCTGGGACGTTTGTTCACTCATGCTGCCACAAATCCGGGGCCGCCTTGCGCGCAAGTACCTAGCCCAGATGGCCATGACAATAATGCACATTTAACCGGTGTCTGGTACAAGAAAACGAGGGGCCGAAAGGGGGGTGTAGGAGGGCGCAGGCCGTAGGGCGTCAGATGTGTACTCGAGCTCGATCAAACGTAAGAGACAGCGCGACCATCCTATGCAACCCTCTCCCCCGCGACTGCAATTCTCATCTCTGTTCTGACAATATATCGCCTCCTCGCTGGCCTCTTTCGACCCCTCACTCGCCGCAACACTACCACTTTTCCCGGATAATATCATCCCAACCCAGCAATAGGACAGTTCCTGCGCCGTTCGGCGTGGGGCGAAAGAGTTCGAAGCTCGATCGACACTCTCAACGGTGAGTCTTCCCTGGACAATGTGGCGAGACCCAGTCTGACGTCGGTTCTTTCCTCAAAAGTCCATCTTCGACCAACAAGAGGCTCTAACCAGGCGCTTCTCCCTCAAGCACAACATCCGACGCAAGTTGTCCTTTACACGGCGGTCGAACTCGCAAAATTGTGGAATGCGTCAACTGTAGCCTTGCCAGGCAACTCTTCCATGGCCAGTAGGTCGAGGGATGAAGACAGCGCCCGACCGAGGCGGTAGTTGAGGCTGCTCTGGCAGAGGAAGGCGGGGAGAACGAGGCAGTGGCCGACAAGGTCAACGCGGTGGAGTCATACAACATGCCTCGCACCCTCGCCCATACGAGAGCCAGACAAAGGCTGGTCAAGGGGTTCACAAAGCTTCACGCGAACTGAGAGGAGAGGGTTCTTGATCGGCAAGGAGAAGATGGTCGATAGGGAGTTTGCTCAAAGAAGGCTGCCTCGTGAGTTTTGCAGCTGGTCGAGACGAGTGGCTGACGCGACTTTAGAACGCTTGTGCAGGTTCTTGACTTTTAGGGTCATGAACTCGTCCAAGGTTGGAAAGAAGAAGGCATCTTCTTCTACCGTCCCGCTCGCCGATGTTGTAAGGTTTATAGTCTTCATAGAGGAAGAAGAGGAGGACAGGAGTCCATGTCCATGAACAGCCTCAAGGCGCTTGTGCGACAGACACTCCATCTTCTCCAATGAGCGTCCTCACCCTTGTCTGCCCCCAGCTTGCTGCCGCGAAAAAAGACATCTTCAACCAACAACCAACACAAGATAAGGGGTCCTCTACGGCAGCAAGCTGCGGGGAAGACAAGGGTGGGCACGCCCATCGAAGAACTGGGAGCGTGTGCCAGACAAGTGCCTGCACAACATATGCATTCAACTTTCATCAAGGACCCAACGTGCCGATTGTGTTGTCCATAGACTATGGCGTACCTCCCACCTTCCGGCTCGCAGGAAAGCCCCTAGTCCCTTTTGGTTGTTTGTCTGAACATGTGCCTCCTTCGCCTTGTCTCCTGGCCCGGAGCCGCGACACGTAGAGTCTGGCAATAATGACATTCAGTACATACAATAGATCATACAAGTTATGGAATACAATGTCAGGCAGGCCTGGTCATGATTTGGAGGGGTTGGTGGTCGTACTGGTTGCAAAGTTGGCGCCTCCTGTGCCCGGAACGCCAACGTCTGCTGAAGCTGCCAGCTCTGTCTATGTTCACGGTCAGCTTTGGTCATAACCAAGTACGAATCAGACTCCACCTGTTGCTCTTTGATCAGTGAGCTGAACCGCTATCAGATGATTAGCTTTGCATTTACACGCCCCATCGTTACTCACGCCCCACAACGCTGAAACGGTGGTGGATTCCCTTCCCACTCCATACACCTGCTCCAAAGTCCTGTTCAGGTTGTTCATATTCCCCATGAGTTCTTCGAAGTTCTAGACAGCAGCGTCAGCTCAGTGCAGCAGTAGAAACCTCTGGCGACTGACCGTTGATATTTCTTCGATGAGTCGCTCGCGTTCCCGGTCGAAAAGTGACTCTTGAGGTGTTGAGAGGTCATACGCAGTGGAAGGGCGTGATAGAGACATGTCGATGTTGATGTTGTGAATGATGATTCAATTTGTACGCGAAGATGGACACCGACGCGTTGTTGATTACACGTGAGATTGATCCCGCTGCCTCCACTTTCCACGTAGCGTTGTCGGCTGCTGCGAGTGCGGGCTAGATATTTCGGACAGCTTTCCATCAATACTGTGCAAGGACAAGATGTCAGAAGTACGGCCCAGAAAAGGAGCCCAGTCCAAGGCTACAGAGCAGCCCGGGAAAAAGCTCAGCAAAGAGGAGGTACGCCTATGTTTGAACCGAACTCTTTCCAGCCGCTGACCACATTGTAGATCGATGAGAAAGTCGGCAATGTGCAGCTCATGGGGACGGTCAGACTGGGCCTATCGTGCCTTGGCCTTCTAGCTGTGCTGTGGTTTGGCTACAAAGTGGGCCATCTTCTAAAGACGAAGAACGCGAGCTCACCAGATGCTAGACTTTGACGCCCATGCTTCAGTCCAAGCCTGTCGCCCAATCCCAGACACGGCTGACTGGCACCCAGTGGGGTTCAATCAAAACGTCCGACGTCCCGAAACTGAAAGCTGGCGGCAAGCTCGAAGCTGACGTGCAGAAGAGGGAAGCTATCAAAGAAGCGTTTGAGGTGAGTCGCGATACCGCCTCTTGCTTCGAATGCTGACTCAATGTACAGTGGAGCTGGCATCCGTATGGTGCGGCAGATATCATCCCTTGAGATCACGCTGACTTTGATACTAGAAAGACACGCTTGGGGAGCTGACGAGGTTGGTTTATCCTTCATGGCATGCTCCAAAACTGATCACATTGCAGTACCAACCCCTGTCTCAAACCGGCTCAAACTTGACAGAGTCAGGAGGAGTGGGATATACAATTGTCGACTCTCTCGACTCGCTCCTTCTGATGGAGCTCATTCCCGAATACCAGCGAGCCAGGGACTGGGTTCGTGACAACCTCCATTTCGATCGCGATTCACAATTCAACACTTTCGAGGTTTGTTCCGTTGATTGTACCATGAACTGCTGATGACTGGCTACAGACTACTATTCGGGTCCTTGGCGGGCTTCTTTCTGCCCACTACATGTCGTCTACCCACGCATCGCCCGATATTCAGGCCGACGCGTCTCTTTACCTCGACCTCGCAACAGACCTCGGCGAGCGTCTTCTCGGCGCCTTCTCTTCTCCATCCGGTGTCCCTTGGTCTGGCATCAACCTCGCAACCCGAGTTGGTATTCCTGACAAGGATAATCAAGGTGTCGCTAGCTTGGCCGAGGCGGCTAGTTTGCAGTTGGAGCTCAAATACTTGAGCCACCTTACTGGAGACTATATCTTCTGGAAGAAGGCCGAAAAGGTCACAGAAGTCATTAGAAACCAGGCTATCTTTGATGGTATCGCACCAATCTTTATCAACCCTGTGAATGGTCAATTCGTGGCATCCGAGATCCGATTGGGCTCGCGTGGTGACTCTTACTACGAGTATCTACTCAAGTGAGTCTCTTGTTACTTTTCCTATTTGCGCTGACTCCGCATAGGCAGTGGCTCCAGACCAACCGAAAAGAGCCCGTCTACCGCGACGTAAGTCTCACCAGAATCCGCGTTCAGCTACTCACATGAACCTAGATGTACGACGAAGCCATGGGTGGTATCAGGAAACATCTCATCGGCAAGACCAAAAAGTCCAATTTGATCTTTACTCAAGAACTGCACCCCGCGCGTCACCCCAGAGATCAAACGCAAAGCTGGCAAGTCGTGCCCAAGCAAGACCACCTAGTATGCTTCTTGGGTGGATCGTTCTTGCTCGGCGTGACGGACGGTGGAAAGAAGGAGGTTGACTGGGAAAAGCTGGACAAGAGGGATGAAGAGGATTTCTTGATTGGACAGGGGATTGTTGAGAGTTGTATGAAAACCCACGAGACCGCCACGTACGTTTTGAGGAGTGTGATGGGCCTGACTGATCCCTTCATAGCGGTCTGGCCCCCGAAATTGCCATGTTTGTACAATGGAGTGACGACCGGGCTTCTGACCTTGATTGGTATATCAAGCCGAACCAGTGAGTTTGTTCTTGCACAATGCTTATTGGTACTGACGATAGCTAGGAATGGCGTTCTGATTGACGGCCGCAACATCCTCCGCCCGGAGACTGTCGAATCCCTCTTCCTTGCTTACCGAGTCACTGGTGACCAAAAGTACCGTGATTGGGGATGGAAGGTCTTCCAGGCGTTCAACAAGTGGTGCCGTGTCGAGAAAGGAGGCTACGCTGGTATCGAGGATGTTCAGGCTATGCCTCCCAGGCAGCTGGACAGGATGGAAACGTTTTGGCTCGGAGAGACTCTTAGTAAGTCACGCGATGATGGCTGGGAAGATGTACTGACTCTTGTAGAATATCTCTACTTGCTCTTTGACGACTCGGACCACATCTCCCTTGACAGTAAGCTCTACAGGAGTCCAGTGCTTGTCTCTTCTGACCAACCTGCCCAGAACACATCTTCAACACTGAAGCCCATATCCTTCCCGTCTTCGACCCCGAGTACTTCTCGCCTTTCTCCCAGTCATGAGTATATTGACATGCATACACCTGTCGGCAATGAGCGGTCTTCAGTGCATTCCATAACCCAGGCCTAGCGTGAAATGTGTCCAGCGGGCGATCAGGCTCTAGGATACTTCTTTGCAGGATGTGTCAGGTATAGTATCTCGTCTGTTAGGTCTGAAAGATCTACTACTCGAGTACGAGTACTGTACTCGAGCATTGTACATACACGGTCGTCGCTCTTTCCTGTCTTTGCGGGGCCTTTGTTCTCGAACGATGATATGTAGAGTTTCGATCACCACGACAAGCCAGCACTCGTGGCCCACATGGCCCGGCTGTCAGCAGTCGGAGTTGTCGCTGCCGATGATCGGTGGCCGGTCTCCCGTGCTGTGATCTATGATCTGTGGTCTCTCTGGAATTTCTGGCTCGGTCTCTGTGGCATGCAGGAGATCAGGAGATATACAAACTGGACTTGCCGAAACTGCATCCATCCAGAGCTGTCGCCCACCGGTGCCTCCGGTCCTGGGACCTGCTCTATCGGCATGAGACAAACTTTCACTAGCGAATCTGATAGAGACGGGCTATCCATGTCGGATTTCCGAACGTGGTAATCTGTGATGTAAGTCATGTTGACTGGTGTACGAGGCCTGAGGCCCGAGGTATGTATTGTACGAACACTCTCGCATGGGGACGCCATCGAGGAGGGAAGAGGAGTTGACCCTTCTGCGGTACTCGTACGGCGAGCGACTGCATACGATCGATACGAAGTAGTAATGCTCTGGTGGCTCGCCAGCCCTGATACTGTACCGAACCGATACTGAGGGTACTTGAGCTGTCCTTCTGGGCCTTCTGGGCCTTCTTGCCATCTGCAACTGTGTGCGCGCCCAGTCACTAGTCGTCTTGTGGTCATCCATGACGACGAATTGGCCATACAGTTTGAGTTTAGTTGGCGCTGCCCGCCTTTCGTTCCTTCTCAAGTCTTCTGCGAGTTTATTACTGTTTCATATGTCTCGCTTGTACAGCCGCCAGGGCAAGGGGTGGCGCGTGAGAGAAAGCTTCATCGCGAGCGCCGTACATCTCAACTGACAGCCGCTGCAGACGCACGCAGGGTCTCCCATTGAAAGCACTCGTGCATGGCGGCTTGCCCCCGCCCCCTGCCCCAGCATGCATGTGGGAGGACAAGCGGGAGACGACGAGAGGCACCGAATTGAGTGACTATCCTGAATCCTGAGTCTTGTGGGATTTCGCCAGGGCAGCGGCATTCCGAGGGTCCCCGTCAATTCCAACGCAGCTCTTTGTTCTCTCTTCTTTCTTTCCATCTCCATCCATCTCCCCCCCCCTCCTCCACCCAGATGCTCTCTGCCATCTCCCTCGTCCCCTCCGCCCTCCTCGCCCTCCTCCTCTACGCTGTCTACAAGCTCACCATCCTCCTTCCATCGGCGGCCCCTTTCACCTCTCTCCCGGTCCATCGCCCCCTATCTGGCCCAGCCACGGACGCCACAAATAAAGACACCCTCCTCCCCCCGCCCCCCTTGAAAGGCCAATGGATCGTCGCTGCTGAACCTCCATGGACGTTCAGCCTGTCGACGTCTGCCCTAAACCCCGTCCCCTCTCTCGTCCTCTCGTTTCTCAAATTCCGAAACTCGCAGCGTCTCAAGAAGCTATATGACTTTTCTATTGCTTTAGGCCTGGTGGGGATGGTCGCAGGGATGACCGGCGCGGGTTATGCCGGACGGGCTGTATGGACTGAAGTTTGGACAGAATTTGAAGGGCATGTGGGTGTGGCTGAAGGAGGAGCCGTTGTAGAGGGCGTAGGGATGGCCAAGAGGAGTGTGGATCTGATACTTCCTTCTGGAGAGACTCAGGCAGGTTCTGGAGGTGGACTTCAGCCTCTAGTAAGTTGCGCATGCCATATTCAAAGGGCTTGACTGATTGCAATCAGATACCTGGAATCACCATGCCCTTGTCACACCTCCCTGCTCTTTTGCTCGCTTTGGTGTTCAACCAGCTGGTGCACGAGCTGGGACATGCTCTGAGCGCGGCTTTGGACGATGTCCAACCATCAAAGTTGAGCCTCACTCTCAGCTACTTTGTCCCTAGCATGGCTGTGGAATTTGGGTCTTCCATAGATAACCTCGACCCGTGAGCAGATTCAAGACGTGACATGCCAATGCTGATGCTGTAAAGTAATGCCAAGATGAGAATAGCCATCTCTGGCCCCGTTCACAACCTTATAACATGGTTGACGCTGTGGCTACTCGCGTTCAGCGGCCTGACAAGCATGTTCTGGATCGACCGCTCATACCAAGGCGCCATCGTGCAAGACATCCTCTGGACTTCTCCTTTATCTCAGCACTTTAAACCAGACGAGGTCATTACCCATCTCAATGATATCCCTCTGTCACGTTCTGCCTTGGTCTCGCCGACCGAGAAATGGGCTTCGTACCTTGCCTCTGATACGGCCGATGACACCACCCGTGGCTGGTGTGTTAATGCCGTATCG